TACTCTAAGACAGCCAATTTTGTGCTTCATTTGTTGATTGTTTTGGGTACAAGAGGGAGCATTAGCACTCTTCTGTTTTCAATAATGATCTAGAGACCAGGTTAACAGGTATAAATACACTTTATGGTTTGCTTTGTAGCTCACCTTAGCAAAAGCTCAAGTGGGATTTGTTTGCTATATCTGTCAATGTTGTTGTCACATTGTTTTGTTTTTACATTTTCATTTTTTTTCTTTAGAACCTCTGGGACGATTTTAACTAATTCCCTACGAAGTACCTTTGGTTGAAGGGGATTCATTTTTTTTCTTTTTAAAAGAACCATCTCAAGAACAATAAAGTTATAATTCATACGCGGTATTTTAAGAAGTTTGATTTAAATTCGGTCAAATCATAACCCCTGGGTGGGGCCACAATGGCGGTCAAAATTTTACAAAATTCTTCTTTAAAAATCACCTTCTCAAGAAGGTCAAAGGCAGTCTTTTATATTGCAACACCCCAGAGTCATGTTTGTTTAAATCATCGCCCTTGGTATAGGTGGGGCAACAAATGAGAATCAAACTAAACATTGTTACAGAGGAATATATAGAAAATAATCCATCTCCTCATTGTACTAAGGAAACATATTATGGAAGTGTAAATTCAAGTTTGTTCAGATCATGACCCCCGGGTAGATCAAGGCAAAGAATTTATAAGAAAATATATTTTAGTCTTCCGGAACCATGATTAGTCTATTAAATATCCGTTATCCTCAAAGTAGAGTCAAGTTTGTTCAGGGTCACCATCCACTCTTCATTTTTGTATAGGGGGGACCACTAATACCTAAACGTTTCAAATATATAAATATTGCATGTAGTTGAGTGTAACATTTAAAATTTTCACCCCAAGAAAACCATTGTCAACCGAGGCACAGCCAATGCATTATGCAATATTTATTATATTATACTAAGTGTTTTAATACAAATGCATATAACAGTGAACCGTGCGCGCATAAATTCTGCGCAGTCGCTATTTTTTGGAATATCACCCGTCGTCAAGCACTGTTGACTGTTGCTATGCTGGAGGGCGTGGCTTCATTATTCAGCGGGTAATAGTGTTTTCTAACAAATGTTTCTCAACCAATCAAATTCAACAAATTTACATGAAAGTATAATATTCTAAATTGATATCTGTTGTTGTTAGCGTTAAGGTGAGCGATTTGGCCCATGGGCCTCTTCTTTTCTTTTAGGATCACATTGGACGTAAATCAAACCGATTCTACATATAGACAGTTTTAATTTTAAATGGCATATATCCAGGGAACCTGACATTGTGAATCGGTATCAACTATCTTGTTTACATCAATATTCATGATTTAAAAGAAACTTTTTAGTTAATCTCATCTTTGAATAATGTGGAATCTGTTTGGTCTAATGGTAGGGAATGTTGTGTGCCAGAGGGACAATCTGGGTTAGCACTAGGATTCCATAACGAGGCTCGGATGGCGCCGGCTTCAGCTGCGAATCTTGGTATAGACAATCCGTATCACACCTAAGGTCGTATGTAACATCGATATAAATTGCAGTAATTGACAAATTATCGGTCCATCACATTGCGATTGTTGCCTTATTTTTTTTAATTCCGAAAAAGAAATTTCTTTTTAATTTTTCATAACTGAACTGTTCCTAAAGTGCATTATTTTAAAGATTTGAAATCTTAATTCCATTCCTAAGTAATGCACTTTACTTAGAACAATGTAAAAGACATACATATATATCTAATTTCAATATTTGTACAGATAGAATGCACCGTGTGCTGCCCGTGAACTTGTACCAAATTTGGCAAACTGATTTTGATGAAAAGTTGAACACGCATACCACATTTGTAAGTTCGCCGCTAGAAGGGATCACAACCCATATATTTGACCATAAAAGTAAACTCCGATAGACATCGGAAAGCCCTTAATTGGGCCATTAGAATTGTAGTATTGAACACTGAGCACGCTCCTTTTTGTTGTTCCGATTGATAACTGTCTTTTTCAAGTCGCACTTTCAGGGCATAAAGTGACGAATCTAGGATTTTTATCTCCACTTGAAATGTTTTTTTTTTTTGCTGTTATGTCTGATAGGAATATACCTACATGTAATAAAGTAGTTTTAATTTGTCTTTGTGAAGCTGGGGGCTGGAACATCGAAATATGCTCATAAACAATTTCTTATGCACTTCGTTTATGCACTTCATGGGGAATAAGAACCTTTAAAAACCGCCAGTCAAAGTTCCCTTGACCCTCGATATTACTTATTCGGTATAAGTACTTTAGGGCGGTGCCTGTCTCAATATGACGAAGCCCTTTTTCAGCTTAGATCATATGCTTCCTATGAAGACAATTGACAAACATTTATAGTCTGTAATTGTTTTACAAGAATGAACCCCTTTTGTTAATTTCTCTAAAGGTTACATAAGACTGTATTTCTGTGACACCGTTGCCTATTTGCTATATCCAATGCCGCGCCTTTAAAATGCATGTTATACCTCTTTCATTATTTGTCGTGACATGGGTCATGGCAAATCAGTCAGCTTGTCAATGGTTTTGTAATATACGTAATTGTTCAACTTTTGCTTCGTCTAGCATTAAAATTTCCCAGTCAACAATTTTTTTTCCAGGCATTTCATAGTTTCCCTTGCAAATCGACTACTGACGAAATACTGGGTGTTTACGTCATAATTTTCAAGAGTTTTCTTTTAACAGAATTAATATGACAAGATATCTACAGATACACATACGGTATTGATGTCTCTAGGTTAGTGGAAAAAAATCACGAATGGGACGTTAAACAACATACAATCAATCAATCAATCAATCAATCAATCAATCAATCAATCAATCAATCAATATTCCTGTGCGGAGTAGGAGGACATGGTATTGTAACAAGGAGAAAAGACAGTGGATTAGACGGGGTTTCGAGTGCTTTACTGTCTTGCACGCTGTCTGACTCGACGTAAAAACTTGTACCTTATAACCGCTTCACCAACCCGCTCGATCCTATCCCAACCCCACCCACCCTCTCCTTCGTTGTTGCTGGCTGCAAGTGGATGATCTGAACCTATATACATTTTATAAGTCTGAATCTTTTTGTGTTGTGCTGCAGAATCTACACACGACATTGTCTATGACGAGCGATGACGACATGCACAATTTATTTACGCTATAGCAATGAAAAATATTCCGCAATACATATATCAACGAGAGAACCCCCACCAGACTGTTTTTCTACTTTGATAAACAGCATGTTCACGTTTGATTTGGCGCTTCTGTTCTCTGTCACCTCTACCTTTTTTCTGCTGCTCTGGAATCCATCGTCTGTCCAAACGTTTGCGCTACATGTCTACTGACCTTGATTAATCCCGTGACCCCGATGTATTTGTGGGCAAGCTCTAATCTCCAGACTCATAAAACAAGACCCGCGTGAATTAAAATGGATGCAAGCGATTGACTTTGAAATCAACTATGGTGGTTTATAGATACTAGTCCCGTAATTAGCGTAAACAAGATAAAACCGACACATGCTGCACAGAAACCCAAAATTTCGGAACAGTGTAAGCTGCAACTGAAATGTGGAAGGAGACCACAGCAGAAGCTTATTAGTTATAAATACAAGTAGCTGTTTTCCCTGACATTGCTCTATTTTTTTCTGCTGGTCATTATTAGACAGATTTGTCTGCCATATTTCACTACTGATACGAAGATCAAGATGCTTATGTCTTGTAGCTTATCTGGTGAAAAATCAGGATTCCAGTTTTTACCCTCGAGTATTTGCTCCTTCTTAGTTATTGAAATATTATGAAGTAAACCGTCCTGATATTTTAAATCACATATACGCTAAGTTTTTATGTGCTTGCACAATTTTTGCCTCATTATTTATCCCTATCTATGACCGTTTTAAGATAACAAGATTAAGATGCTTCTTCGAAATCTGAAAGTGCTAGCATATTGAAATCCATTCTGGTGTTTCAATTCGAAGTGCGTTTGCACTAAATTTCAAAGGAAATGTGAGCATGATGTCCCGTAGCTTCCCAAGAAAATAACTCTCTTTTTACAACAGTAACGTATGCTTGTATGTGTTCACATCATAAAATAAATTAACAATGACCAGGAATATGTAAACAAGCACCTGCGAACTAATTTGATGTCCAGCTCAGCAACCGTTCATGGCCCCGGTGACGGGCATGCACCGAGTGACCTCCTATCGACATGGGGAAGACTTTGTACAGGAGGTCAATGACTCTGAAGGTCGATATTGTTACCTGACCAAGGTATTGTAGATATATTCTTACATTATCTTGCATTACAACTTCACTTCAAAGTAAGAAAGATTGGAATAATTACCTTGACTGAGAACCTGTGTTATTTGGGGATTTAACACGTCACAAGGAAGCCAGACGGAGCTTGTCCGACAGACATTCTCACGGATAGAGTACGGCAAAAAGTACAAAATAATTCTAGGTTATTTCTGTCAGATCTCTCACACCTCTTTTTTCTTGCCTTGTAAAATATTTCAAATGTATATGCCCTACTTCGGTTACGTTGTTAGGGTGTTGTAAATAAGATATATGGTGTACGTATAGTAAAAATGAAGTCAAATTATCTTAAATTACGGGAAAGAATACTAGTGCCTCGGAGGCTCGGGATAAAATGCTTGAGTCAGGATCTATATAGATCTGAGAGTCTTGGGAGGTTTGGGAAGATTTCGGAGATGTGTATATAAACAAGAGAAAGCTGGTGTTTATCGTTAGTTAGTGTGATCCCTCCACGACTTGACCCGATTCTGGCAGACGGTCAGCATCAACTGCCCCTCGGCCAAAGTAAGCCTTAACCCGCCATCTGATAAGCTTGATGTTTCAGCCGTAGATCACACTACTAGGTGGTTTAACACTTTCTCGTGCTATGTGAAATATTCCTTAGAGCAATTGTGCTCACCGTATTCCTCAAATTCTGATAATGTAGTGAGAGAACACATTGTATATAAAGGTTTTCAAGTTTTAATATACAATATTATAACAACAGTATTTATGACAACAACAATGATTTAAATAAAGCCCCCCATTTTTACAAAGTAATGAGACACAAGTCTTAAAAAAGTCGAGGGCATTTTGGCAGAGAATACTGGCATCAAATATAAAAATAATACAATGTAGAAATAGGAGAAACAGTTTGGTTCCGACAGGTGTTGGGAGTGCAGCTCTGTCTCAATTATAATTGTCAATAAGAAATTTGATCATAAATGCACACGCGATCTAAGTACCCCTGTTAAAAGACAAGACAATACAGACGCATTGACAGACCGGACAATCGCTGATCTGTGTAGCAAATTTTTAAATGAATTGCCCCATTCCAAAAAAGTCCGTAAAAGAAGAGGAACAAACCTTTGAATTTGAATCAAAGGAATATATAATTACATAATTGAAAAAAAATGTCAATTAAAAAAAAAAATATACACGCAGATGTGTACCTCGTAAACTTTTTTACAAATTATACAAATGCTAACGATCTAGATCTTTATTCACAATTATCTTTGTACAGGACTTGATCAGTCTGCAGTTTGGCACTATTTAAATAAAATAAATTCCTCTTAGTCTTAGGCAATATGCTCTCTCTCTCTCTCTCTCTCTCTCTCTCTCTCTCTCTCTCTCTTTCGCGCTCTCTCTAACTTTCACATTCATTTTACCCTTCTATATCTGCTTTACCTCTGCTGCACTCCAACAAATTGTCCAAATTTTCTTATTGCACTTTTGAAGTGACAATGAAGTGAGTGAAAACGGCTTAGAAAACATACATCATCGCTAGAAAAACATACGTCATCGCCCTGAGAGCACCACGTGATATAAACCCACTAATCACAATTATCATATTGCAACATGTGAACGTAAATGGGAGGACACAAGAGTTTGAAGAAAACGATGGATGATGAAGGAAAAGATGTATTTCTTTCCTCGAAAGTATCAATTGTACAATGCATATTGTATCAATGATATTCTAATGTTTTGTGGGGCAATTCTCGCCAACACATCACAGCTACTGCTCCCTAGAATCATGACGTCATTTCCGGGTGAGCTGCTGCATATAGCTAGAGACTAGCTAGTTGTTTGTTTCCAGATCAGGGAAACTCAGATCTAAATCCCGTATGAAAGACTTGTCTTCCTTTCATGAAGGTCCTTTGTTATTTTGTCGTTTCTTCCTTCTACATGTGTAATATTCACTCAGTACAGAGTAGCAGTCGCGTTTTCTGAAAAGTCTCAATTTCCGTAGAGATGCACTAAAAAAATTCTTCATAACTTTCCTACAAAATTTGACGTAACTCCGTTTAGCTCCTTTCTTTTTCACTTTTTCGGAACAGTCTTTCTTATCCGACTCTCTTTTTTTACAACTAAGATCAGAATTGGACGGCCTAGAACAGTTTTCTTGAAGACTACGTAATTCTAAGTCAGTTCTTTCCACTAGAAATAGTGTTTCGTTTACATATTTCTTTCTGTCCTTCCTCATACTAATTGTCACAGCTTTATTGCACACTAATGCTAACTGGTACCTCCGCACTGAATTCCCCACCCGGATTCCATGCTTTTTATGCCGGTATTTGGAATATTCCAGAACGCCCGGATTTGACCTGTTTCCAGTTTCTTTATAATCTATAGTCTCATTGAACACACAATCTTCTTCTTTAAAGTCATCCTTCTGAAATACAAGAAAAATCATTTACCGATCGATCTCCATAGAAGTTTACTTTAGTTAAGAAATGAATGAATGAACTTGTCATGTAAACAAAATATATCATAGTTTGTAAAATTACTGGTAAAAACTTTAATGATGAATTTTTTCTTTACTTATTAATTTTTTGGTGCTGTTGGATTAATCGGAAACCCATAGCCACAATAAGACTGCGTGGACTTACCGGCAAACTGTAGATGATGCCATCAGGTGCGACACATAAAAATCTCTGGGCAGCGATCCCAAACACTGTGTTCCCCAAGTTATGAGAGCCGGACTGAAGAAGTGCTGGAATGAGATAATTTACATTAGATAAAACACAACTTATAACTTAAATATACGGTTTTTTTTCCTTTTTTTTTTTTAGATATATATAAACCAGATTGACAATATATACTGCGTGGATAAGGCGTGTAAAAGACAAGGAAATGTTCGAGCCTAATTATTATATAAATACATGTAATTCTAAATGACGAAATGATATAGATCTTCCATGTATATTTATTTTTATATCCAAAATGTGTGTATAATAAATTATATAATAGTCACAGTGTCCGGCAATAAATATTTAAAAAAATAAAAAACGACAACACAAGTTGTAAAACGTTAGCGCTAACGTTTTACAACTTGTGTTGTCGTTTTTTCTTTATTTTATATATATATATATGGGCATGCAAAAAAAATGGTTAGCGTGTGTATTTGACATATCTAGAGTTGGCTCTGAGCATCATTGTAAAACAAAATCACTCGCGTGAAGCAGTGTTGAATTAAGTAATTCAGATTAATAGATAATTAAATGCAAGAGGGATCAGTCGAGTTTGAGCGCACCTGTTGGAGAGATAACACACTTATCAATCTAAGTAATGTCTGCATCATGATGAATTATGAAAACAAAGATGATTAAAGCCCGTTAACTATTTTTCGGAGCATGACTTCTGTACGACAGATACAGTCAGTGGGAAAAAAAACGACAAATAGCGTCCTTACAGATTGATCTGAATTCCCAGCATTTTGAGAGAATATTCCGGTCTAAATATTTAATTAAAAAAAAATAAATATATACGGCCTGACGCCAATTAATCAAAATACAATGGAGAATGACTTTTAACTAATGACTTTGATCAGTCTTGACGGCTTAAGTACCGACTTTCCCACGTCCAGGGATTAATGAGATTATACTTAGATTTATTTCATGTAAATCTCTCTCTCTTTTTCTCTCTATCTCTCTCTCCAATACAAGTTTAAGAATTACCCCCTTTAAATTGAGAGATTTTTTTTCTAAAGAACTGAGTTTGAAATGTTCTCAAATATCGGAGTTCATTGTTTAGTAGGCGATTCTCTGCAATTGTCTGGGTAGATCGTCTTAGACCAGCCTGTACGTAATATAAAGCAATATACGTACTGCATTGACAAATAGGCGATAGAGTGTAGCGTTTCAAACCTCCATCAGATATTTTAAATACTAACATAGCTAACACACAAAGACCCCAAAATGGTGCATCCCTGGAATGTTCTGTCAGTCTACCCCAAAGATACCACAAAATATAAGAGTGGCCTGTAATTATAAATTAAATTGAATGGCGATTGTCATTTTCTGGATGTTTATGGAGTACCTGGGGCAGAGAGTACCCCGAAAACATAAAGGTACGGGGCTGATTGAACACATAGACGAGGCGAGCCGCGACCACCATTAATTTTACAGCTGTATCAAACAAGATGTCCACGGTGATAAAGTACTCAATCACTTGTAAAACGTGTAGGGTCATTCCTTTATAAATTATGATACTTATTAGGAGTGATGTTAATCTGTCACCTAGTTTATAACCCGTGACAATAAAGAAATACAAGAATCTATCATTTTATAACCCGTGACCAAAAAAGTGTACTGAAAAAAGTCGATCGAGTGATTGGTACAATACCGCGATATCGGTATGACATGTGACAAACAAAATCAGCATGTGAAAAAGTACAATTAATTAAGTTTACAGTTGAGTCAATTAGTCGCGCTGAGTGACAATGATGAGCCATATTAATAATCACTCTTAAGTTATGGTGAGAAACAATGGGGTGGAAGAAATAAGGCAATGATAATTAAATTAATCGTTTTGAATACTTACAATATTGTGTATTATGTCCACAGGCTGTTCCCCTTACAGTCCCGTCACTCAATATTTCTAGAGCACGGTGACTTTTGGTTCGTAAAAACATCTTTTTCTGAGTGACGTCTTTTTGTCCCTGCACTGGAGTAATTCCGACAAACCTGCGGGACTGGGAATTTACAGGGGCCGTCGTTCCTTGTGAAACGAGGAGGAGCAAAACCGCAAAATACGTTAAAACATGCAAACAAAACTTCTTTGGATCCGTAAATAAGTTAGAGTTCATTTCTTAAAACAACCCATATCACGCGCAGGAAAGGACTACAAATGCCTGCACAGTTCCGCTGTACACTCATAGCACTTTCTTTGAATAAATCTCCTTTTGTGGTGGATTCAGGTCTCTTCCTTTACTATATTTCCTGTACGTAAAATACAAAAGTTTAATGTCAGTAAATGTTTGTCGAAAAAAAATTGGCTACACACCAAAATGCCTAGCCTGCAAATTTTGTTTTTATTCATTATATAGTTTAAACAGTGACAGGGTAAAAATTACGCTGGAATATTCATTCAATTGTAAAGGTATTTCAGGTATTAAACTTTATATACATATATAAAATGATGGATCACAGACCAACTGCACAGAAATGTAAAGTCTTACAAAACAAAACTGCAAACAAGTGTCATCCAAAGATACGAAGAAGGTGTATTTTAAGTATATATATATTATGACCGTGAAATCATATCAATATAACTGAACCGAAGTGGTGATATTTATTTTACACGAGCAAACTTCATTTTACAAACACCTAACTTGTCCCGTCAGCTGACGAAGGTAAAATATTTGACCTATAGGTAGATATATAAACCAAGATAAAATTACTTTGCACGGTCTCATGTATAAAACCGCCTACAAAAAGAAGTGTTTGTTAAAGCAGCTATGGATGTGCATGACCCTCTTCAGTTTCTACATCCCTCTTCGCTGACCATGCACGTGCTTATATGTTTCTTCACAATTCAGCTTCCAATAAGAAAGTTCTCAAAGACCCAAGCAATGTTATCCAGAGATTACTTTAATTTTTTTAAACTCGGTAAAAGAATATAGTAGGTCTGCATTCGCCGAATTTCATTTCTTAACAAATTTAATTAATTAAATGCACAAAGATTTTTAAATTAATACGATTTGTTTGTTTTAGAATTAGAAAGAAAATGAAAGAAAAAAGCATCCATATATTACCTAAGAAAAAATCATAATTCCGTTCAATTAAAGTTAATATCCATGATATATGAATAAAAGTTGCCGGAGTAAAAGATTCCACATCCACTCGGTTCCTATTGTAATTACACACTGGCTGGAATCTTTCGAGTTGAGAGGCGCATGCGTGATCATTAAACATGGCGTCCACCTTTAGCAGAAATATTTTTAGGCTTAGCAGAAGTTTTACTCAAAAAAGAACATTTTCAAATAGTGGCTCATTTTCAAAAAGTTTTAAATACAGATCTTCTATTGCTGGTTTATCAACTGCGTGTATTTTATCGTTGAGTGCATTTTACGTGAACCGAAATGGGATATTACATGTTGTTTATGCTGAAGGAGGGGTAGGTGTTTTGTTTATAAGTTATTAAATGTGGTAAAATGTTTTTTTTTATAATGTTTAAGGACGGAAAATATAAAGTATATTGACTATACGTAGATGTAATAGCTGAGAGTAATCAGTCATACCTGTCTTTTGGAACAATTCACGTGTCTTCAGTGTGTGCTGTTGACATTTTGAAGGCACACTACTGACTTGTCAACATGCATACTGAAAATGAGAAAATATTCCAAGAACCATGAATTTCTAAGAATAAAATGCATATTTATATATAAATGATTGTCAATTTGAATAAAAATAGAAGTAAGTATGAAGACTGGCAATTCATTGAAACTGACAATGCAAGGGAAATAACTATAGAGTTTTAACTGTACACTAACAAAGCAGATTTAAAGTCTCAGACCTACTTCTTATAACAAAGTTTTATTCCAAAGTCTTCATTTTTAACAATGTCATTATCGGATCACAGGTCGTTTAAACAAAGACTTAAGCATGTCTGATAATCTGAGATGACCAGGGATAAGTTTATCATATCAGTACCAAAGATTTCTCTGGTAGGCCTATACATCCTTTTCAACAACTGTCATCGCCCCTATTGTGAGAGAAGTAGATCTGAAAACTGACATAATGGTCCTGTTGATTTACAGAAAAAAGTCTTTTTGTTATGGCATAAAGTGGGATACATTTCATTTTGTCTTCAGAATTTTACGAATGTCTTAGGTATTTAGTCTTTTAATTTGAAAACCTGGGAGAAAAATTCAAATTTATTGTGAAACATTACAAATGAGAACATTGTAAGTTACATAATGAGTCTTGTAACTGGTATGTTTATTATTTCATTTCTGACATTAAAATAAATAGACTTTTGAAATCATTAACTTAAAAATTACATGTAGCAATCTTTATCACTAACTAAAGACAAAAAATGAGTCTTTTTAGAAAACTGGGGAAAAAACCATCAAAAATAATGGGAGGCATCTCTGATATCACTCTTTTCATTGGGTTATATATGTAACATTACTCATTTGTACATTTTGCTAATATATTAATTCTATATCCAGTATTAATAATGTAATTTAAAGTTTTACTTTCATTGCATAATCAGTTCATTCAGTTGATATTTATAATTTATTTGAACATCAAGGTGATTGTTTTTTTCAGTGAAGCATCCAAAAACATTGTATATAACATTGATTTGATTTTTTTTTAAGGCCTTTAAGCATGTTTAGGCCAAATATTTTCAATGTTGAGAAGCCAAAATGTAGCAAAATATAAAACAATTTTACTGGGAATAAATTTGCAAATTTATTATTAAGAAATTGTCATGTCTGCAATGTGCATGTGAATTTCAACCTTCCCACAATTTTTTTGGAATATAATGAGATTTATTTTGATCAGGATAGGAATTATATTAAGAATTTTAAACCAAGAAGCCCAACTTCCCTACAGGAACAAATTTCCTCTATTGTTACCTGTTTCTAAAATCATTTTAAATGTAGATTATTAGAATACTTTAAATAGTAGTGTAGATTAATGTGTTTGCTGAATTATTAAGGTACAGGTAATCTTAGATCAAAGCAGCTCCTGGAGGCTGAAGATATTTGTTAAACCCAATTTGATTTGGTGTTAGATTTTAAGGCTCTTTAAATGGATTACCAGAAGTCAAGAGGCTTTTACTTTTTGATTTTTTCACGTGGTTATTGTGTTAAGGTGGACTGAAAGAAGTGCAAGTACTTTTTTGCTGACTCAAAGAAATGTTTTACATATTGCATAATATAGGACATTTAAAAGTTTGATATCAGTTCTAAGTTCATTCATGTTTTTATTTCATTCACAAATCAGGTCTTGATTTAATGCTAACACTAGATATACCTCTTTTACTGATATATACCCATAAGTTTATGTGCAGTGGTTTAATAACAAAATCAATATATCTTATCTTACTTATCTCTTAAACAACTTTTTGGCTCTGTTACAATTTCTAAACATTAAAATATTTTTTTTTTCAAAAATAAGTGAAGAGGAAGATTGGTTTGTTTAAAAATATGCTCAGCATTTAAAACATCACTTTAATTGATATAATTCACAGCGGTGCAATTGGTACAATGTAAAAAGATATTACAGAGGAGCTAACCTATAAAGCCACACACTAGTATATATAGGTTCCGCACTCCTGATAAGAAATCAGCCAAATTATATACCACACACAAGTTCAGTTCTGTACTTATGTATATTTTAAAGTTTTTCATTGAAGAACATTTAAATGGCAAAGAATTTCTTTTGGTCTCTCCATCCTGTTAATTTTGAACAAAGAAATCAAATTTTTCTGTGACAAGTTCAATTTTTTTATTTATGATAATGTGATGAGTGCTTAGTCATAATTTCACAAAAGAAGGAAAATTTGTTACCACATTTGATCAACTAATTGTTACTTTATACTACATGTACTAGTACATAACATTTTGCCTGTGTGTACTTGATGGGTGGGTATATGATGCATCCATAGGCTGCTGAATGTCTTATGAAGAAGTACATTTGACTAAATTCTTTGTTTAAAAAAAATGTATATATTTGGCATGCAGCCCAGGCCTGAGAAGAGATAAATGAGAAAGCCAAAATTGGAAAAAATTCAGAAATGTAATGTTAAATTATGTGTGGTGACAGAAGGCATGTTTACTGTGTATTTTATGTTTATTGTAGGAGGAGGGGAGAGGGAAGCATTCCCCTACGTACAGGGAGCTGAGGTTTTTACAGTTTGCCTCTGTGGAATACAAAGGAATCACATACATGACACCACAAGACTTCCTGGAGTCTGTAACAGAGGAAATGCCACGACGTAGGTGTTCAGAGTTATAGGTTCACGACGTAGGTGTTCAGAGTTATATCACAGGTTCACGATGTAGGTGTTCAGGGTTATATCATATGTTCACGATGTAGGTGTTCAGAGTTATATCATATGTTCATGATGTAGGTGTTCAAAGTTATATCACAGGTTCACGATGTAGGTGTTCAGGGTTATATCACAAGTTCACGATGTAGGTGTTCAGAGTTATATCATATGTTCATGATGTAGGTGTTCAGAGTTATATCATATGTTCAAGACGTAGGTGTTCAGGGTTATATCATATGTTCAGGACATAGGTGTTCAGAGTTTTATCATAGGTTCAGGACATAGGTGTTTTGAATTTTGAATTATATCCACAGGCTATTGTTTCATATACGGGGCTCTCCCCACTTATTTTTACCACAAGGTACCTAACTCAATTTCAGGGCGTGAGGCTCCCCCGCTTTAAGCTTGTATTTTGTTAATATATCAATCGTTAGCCTACTGAAAATGGTTTCAGATGTCTTTGATTGAGTCTCTTTATTGTAAACCTGCACTCATTTATTCCTCGAAAATTACCTCGATACAAAATAAGACTCCAGATGGGAAACAAAGCTTCCGGTTGGGGTTATAGATGTAGGATAAAACCAGAGACTTCAGATTATTCCATTCCATAATCCACGGTTTTATCATATAGGTTCAGGTCGTAGGTGTTCAAAGATATATCACAGGTTCAGGATGTAGAAGTTCACAATTATGTTTATCATAGCTTTTATGCCCCCCTCCCCCTTTAGATGCAACATGTTGTATACTTAAAGACCCAATTATTTTACCGTACGGTTACCTGAGGAGGGGGAGTGGTCCAAGTAACAGTGGTGTTGTTTACCTGGAGACCCCCAATACCCAAGATGTCAAAAATCTATATACATGTAGCATTACACTGGAAGTCTGTGTCTGGTGATCAAGGTCAACATTCCGTGTTTCGTGTCTAAATTTGAGTGAAACTACTTGAAATAATTGAAATGTTTCAATATAAAATTTATTTATTTATACTTTCAGCGAAATCTAATGAAGAAAAAAAAAATATTGAGAAATATTGTTTTTATATTTTAAAAAAGTGTAAAATTGAAGAAAAGAACACAGAGTAAAACTACAAAGTAAATATATCTTTTTTTTAATTAAACTTGTGTAAATATCAAAATTAAAAAAAAAAAAAAAAATATTCCATTCATAGGCCTATACGTCGTGTGAACATATACAATGTACCGCGATAGAAATATCGCCTACGTTTTGACCAACAATAGTGTCAAAAATATTCACCATTTCCGGGTGTTCGTGTGTATAAATTTTTTTTATTGTTTGCAAGATTTCTTTTATAATTTTAAGAATTGATCTTTGGCTTTATATATTCACTTTTTAATTTCGAATATTGGGTATTGACAGACGTTAGGAAATTCGAACTAAAAGTTACAATCTCGAAACTCATTTTTCTGACATTTCAGTTACAACGGAACATGGTGTAGATTGTATTCATATATGCATAGACAAAACATGGGATAAAGGAATTGTTTATCCGTGCCGTTTTTGTGAAATATCTTTTCTTACTTATCATATTCCAATTTTAATCGGCAATAGTGTTTCTGTGCACGGACCGGTCTAAATTCTACAGCAGATATCTTGGACGACATATCGCCTAAAATACAAAATAGCCGTTGAGATTGAAAGCAAATATTTTATAAAGTCATGTTTTAATTATCTACTCACAATTGTTTTTGAAATAAAATTTTACCAAATTGCAAGATTCTTTTTTAGCCCCTGTGTATACAAGGCGGCTACATGAAAGTGTTTGACGCGTGACCAGGCGATCGTTTTTAAAAGACACAAACTCAGACTATCAGGTAGCACGGGTAGCTGGCCTGTCAATCAAATCAGAAGCTATTGTTTTTTTAATGATTGACAGGCGGTAAATTATTGATCTTGAATCAGGTAGATTTTGGGGGCGTTAACATAAAATTGGGTGTTTAAAAGTACATGTACTGCTTGAGGAAGGTGTGTACTCATTGGAGGTGCATAGTGACTGTACTAATGACAATATATTCCAACCATCAAAGGACTTGTTTGATAATTGGATGATATACTGTAAGCATGTCTGAACATGGGTATCAGTAGCTTTCTTTGAGTCTGTATATAATACGGGGTGAATGTCTCCTTGTTAAAATTTGACCAAACAGTTTACACAAAGACCCTGGCTGTCTTCATAATCACCCCCACACCCCCAGCCACCCAGGATACCAGACAAAGGCTTGTGCATCTTTTATCGCCCAGAACAAGGACAAATTATGACTAGACTCCTCTTCAATAGAACTTACAAAACGCATTGTACTCATTCATTTTAGGTGTTCATTGACTTTTCATTTTCATTATAAAAACTCAGCAATGCTGAAAACCTCTGACAACAATCGATCTCCTCATGAAACATAGTTCCTCACAATTCCCAGCCAAACCTCCCAGTTTTGCTGAACTTTTGAAGTTCTAAGGCTTGAGTACACTCTTGTAGGGAGAATAAAAAACTTGACATATATAAAGGTAAAAAAAGCAATACTTATGTCTCTGATAGAGCTTTGTTGGGTGAGTCAGTAGGACCCTGAGAGTTTTTATTATCTAGGAGTCACATATAATCCCTATCTCCTTCTTACATTCTAACAAGTCAATACGAAAAAGCCCAAACTGTAGGAGTTTGGTCATGCAAAGGTATTATGAATGGACAGTTCTGTTTTGTTGACAGTGTTAGATTTAACACTATATTTATTAGGAAGTAAATTCTCCATTCATGATTCTCTAAATCTAAATATGCAATGCCATCGGTTTTCTTTCTTTTTTTAAATACCGAGAATTAGACAGACCTTGGAAAAAATTCATGAATGGACTTGTTTTTTGTTTTTTTGTTCAAATGAGAAAAAAAAAACGTATTGCATTAAATGTTAAATAGCAAAGTTAAACTGAAATTGTACAGATGATTTGTTTTCTTTTACCAGATTTTTTTTAAAGTTATATCTTTAGAGCATTAAGATTCAGATAAAATTCCTTCTGACATTGTCAACCCAGTCCTCTGATTTTTTTTTCTAAAATGAGTAAGAAATGAAGAATTTGTCTTGTTTAAAGAAGATTAAACAAATTTTGAAAGATTTTTAACCAAAAAAAAGTTTACCGGTACCATTTAAAGAGAACCTTTGAATTGTTCTTCTAGTAGCATAGGAAAGGTTTATTGTATGTTTATATTTCAAATGAGAACATGATTCACCTGTCCTAACATAAAGAAGGGTAGAATTTCAACTACAAGGAATTCAAAATCAAATTTTAATAATAGTATGTAGGTAATTTTTTAATGATTGCCATGTTGTACATAAACAGAATTCTTGCAAGACAAGAGAGCCTAGCTAAGCAATTTTGCAGGATTTGGAATTTCCCAATTGAACACCTACTCTTGAGACCTTGCGGTTTTACGTTGGCAGATATTTGCTCGAACCGATCCTGATTTAATAGAGTCTAGTAGATTCTATACCGACATATTTCTTGTATGTATGTGTGTTGGACCTACCTGCATTTGAAAAATAATTTTAATTTCTTTTAGTTGAAGGCTGAAGTGCGGTTACAATTTTCAATTGTTAAGTCTATGTTAGAGCATATATTGATAAGGATACCTGGAATCTAGCCTAATTTAATTTCAAAGTATCCTGTTCTCCTGTATATATATAGGATATTTATCCCCCCAAGAAGCAACTTTATAATTGCATACATGGTGCTCCTTATTTTGAAATATTCAATGGGTTAACCACTTGTGTATCTCATTGCTGATTGCAGCATTCACTGATGTTATCAAGTTGATATATAGGTAGACTGAAGATAAATAATATTATTTCTTTCTACTTGAAACTTTTTTGATATGCATAATAATGTATAATTAATGAAAAAAACATTGCAATTTCATTAGTTAAGTATACATCTGCAGATCAATATGCGACTCTGTGAAGAACTAGGAATGCTAGCAATGTCTCTTCATTGAGACAAAAGTATTTGTTTTGTCCTTTAAGGGGAAATATTTTTCTTGAGACAAGGTTAATGGTTTGCTTCATGTGTAAAAATTGGTGTTTTGAATGATGACTTGAAAGGAACCAGGAAGAGTTGGACATTGTTTATAAAGTCTGAACACTGTGTAAGACAAATGCTGGGAACTGCAGAAATGAGGCAAAAGAAAGCAAGACACAACTAGGCAGAAAAGGACTGTAGGAGAAGTGAGAAAAATGACTCGTATGTAAAGATTAGGACATGAATATTAGTCCTTTAGTCAGACCAGGACTGTATTGGAAGAAAGTTGATTTGGAGGGAGGGGGATTTTATGACATTTTTGGTTTATTGTAGTTTAGAAGATCATTGGACACTCTGATTCCACATTGTCCTTCAACTGTATGAAAGATAAATGTTCCTGGAATAAATTCCTGTCAGAAAATCACTAAAAAGTCTGTAAATATTACCTTCCAGGCTTTAAGAAAATGTCAAGGCTTTTCTTTCGGGTGCTTTTATATTGTTTGAAAGGTTACAAAAAAGTGTAATTAGCACAATGAAAAATATGATTCTGGCTGTTTCGAATGAAAAATGTATCTGGAATATTTGATGATAAATGGTGTGAAATTATGAAAACAATATTGTTGGATGAGAAATGTGTTACATTGCTGTTTAATGTGTCTTGGAGATTACAAACATTGGTATTAAACTTAACACCTAAGGTGTTAGAGTTTTTTGTAAAGAAACTCTTTAATGATATATTTCTTGTAGCATATTTCATGAAAGTTGGGACTAAGAGATATACAGTTAAACCTTAATATCTCGAACTCCATGGAAATAAGAATAAAGATATCTGTAAGCTCAAGATATTGAAGGAATTAACGTTTTAAAGGAACTGGTTCTTAGACTTTCAAATCACTTCAAAATATCCATCATGGAAATCAAGATATGAGAGTTCCAGATAACAAAGTTCAACTTTATTCATATTACAAAAAGTGTAGATTCCTTTTAATACAAATTTTGTCTCAGAATGTTGAAATTAATTAATTTTAACATTCTGAGACAAAATTTCTCACCTTTCCCTCCCTCCTTCACATCCCCCCCCCCTTTCTCTCTGGAATGCATTTTTATACATGATTTCATGCATTTTATTATAAAATGTACCATGAATATCACATAAAAGTAAATTCTAGTCATTACTGAGTCCTTAGATTTATAAAGATAAGATTAACCAAAGAACAGGGAGATGCCCCTAATCTACCCATTGATTGGGTGTTGGGCTGATCAAAAATAAATGTTAATGTTGTCTTTGTGTTTAAAGCACATGTAGGTTTTAGGAAGGCCTGTTTTCCACCTTTTTCTGTCATATATGTAAATACAATCAAATCAGATGGAAGGCTTTTACAACCATTGTTGGAGATCAATCTTTTTTTAAAGTTAAACCAAGGAAATATTTTGTCTCAAATATCACTTTAAAATCCAGAACTTGTTTATTCGGAAGATGAACAGATTTTGGATGATTATTGTGCACATTGTTTTTAGGCTAAGATTATGTTTGGGTAATAATCGTAACAAAGTGATATTAACTTTCACCAGTACAAGATAAGCCCACGGAAGGACAGCATAGCATAGATCCTAAAAGTTTGTAGAAATTGAAACCTCTTCTGTTGTGTAAGGAAAATTGATAATTATCTACTTGAAACATAAAACTCCTGAGAAAAGTATTCAGTTTGAAAATACAAATTTTGTTGTCACAGGTAGTTGAAAAAGAATAGCTGCAAAATGTTGGATTGACAAGGAACATGTTGAAAAATAGCAACAACCCCCCCCCCCAACCCCCCCCCCCCCCCCTGCAAAATAATATATTGTAAAGCAAATCTTTATTTGCTGTTGAGTTAAACAATTATTACTAGACCTTCTGGAATTATTAAGATTGGCCAAAATCATCTGAATAATGAATCCCCCCCCCCCCCCCCCCCTACACACACTCATGTCACTTGAAAAGATTTTAGTACCAGTACATTATGATTATGGCCAAATTATTATTATATTTCTCAATTCATTTCTAAATGAGATATGATGTAGTGTATGTATGTAAAATATTCCAAGCTGTTATTCATTAGAGAGTACATATACTAAATATTTAACGGCTCTTTAAATTCCTAGGAAGATTACTAAATTCCAATTTAAAATAGATTTTATTAAAAAAAATATTGATATAGATTTGCACAAGTGTTGACCTTGCAACAGTGGCCCTAAGTGGAACAAGCCTGTTGACTTTAAATCTGCTATTTCAGCATATAATTTTGGTGGAATAAAAAGCTTATATATTTATAGAATATAGGAGGGGTTTAAGTCTTTATAAAACTCTCTCTGGATCCATTACACTTTATCATGAAATACAGATAGATCGCCTGAATAAAACTTATTGTGAGGACATAGCGCTCACCCTTGCCTGGTTTTCCTTGTTGTGTATTCAATGCATTTGAGAGTTATAAATGATAAGCACAACTGAGTGTGCAAATTAATTATTAACAAAAAGGTTTTGATATGTGTGTGTGGCTATCTCTCTTTCTCTCAACTATTTCAATGCCATTTTTCTAGTTCCTCATTTTAATTTGAGCCTTTTTAAGTATTCCGTCATGTTATAATGTCAGTTTAACTTGTTAGTTGGACCTGGGGCAAGTTTAGACCTTTAATCTCCAAATAGTTTGAATTGCTTAAAAATCTTTCAATTTAAATTGGCATATATCATTGAATGTAAAAGCAAACACTTTTTTTCATATCCAACATGCCTTTGTTGTGTTAATAAGCAGATCAAGGTATTTTGTTTGTTCTCCATAAAAAAAGCTTTGGCCGAACTTTATAATATGTGCACACGTTCCGCGATAAAGTCAATAAATTGTAATAATGAAGGTAAATCTGGGCTTGATGTAAAGAGGTTATTGTGTTGCTGCAAGAGATATTATTGATAAGATAATGGGTCATCTTTTGATGTTGATTACGCCTCGTTTGTAAAGTAAATCATAGAAGGTGCTTAATGGACTGTCATATAGATAGGTGCATGTCGTAAACGTAGATGTGTTGTAAACATGGAGATAACAAAGAAAAGAGGGATCTAGGGTCATTGGATTCTTCTTAAAAAGTCCTACTTAATAAGTAAATTCAATATGGAGCAGTTAGACTGTCTTTGATGAAGTTCAGGCATATTGGCACCTGTCATTTAGATGTGAACTTGGTGTTCAAATTCCCTCCCAAAAAAATCTTGACAAAACTGTAGTTATATGTGTATAGAAAGGACTTATTTATTACCAGAATGGTACTTTTGTTAGTAAATGGCCTTGGGGAGCTAAAATTTTTTGAAGCTAATAATTCTTGCATTCATTATTTAGGTTATTTCAGTATGTATGTCTTTTAGGTTAATGGTTTCTAATCATATACTTGAGCTTTTTATTTCATGACATCTCAGTCAATAAGTCTTTAAAGAACAGAAGAACATTTCTTCGATCTCAAGTTACAAGAAGAGTTCTTGGAAAAAATCTTTAAATCGCCCACCTTCCCTTAACTGACTTGTTGAGAATTTGTGATTTATTGACTGCTTACATCTTGCAGAAAGTTTATAGTTACTTTTAAACCTTTCATAAAACAATATATGATGGATTTATGTCATTGCAGTGTACTGGTAGATATATATCAATGCAAACAAGTTAGTTAATAAAGTCAACACCTTAAATAAAGAAAAAAATGCATTAAATATCATGTTAGCATGTTTAGAAATGATGGTAGAGAAACGAGGTTTTGTCCAAGTGGCATTCTGTTGAAAAGTAGATCTAGTGTTGCAACTGATATAGGGCTTGAATAAGGCTATAGGTTTACTGTTGCTCCTCCTCTTGTCGGGACATAAGCCATTGATGGGGCCGGGGTATTAGATACATTATCACAGAGGATCTGGCCTTAGGTTAGCCCTGACAATCCTAGGGTACTGATTTCATTGTGTGCTAGCTGGCACAAGTCTGCTTCAACACCCATTGTGTCGTGAGGACACTCAACAACTCTTAAAATGAAACGCAATCCATGCTTTCGCAGCAGATTTTTTGCTCATACCGGCAGACAGACTGTTGATTGTTTGACCTTGAAATATTTCTGAAGCTTGATTATTGTCATATCAAATTAATAAGAAAATTTGTGTTTGTATTTTACTTGTCCGTTTATCACAATGGATGAAGTCTCATCGTAGGTAAATGATCTGAAATATGTTGCACATTCCCATGTGCTATACATGCAATCACAATAAGTAAGTATTTCTTTGTATGTGCACTCTTGAATATTTCACTTTATCACTGTTATTTGAAGTCTTATTCAAATTCTTTTCTTTATGTGGAATTGTAATTTGAGTGCATGTTTTAGTCAGTATGACAAAGAATTTTTTGTGTGAATAAATATTAAATTCATTCCAATCCTCAAATTAAATATAGCAGAGAAGTTTTAAATTAGAAGTCTGTGGAATTCAGATATTAATATGAAAATCCACAGAGATTTTCTTTCTGCAAAATGCTATTTCAGCTAGTGCTTTTAACTTGCTGCTAAATGCAGTAAACTATTGAATGCCTTATGACAGTATTGAAATTTCTATTCCAACATGCAGTAAAAGATAGAAAAAATGATAATAAAAAATCCTTTATTTGTTATGCCCCCCTACAAAGAAGGAAGGCCAAATATAGCTTATCTTCGGTCTGTCCACCATCAGTTTCTGTTCATTTTCTTTGCAGAGATTGCACGTATTGAAATGAAATTTGTTACAGAGATTTATCATAAAAATGTATAGGTCACATAGTGATTTGGTTATGATCGGAGCATTTTGGACAGAGTTGTGCCCCTTGGATTTAGAAAAATTCCAATTATTTGCAGTTTCCGTTCATTTTCTTTGCAGAAGTCGCACATATTGAAATGAAATTTAGTATACAGATCAATCAGAAGAATATTTAGATCAAGTACTGTTTTGGGTACAATTGAGCTATTTTTTTTTACAGAGTTATGTCCTTTGGACTTAGAAAAACTCAATTTATTTGGGAGAGGGTGGCATAAGTGTTTTACAAACAACTCTTGTTTTTATTCTGGTATGATTTAAAATAGTTTTAATGTTTCTTTTTCATATTTAATTACCATTATTATTTTTTTGTCTTTGTTTTAGCAAGGATAGGAAGAGCCACCTTAACAGAGGGTGAAGTTGAGAGTTGGTTGAAGCGTACCCCTAACAGACGTTATGGCAGTACCAAGCTATTTCGCAATCTTCATGACAAAGGTATGACTGAACTCCCACATGTAATGTATGTAAACTGTAAGCTAGAAATGTGGTAGGAGGTGGAATTTAAAGAACTCCTGACCTTGTAACACTCTTATGTCCATTTGCAGTTTTTTGGGTAATTTGTGGCACAAATATTTACTTACTAACTTAAGGTATTTACCCACATACCATGAAGTAATGGGACTAAAAATTTACAGTTTATGAAAGTGAATCTGTAGGTTAAGTATTAAATTTTGATTTTCTTTTTTCCTTTGCCAGACATAAATAATAATTGAAAAATTAACACATTTGGAAGTTTTGAAGAGCAGTTTTGTTTGTATTTTTGTAAACTTGAATAAATTGTAAAAACTCAAGTTAATGTGTACCAAAACATGTTTTATCAGTTAATATGCAGACACTAGAACTTTCCCTAATTTCTTATCAGGTTCATTAGGAAAATCTGTCTTTTGAACTTGTTAAATTCTTCATTTAATTATCTCTAAACAAAAGTTTTAAAAGTTTACAGTTAAAGAAACTTTGCAGCAAAGGAGGGAGTGAGTAATCTGTGGGACCAGGCTTATACTTTGTAGTTGTAGCAGAGTTCAGGGTAATCTGAGGGAATCATTAGCACAGTTTTACTAGAAAGATAATGTACTCACTTTCTGCAGGCAGGTGTCCTAAGATCTTATGCTCATTAACTAAACTCTCTGGCTTTTCTCTCTCACTCCTATGAACTTGTGTGATTAGCAACAATCAGAATCTGTAATAAGAAATTTGGTATTAGTTGTATTTATATGAGATGATGGGATGATTTTGATGGACTTTCCAGACAGGAGTTTTACAGTCAGCAATTACTGTAGCTTTAATCGTGTAATGTTTGTGTAATCGAATTGATTTCTGAACCCATTGTGTCTCGTTACAACAGGCGGGCTCCTGAGTGGTCCATTTGACTGAGTTATGGAGTGTTGACTTTCAGCAGCCTCCCCCCACACACTGATGTCTTATTCATCACTTCTCACAGCCCACCCCCATCTGTTGATCTATGTCTCATCAGCTCCTGAATCACCCCTGAGATCTGACCCAGGACTGATTCCAAAGTCAAAAACTTTCAAATTCAATTAACGGACAGGTCGTAGCTGTCTTCTTGTCTGGTTAAAGGGTCACTTTATTGCTTTAATACATTACTTTTTTACCTCTCCCTGAGAGATGACCTTGAAGCTGTTTGTTGCTCTTTATATTATCACTGATATTGGTTAATGGAGAATTTGGCAAACTGTCTGATGTCCGCAGAAGTTAGGAAGAAGTTCAACCGATACTTAACCAAGGAAGAAATCATTTAGAGACAAGACAATTGCTAATATTGGTATCAGAGTGGAATTACAGCCTCAAAGAAAATATCAAGCTGATGTTTTAAGGTGTTAAATCTAGGATAACATGGCCAATTGCTTCAGAAGTGTATGTTCTAACTGTATACTGTTGTTAAACAACTCTGTGAGGGGTCAGTTTATATCTGCAAGGCCCCAGAGGCAAGGCCACTTCACTGACCGAGATTCACTAACCCAACTTCTAGCAGATCAGACCTGTAAATCTACAACATAATCTACAGGCTCGACTCCCCATCCCTGCTTCCCTATCTCCTTCTGTAACCCACTTCCAAACCAACACTGTCTCAGATATTTAAATTAAAATTCAAATTCCTTATTTAAGACATTTGGTAGAAAATATGTATCTTATAATAATATCATTTGTATTACTAAGGTGAAACAAAGATTTCTTTGACCAATTAAGGAATATATACCCCCTTCTGAAGGTCAAGGTTAAAACATCATATTAGCACTAGTCATGCATTCTTCATTTAGTGTGAAACATAATATGATTTTGTTAAATTAAATGTTACATGTTTATCATAAATAAGTTTCATGTTTGCTGAATGATTTAATTTGAAAATCAACTTCAATCTGTGAGTTTAAGATCACACATCAAATAAGAAAAATCATTCATATAATTCAATATATCAGCAAAGTAGAATTGAAAGTAATCACTTGATCGCTCCAGCTGCTGATTTGAAATTTTAAACAGGTTTTGTACAGATCGCCTCAATGCAGGTCTGGCAAATTGACCTAACATTTTTGGTTGGTAACGGTACAGTTTTAAAGGAATGTTTGTAATTACATTTAATTGTCTCAAATAGAAGTAAGATAAAAATATGTTTGTTAATTTGTAGGAACTTGTTTACAGATAGCACAATCAGGGACTAGGTGTGAAGGGTTGTACTGCTTAACATCCTTATCTCCCCATTGATAACCTTCTTGCTTACTTAAAGAGTTTTTTTATCACTGGAGTCTTTGATGGTGATACACCTATGGAAGGTGTATGTAAGGGAATGTGACCTTTGATTTTCTTACCTGATGTCACAGGGAAAGACAGTCATTCAGAAGTCCCTAAACAAACAGACAGACGGGGTAGTAAATCAGAGGAGAGCTACACTGACAAAGGTCAGAGTACAGGGTCAAACTCTAAAGTACACAAGGTCGGTAGGATAGCTGTGGGGACATTAACAGAATTGTTAACCATAGGTTACCTGTTTGATTCAAGTAACAGAAGAAACAGTCCGGATCAGAAGTTTATCATAAGTTACTTATTCAGGTAACAAAAGATAGTCTTGAACAAAATTGTTAACCATAAATTACCTCTTCATGTAACCTAAGAAATAGTCTTGAACAGAATTGTTAACCGTAAGTTACCTGCTTGATTCAGACGATAGGAGATATATGCAGTGGAGCAACACTTTTCATTGAAAAAAAAAATTAAGAGCACAGTTTTATTTGCATTCATCAATCAAAATTCTAAAATACACCAAGAATTTTCAGTTCATCAGGACTAGGGGCATGATAAAATGCTTTTTCAGCATTTTGCCATCAATTTTATAATTTGATGTTATTTCAGAGATGTCAATGAGTAGATGCAGACTGCACATCATCATGTTATAGAGAGACCTATCTAACGATGACAGACCTATAAAACTGTCCATCCTACATGATCAAGTTGCTTACAACATAAAACTCATTGATACATTGCAGTCACGCTAATACATAAATATCTGCATTCCAACAACTTTATGAATATTTGATTTGTAAAAATATCTACAGTACAAATTTATGGGAGAAAACAGTTAGCTTAAAAGATGACTGAAGCAGATTGACTCTCATCTAGTGTTACCAAAGAGTGTCTAACCATAACTCACAGTAGATAGTTCCAGATCAACATAGAGTAATTCAAGTGTCAAAGTAATTCAATTATAAACAATTTTCCTGAAAAATTGTCTGTTCCAGTCTAAGCCACCCAAGTAGACTGAAAGAGAGAGAGGGAGAGTAGAGTCTGTCTGTTATCCAAGTGTTGTGGCTAGAATTTCCCCTGTAAGTTTAGATAAGTTGCTTAATATATTTATATATCTTCCATTTGTCCAAGTACACATCAAAGAATCTAAGGGGCAGGTAGGTTATTGCCTGATTTATGGGATTTCTGTTGCACATGGATGTCATTAACAGGTTGCAAGAACCCCAAATACATAAATAGATGTATGTAGACTTAACACAGTGTGTGTATTATAATAATAATTGTATATATACTTCAGATTAAAGATTGTTTTATAAACAATACTACAGAGATGTGCAGATTTTTCTATATTTATGCATATCAAATTCTGATGTAAAAGCTAATTTAATTTTGCCAATAATGATCAAATTAAGCATGCAGAGCCAAATTTTTCCATTTTTCTATTTTTTTTTAATATTACAAATGAAAAATAAAAGATTTTTTTTTTAAAATTATAAAATATATGAGATAGACCTACCTTCTTGAAAAATTTAGATCCAAGTAGAAAAAAAGGAAGGTATTAAGCCTGCTTTGTGGGCAGATAAGTGGGTAAGTGATGACAGGTGACTCATTAATATCCCGACAACTAGTTAGGATGACCACCCTAATCTGTGAAAAGTCCCACCCTGTATAAGCAGAACCACATTCTATTATAAACAGACCGATAATCCACAGATAATCTACATTTTTGTTGATTGTGAAAGAATAGAATGTTTTTGTTTGGGGAACATAAAGCTGTGAGACTGGTATTATTTACCTGGCTATGAGCTGTCTGTATTTCTAAGCAGGTGCCCTCAATTGTTGATAAGCAATTAGAGTGATCTAACAATCACAGTGCCTTTTGACTGGGATGCTAATTGACATTTAATTAAAATGATAGGCATGTTGTTGTTTGTTTTCTAATAGGGTTAATTATTGTGTGGATAACAGTCTTATTGTCCACAGAGGGAAAAATATTTGCTACTTAGAAATTCAAACATTTTTACATTCCGTGTCAAATTCTTGGAAAGTTTATTTTAGACTTTATATGGCTGTTTTTGTTCTGAGTTCCCTGCCAAATATAATTTGTACATTGCATCAAATCTTGCATAATATGCTTAGTTTATTTATGATGATTGATTATGAATTTAAAAATTTTCCAAATAGATGTTTTTTTCCCCTTTTTAGATTGATTGTGGGATTTTTTTTATCAGACATGTGATGGATACATCAACAAGACTTGTCAGAAAAGTTATAATTAATAATTAACAAACTATTTCAAATAATGATTATGTATTTTTATCATTATTTTTACTGTGACATTTACAATAATTATACAATAAAGTTTATACAAAATGAAAAGTCCCCTGAAATGTGACGAGTTTTTCAACAAGTTTGATTTCGGCTGAAATTGATGAGATTATTGGCCAGATGGGTGTATTTAGTGCTCCGAATATGAGATGCAGCACCAATGATATTGAACGTGTGCACATGTAAAATAGCCATTGTCACCTTCCAAGGGATAATTCTTTGTTAACATAAACGCCACGTGGCCACTTTGTCCGGCATCTGTTGGGGTCAGGAGCGTTTAGTTTACACCAAACACCAACCAGTAATCTTAGGCTAGAGGTTTTTTGTGCTCGAGTCTCTCTGTGTCCAATCGAAACTTTTAATTCAAGCTTCAGGTGTAATTATAGTAATACGTCTTGAGGGGGAAAAAACTAGGTTTATAATTAAAGTTTTTTTATGGTACAAAACCATGGTTAATGCTCAATTAAGAATAAAAACTGCAAATATTAATAAAAAGGGATTTTGCAGGTGTAATTCATTTTGTTTGATTTATGTGAATTTGTATTAAAAATATAAATAGGATTTTTATGAATATTTACCTCTTGGATGATGTGATTACATTAAAAGAAAAAAGATAAAAGTGACTTTTAGACCAACCCATCCTGATATAAATAAACCAAGCCCTAATCATCATAGTGCAAACTTAAGAATAGCTTTCTAATCAGCCTAAATTGAAACAAGACCCTATATTGTTTATTCGCTTGCCCCTGTCTACACTTGATAGCAGACAGATAAAAGGAATTTCACTGTTTTTAAACTCGCATCAGTGTTTTAAAGCCACTGTAATTAATTTTCATTCCTGAGAATTGTGGAATTCTGTGGTAGGTATAAGCTAGAGATCGAGGGTCAATGACTAATGGTAGCATTACTGGGGACTGCTTCTCTGCCCAGAGTGGACTTAGTCAATGAGATCTTCACGTCCTCAATAATAGAAACAGTTTACCACCACAGGAATCCAGGACTGAGTGCTAGTTAATCAGATTTTAGTGGTAGAAGAATGATATTTAACTGAGCTAAACTTTTATAGGAGTGATTGTGGGGAGATGATGGAGGTAATCCGCATACTCCTTGATGTCCAGTTAAAATCAATTATCCTCCCACTTTCTCTGTCACCATAATGGCCTTGGTCCGCTGGACCTCCGTTGGGGGGTCCCTGGCCCATTGTCTCAGGTGAAGTCATCCTGAGCCCCACCATTCACCTGTTGCCAGATCAGTCTTTGATGTTAGAGAAGTTGGCCATTTGCACACAGGTAGCCATTATTTGCTGGATGGATGGTAAAATGATGCTGTCAGTTATCTTTTAGGGGACTCCGGTGAAAAAAATTGGCAATCTGCATCTTTAATAATTTGTGTTGTACTGACTGGCCGTGGAAGGTCCACACTTACTTTTGATTCATTGCAAAGCACTTTTGCATTTCTGTACTGAAGAAAGGACATATTTGTCTACTGGTCTGCTTGTTTGATCTGTCAGCCAAAGAGAATTAATTTTAAGGAAGTGAGCCAAGATTTTTTTTTATCTTTCTAAAATAGGCAGGTTTTCATCATTGGGACCACAGATGCTTCATGGCCATAGATGCATGACCATATGAAGTTTTTCCCTTACGTATTGTCAAGTTTTCTTGCAAAAAAGTCTGTTGTTCTTTGGCAGTGGCAATTCATTATGGATCAAAAACTGGTTTCAGACAGTAGCAAATGTAGAAAATGTCTCTTAATGAAGATACTGATGAATGTATCAACATTTTCTCAACACCCACTTTTGTTAATCCTTGCCAACAAATACTCGCACAAGATCAATTTCTAAAACAACTTACATGTATCAAGTTGTTTTTGTGAAGTTAACAAAAAAGATAAGGTTTTGCTTTATAATCAGATTATCTAGATAGCATAATACAGTTATCTTAACATGACCTAGCCTGTCAGTGTAATGGTTTGCTATAAGCTGCTAGCTGAATGTGCTGAAACCACTGATTCCTTCTTGTTCTTTTGTAGGTCTCATCTCCTATACTGAGTACTTGTTCCTGCTATGTGTCCTTACAAGTAAGTAGTCCAAAGACTTAAAGAAGTCCCCTACTGATCAACAACATTGAAAGTATGTTATAATCCATAAAAAGATCATATCCTTAGTTGTTTTTTTTTTAAATACCATGTACAATCTAAATATAGATAGGAAACATAACTTTAAGATCAGATAAGTACTTGTAATTAAAAGTAGTAAATGACTGTCAACCATCTGTTTATGGGTCTGTATTTATGAAAAAAAAACTGTTTGCAGAAAATTGGGAATATTAGCCAAAATATACCATCCATCACATTATAAAATGCCAGTCAATCCATGGTCATAATTACCTAATGAGGTCACATGATGCCAGTGGGTGTGGGTAAAATATGGTTCTATATAGTTAAAAGAGAAAAATGAACAAGAAAAGTGCTGGAATATTAGTATAGAGTAAGTGTATTTCATTTGAGGATGAGAAGTACTTGAGAGCATATTAGCAAAAACAGTTTTGCTTCTTGTATAAATTCATTATTGTCACATGGTCTGTGGTTGGTTATCATCTCATAAACACTGATAATCATACACAAGTTCCCGAAATACCATCCAGTTGGTCAAAGTGTGTCAAAATGTAACTTTTTATTCATTTGACAAGTTTTAAACATTCTTGCAATGTATGTTGGTAATGAAACATTTAATGACATTTTAAGAAATATTCTAAAGCAAAATTCTTCAAGCTATTTATTTTATCAATAATTCATAGATCATACTTTGAGGGGGAAAAAGAATTTGAAAGTAGTTATTTAATTATACTGGCAGGTGTGAAATCTTCATGCAGCAGAAGCAATGCCACATAAAGCTATCAGATTTCAGAAATATTCTGAGTTTAACATATAATTTAGATGTCAAAAATGTCCGCATAAGGCCAGCACATCAGTGACTCAAACTGGCATGGAGATTTGGACAAACACTATGAGAGAGAAGATATCCTAGGTGGATGCTAGTAATTTGTAAAATCAAATCAAAAAGGATCTGTCTCACTTGAATATATTCATTAACAGTGAATGTCCACACAGATTTGATTAATTGTTTGTAATTTTACATTATTTGGGGAATGTTATTGTGGTTATAGTCCCTTGAAATGAGGATTTTTCTTTCTCTGATCTCAAATTTTTGTTTTTGATGTTTCAAGTGCATATGTAAATTTTACACTTTTGAAGGACCAGGGGATGGCAAATTTTTGTCCCACTAGTAGCATCATTGTTTGGAGAAAACTGACAAAAATTGAACCACTAAATATTTGGCAACAATACAGAGGGGATTTAGAGATCAAACATGGCTGCACACACGTTAGAGTTGGGCCTGCTATTGTGATTGTGGCCGGTGATTAATTAACTGGTCCGCCTAAACAAGGTCCGTAATGGTGGTGTTTATGTATGGAGGGCAGGTGAAAAATGGCCATCTGTTGTTGGAATGGGCTCATCCCACCCAAGTTTGAGTTTCCTCCTTTCTGTCCCACACGCTTGTCTAGCAGGGGTCAGGTATTGTTAGGAGAAAGCAGCATATGGCCCCTGCATTCCGAGCCTTTATTATACCCTAGCCTTACATCAAGTGGCCACATTTTATGCAAATGGAAGCCACCTGATTGTTAGAATTTTAATCATATTAAAAATCATAATAGCATAAATGATGTGTTTTTGAGATTAAAAGTTTTTAATCTCATTTTATGTCATGCCAGGGAATTGAGTTGTTTAAATGAGTCTATTGAGGTGTCTGTTGATGAAGAGAAGGATGAGATGATAAAACACAACTGGAGCTAGCTGATTCTCTTGTATAAAAGAAAAACTGTAACTGATATGAAAAATAATCCCAATATTGAATGAAGGATGATTTTAAAAAAGAAAGTATTATCAGCTTATTGAAAATTCAAAAATGCCAATCTGTTAAGGAATATACACAAGGGGTAGCTAAAAAAAAAAAAAACAAATAAATAAATTAAGAAGCAGAAATGTTCCTACAAATTGGAATAGTGCATAGTTTAAGGTGTCTCTTAAGTCTTGTTCACCTGAGTGTTTGGAGGCAATGGTCACTGAGTCAGAGGGACAGGTGCAAGAGTGTGTCCTTAACCCAGGACAAAGGTCAACTGACCAGTCCTGGAATGCAGATGAACAGATGGAGGGGAGTTAGAGTGGTCAGCTCTGGTAACAGATACACAGAGACAAATCGTACAGTTCAGCACCACATTGTCAGGTCTTGTTTTGTTCAGGTGGAATGATTGTATTGAAGATGTTGCTTCTGAAGCCGTCCTTTAATGAATCTTTATAGTCACATTTGATTTTGTTATTTAAACCGAATGAGTTTTTTTTTTTCAAACATAATTTTACTGTTATAGTTGAAAATAACTTGTCAAAAGTAACATGTTGATAGGATTTGAGAGGCATTTGAAAAGTCTTTTACTACCCAAACAGATTAGTCTAATGTTTTTGATATCATTTAAAAGAATGGGGAAAATTTGCACATATTGTTACATCATTTTTATTTTTTTTTATTTTTGATGATGTAATAACTCCACCAATGGCATCATAAGCTTTTGTGTTCAGTATACTTGAGTTTCACTTTATTTGACCACTTGATGGCATTAGACAAGGCTATAAAAACCCTCTTTGTAATAAATATTCAAAGAGCTGGATTAAGACTGTAAGAATAGTAATTTGTAAATCAGCAAGGTAAACTTTCTCCCAACTGGCAATTGTGTTCATTAGTGAGCATCCAAATAAAGAACAAATATTAGCTGATGAAATTTTTGTCACTTGTAAGACCATTTTTACGGTCAATATACTAATTAACACACAGTGAATGTTGTCATTTGCAGATTTGTATGCAATAATTTTATAAAAATACAAAGTGACATCACTTTTATTTAAGTGTCACACATTAATTAACACTCATGAATAGACATTGAGAACCTTAACAACAAAAAAATAATCTTCAACAGTGAATTTTGTATACAGTTGGAAAGGTTATTACTGGATGTGGTATCATGACCTAAATATTAAACAGTACCTGTTCAAAAATTTTCACCTGAACTTATTTTTAGACATGACACAACCTTCTTTGTCTCCGTGCAAGATTTTTTTTTTCAGCTCCTAGTTCTGGTAATGTATTTTTGTATATAAAATCTTCTGAAGGAATTTTATTTTTCTATTGTATTACTCTCAATATAAAATAATTATCTTTTATATTAAACATTTAAATCGATTAACTGCATTCTTTGTATTGAAAATATGAGGTCAAATAACCTTCTATACCACCCTAAACATTCTTCTGTATGCAATCTATAAAGGGTGTAAAGGAGATATTCTCACTATATATCCAAATTAAAGCTATATATATATATAATTATAATGAATCAGTTAAATATTTTTCTTTAAAAAGTCAAAGCACATAAATTAACCTGTTAAGCTGACAAGGCTGTATAATTTTCGTAGAAAGTAATTGTTCTGTTTCAATATGTGAATGGACATTCCTGCCAAGAATTCTGTTGACTCTTAGGACCGTGTTCAAAGAAAAAGTCTGAGTATTTAAAAAGAGTTCTGCCGAGTACTACATATTGGCAGTAGTTGGTATTTAAACATTAAGTGCTGTATAATTTTTATTTTTTGAATATCACATGGAGAAGGTGAATTAAAGACTTTCTGTAGTCACTCTAAAGTGAGTGAAATCATCTTCATCAGCTTCAACCTAACTGTTAGGTAGACAATACTATCATGATAGCGAGCGCAGCGAGCTCAATAGACTAACGTGTACGAACGGAGGAAATTCGGGTTGAAATCTGCACATTGTTCCAAGAAATTTTTATCTCACCGCGTGAAAAAATTCCAAACTCCCAATAATCCTTCGCGGTGCATAGCAACATGGTGGCTGAAACATAGCAACAACTTACTTGAAAAAAATTACAAACAACGATTTAATGCAATCTCCATGCCACAAAACTTTCGTTTGCGTCCTTAGTCAACAGGACTTAATTTTTGACGTCATACTTTCGTCACTTAAATGGTTCGGGTATTTCTGATTTTGTTGGAAACTTCTGAAAAGTTAGGAATCTCAATCCCGATGCCTAGGAAGTGATTTCTTTTTATTCTTTTTTTCTTTTTTTAATGAATTGAGGATAGGCAGTGCAAGTAAAAGCTGAGTAAAGGTTTTTGATAGTAAATAACTGCGCTCGCCCCAACGGTCGCACCGTAGAACATATTAGTTTCATCATAAGCTACCTCACTGTAAGTCAGAGAATGCATTTAAGGCATCATCATCATTAACTAATACAACACTGTAAGCCATCATCATCAGCTTCTACCTCACTGCAAGCCAGAGGATGCTTCCAAAGTATCATCATCATAAGCTTGTGCATCAATGTAAAACAGGCATCATCATTATAAGCTTCTACCTCACTGCAAGCCAGAGGATGCTTCCAAAGCATCATCATCATAACTTTCTACTTCACTGCTTTCAAGGCATCATCACCATTAGCTAACACAATACTGTAAGCCAGACGATGCTTCCATGACAGCATCATCATAACCTTCTGCATAAATGTAAATCATCATCATCATCATCATCAAAAGCTTCTACCTCAGCCAGAGGATGCTTCTACAGCATCATCACCATAAGCTTTAACCTCACAGTAAGTCAGACAATGCCTCTGCATCATCATCATAAATTACCATGTCACTGTGAGCCAGGCAATGCTTCTAGGCAACATCATCATCATTAGCTTTCAAACATTGAGAGTCCATGCTTCCAAGGCATCCTCCTCCTCCTCATCTTCACAAGCTTCTGCCTCACTGTAATCCAGATCATGCCTTCTGACATCATAAATCATTAGCTAACATTTTAAACCAGACAATGCTTTCAAGACATCATCATCATATGCTTCCAGTCTTCCACCTCGCTGTAAGCCAGATGATGCTTCCCTGACAGCATCATCATAATTTTCCACAATAATGGAAGCCAGACAGTGCTTCTAGTGTATCATCATCATTAGCTACACAACACTGAGCCAGACAATGCTGCCATCATAGAAGTTTCATGACATCATCATCATAAGCTTCAATTTACCTCACTGTAAACCAGACAATGATTCTCAGCAGCTGTGTCTGAATTTTGATGTACAGATTTTAGAGTGCAATCACTTGTTATGTAGGGCAACTGTTTTGATTATAAGATGGTTTATTTTTAGATGGATCTAGAGATAATAGTGACTGATTTTATAGATTCAGCCTGTATATGCATGCAGTCTATAAAAATCAAGAAATGGGAAATGAGGAAATCAAAATTAATACCAGAGCACTCAGTACAGCTGCATTGAGCTTTATAGAATTAACGAATTAAAGAGGCTAGAGAGAATGAAACTTCAATAATTTTTTTCCAATCCATTGTTGAGAACTCGACATTTTGAAAAAAAAGACTTTTAATAAGTAAATTGTCTTATCAATCAAGTGTTCATGAGAACTGATTGTTAAAAAATGTTTTATAAGTAAATTGGGTTTAATTTGACCTTGGGTGGAATCTCACTTTGAACAGGGACTGTTTACTCTGATTTTGTGTCCCTTTCTCTGCAGTGAGTCATCGGTCGGCCTCTGATGATACAAGAATACTTATCTTTGTCAAACTTGTCATTTATCCTTAATATTAAAGCCTTGTTGGACACTTGGCCAGAATCCAAGCTTTTACATATTTGAGGTGGAAATTCCTTTCGATTTGAATTTCATTAATGCTTTTATTATCAAAGACACGGACAGAATTTGTATTCATCCTAACAATATCAGACTGGCAAACAGGAATGAGACTTGTGTATGAAAATTATCTACCCACCTATCTGTAGGCCTGATTTATTGTGTAAGAATGCATATCTTCTAAAAATAATTGAGATGAAAGTGACCTTTCATCAGATCTAAATTTACCTGGTGTATTAAATAAGTAAGTAAACAAGTTAATCATAAGACGACTGTAACACCTTTACAGTATTGATTGAATCAGGTTCTTATTGTCACACGGGGTTTTATGAATGAAATATTCCAAGAGATGACGACATCCAGATAGCATCAGCTTAGATTACAATCATTAACATCAAATAATTTACACCTGTAAGAGCTGTAGCTACCTGGTGGAAATCCCCACTAAGGTCAAAGGTCCTGTTCCCTCTACCTCTCTGTCATCACCCTTCTCAGGAGGGGAACTGCCTGATCACAAAAACAAGGTTTATCAAGTGAACTATCCAGGTCAATGCCACACAACCAGGCAGAAATTTTAATTGCTAATTAGTTGCAGACAATTAATTTCTATACAGTTGCTTTACGTGCTTAACAATCATGCAGGTCAATTTTGTTAGGGCTGTGAATAGACGATATTATCATCAGGGTTTAATTGCTGTGAAAGGTATGACAGAATTATACTAAACTTGTTACACTGATGCTGACAGGACAGAATAGGGGACAATAAAATCCAATTGTTACAGAGCTTGGGAACTAGGTCAGATTATTGACACACCTTTTAAAAATGTCCATTCACAGAGAGACTGACAGACAGGGTTGTTCAGTACATGTCCTATAAGCACTCTATAATGAGCACTAGATGAGGGAACACAGAATGAAAAATTAGAAAATCATGCACTTATTCTGAAGAATTTGATGAATTTTGCATTTTTTTTATTAACCTTGCATATTAAGAACAGCTTGAATGGGACATTATAAAATGAAGATAAGACCTATGTGAAATTAGCAGAAATAAAGTGCTCTTGAAATTCTATTTGATATTGAAGGTATTTTTGGTTTGTTTGAAATAGATCTTGTTAATCAGGCTTCATGGGGACAGCATTAACAAGCTAAGAGAACCTGTAATAACAACAGGCAGGAGTAAGGGGCTGCCTTCCCAGTGATTTATCAGGCACAGAACAGGTGCCTCTGTGGATTCTCCAACCCAGACTCAGATCATGTTCAGAAGGTCACAAATTGTACTTACAAATAACTCCTGACTGTACAGATTTACTGAAACCATGCTCTCCCTCCCAGAAAAAAAGGCAACAAGTTTTCATCATGGTGACTGTACTGAAGTAGATAAGAGTTTCTAATTTGTGAATGCTAGAAGTTATATATATAAGAAACAGGAGAGAAATTGATTGAGGTATAAATATGATAGACAGACGTAAAAGTGCCCAAGTGTTAAATGTAATGATTTACCTGGCTATTTCATCCGAGCTGCAAACAGCTGTCGTGCACCTTAAGGTCCCATTTTATGTCTCAGCTCTATAAATAGATCTAAGGAAAGTCCATGATATATTGACATAGATAAGGCATTATACCTATGTGTTGTGCAATTCTTAAGAAGGAAGTGTAATATTGCACAAGTGTCACCCAGAACTTACTAGACACACCTTTACTGGCATTATGCTATTCTGCATTTTTAAAATGGTGTAGCATGTTTTCCCCTCATATTAGATATTTTATTCTCTGGTCAGTTTATTTGACAAATGTCTAATGTTAAAATTTGATGATTTTAAGAAACTTAAAAATAGAGCACCTGTTTCAGATTTTGGTCTTGCTTAATAACACTCCATGTCATACCTGCTGGCATTGATGGAAGCAGAAAATGCATTTAAACTCTTTTTTTTTTTCAGAGTCCAAGTCAGGTTTCCGGATAGCTTTTAATATGTTTGATACTGATGGAAACCAGATTGTGGATAAGAAAGAATTCCTAGTGGTATGTATAGTCTAGAGGTCATTGCCTATATTCTGCTATCTTTCCTATCGGATGAGATGAAGTCAGTTATCTCCGGTACTAGTAAAAAAAGCCCACTGCCAGCCTCTATCTTAATGTCTGTATTGATTCTGGTAGGAAGAAGGTGGGACCCATTCACAAAATGCAATTTTTTAAACTGATTTTACATGCAAGTTGTTCTTGTCTTCATTAAGGTTCCCTTTAGATTTTTGCTCCATATTGAAAATGGATAAGATCTGGTTTTATCTCCTTTTTTCTTGCTTTACCACCATTGAGAATCTCTCAATGAAAGAAGGAAAAGCATTTGATATGGCAAAAAAATTCTGTCTAGTCTTATAACAAATAAACTTGCCAAAGATTTTGATTCAATCTTTTGATCAGTCAATTCTTTTTAACTTAAAAAAAAAAAGATTTACTCATTTTCAATGAAACATTAAAGGGTTTAGATTTACATACACTAAACACAGAAACTGATTAAGATAAGTAAAGACATTAGATACCAAAATCAAAGAAGAGAGCCAGCAGGTTCTCTCATTACGGATGTCTGCCGTACAATATTTAATCAAAAACAAACATGAATTTACAAATCTAAAACAAGAAATGGCTTTGTTTTGTATTTCCTTGGTGAGAGCTTTGTGGTGAATTATATTGTCTATTGATGATTTAGATAGTCAATGCCACCTGTTTGTTAGAATCTCAGAAATAAGGCTTTTGCTTTGTGGATGACACACACAACACCAATAAGACATGATGATGAATTAGAATAATGAAGATGCTCGTCTAAATATCTCACCTGTAGATTTTTTTAATCTTGATTTTGCATGTAAGAACTGACCCAAACTTTTTACTAGGACACCCCCCCCCCACTAGAGAGGTAACTCCAACACATGATCTTCACCAAATTAGGTGATGAAAAACATGGTGTGTCCAATCACCATTAAATGGGTGTCAACAAACGCTTGCTGCTGAGTTACAACATAAGTTTGGTTACTGCAGGAACCCATACAAAGGCCATTAGCATAATGGCTGCAAGCTACTGTATTTGTCATCAAAGTTGGATACATTAGCACCATTATCATAAGCTTAGATGATAACACGTTTGCTGCTCTACTAAACCATGACAACAGGCAACTTATGCAGCAACACAACCATGACCTGTTTGAGAACAGGTAACTGCTGCTACAACACAAACATGACCTGTTTGAGAAAAGGTAACTGCTGCTACAACACAACCATGAGCTTTATATTGACAGGCAACTACTGTTTACACATCCATAGGCTCTGTGACAACAGGCAACTGCTGCTATACACACTCATGGGATCTAACAACCATGAGCTATGACAACAGAACTGCTATAAACAACCATGATCTGTATGAACTGCTATAAACAACCATGAGCTGTATGACAACAAACAACTGCTATAAACAACCATGAGCTGTATGACAACAAACAACTGCTATAAACAACCATGAGCTGTATGACAACAAACAACTGCTATAAAGTACCATGAGCTGTATGACAACAAACAACTGCTATAAACAACCATGAACTGTATAACAACAAACAACAACAAACAACCATGACCTGTTTGAGAACAGGTAACTGCTGCTACAACACAACCATGAGCTGTATGACAACAAACAACTGCTATAAACAACCATGAGCTGTTTGACAACAAACAACTGCTATAAACAACCATGAGCTGTATGACAACAAACAACTGCTATAAACAACCATGAGCTGTATGACAAAAACAACTGCTATAAACAACCATGAGCTGTATGACAACAAACAACTGCTATAAACAATCATGAGCTGTATGACAACAAACAACTGCTATAAACAACCATGAGCTGTTTGACAACAAACAACTGCTATAAACAACCATGAGCTGTTTGACAACAAACAACTGCTATAAACAACCATGAGCTGTTTGACAACAGACAACTGCTATAAACAACCATGAGCTGTATGACAACAAACAACTGCTATAAACAACCATGAACTGTATGACAACAGACAACAGCTGCTCTACCACAACCACCTGTTGTGTGGTGACAGGCAACTGCTATTGCATTGAAATCTTATCCAAGTTGGGTTATCATCATCTCTTGCTACTTCACCACAGCTAAGAACTAAATGAGCAACCTCAAGCACCCTTTGCTGCACCACAGGCAATTTTGCTGCTGCACTGCAGACAATAAAAGGGCAAACTTCTGTTGCTGCTGCTTAGTCATTATATCTGTAACTTGAAACTACTCCAGCACCGCCATTACAAAAAATGGCTGCAGACACATACAATTTTTGGCCATCTATCATTACTAAGTAATTTCATGGTTGCAAATACTTTTTTTCTGTTTCACATCTTCAATAATTAGTAACTAACAATACAAGCACCTGCCTCTGAAGCACAACCATCAGAAAACACACCACTATCTGCTCCACCACTCTTAGGTTCCGTGACTGCAAGCACCTGTTGCTACACCTTCACTATTCATTGGGTGACTTTGGGTGTCTGCTTTGTTGTATTGCATGAAAAAGCTTTTGATATTGTGTCTCATCTCATAACATTCTTTTTAAAAGTATTATTCTCTTTCATACAAAAGTTAAGGAATGAGGGTAGAAAATGAAGGAGAAGGCATCCCTACTCAACCAGTCACACCCAGCTTATGCTTCTCCTCATTATTGTGTAGAAAAATTTATAGACAATTCAGTTTGAAAAAATTGGTCAAACAATTTATATGAAGAACATCACTCATCATTTGAAATAACAACAGATTACATTTGCAAACAAAGTCAGTGTATCAAAAAACTGAAAATGTTGACCATAAACAAGATTATTGATACCCTTGTATTATCAACATATTTGTCAGTAGTCTACCTTGGTTAAGTAATCTCTTTGTAAGAAGCTCTTTGGCATTAAATCAACTGGGAGACAGAAATGCCATATGCAGTAGATGATTGTATATTGTTATAATTATAGATAAGGGAGGCTGACATCAGAAAATTTTAAATCATCTTGTTTGTCATAAAGTTTAATTTAATAGTTTCACATCATCTTTCTCTAGTAAAACACCAAATTTGAAACAGCAGGCAATAATATGCTATTAAAAACAGCAACAACAACAAATCCTTATTTCAATGTTTGTTAAATTGTGAAAGGGAAATTACATTCAAATAAATTAAGGTCTAAGTTTTTAATAGAAAAGCATATTTGATCCTTTGTTTAAATAATTTAATCATCAAATATTGATAAATGGATTGACTTCAAAATAAGTCTGTACACAGCTTGTCTACAAACAATTTGTTTCCCAAGAAAATGGTCATGTAATCTTTGTAGGCAAACACAGCAAAGTGCTTCTGTAAATGGCAAAGGCAATCAGTTCCCACTAAATTATCCAAAGGTTTTCTTCTAGCCCTATTTATGCTGTGGACTTTTTTGGGTAGATGAGAGTGTATGTGAATATGTAATGCATTCTTAGCTGGTCTGGGTTATGCAATCAATTTTCTTTATCAATGAACTTCATTGCTATCGAGGAAACTAGTTGAGAGGGAATTCTTGGACAACATGCAACAAAAAAATGTCTTGCAAACTGGAGAGCATTATGACATAAAGATTGTAGATATATTGGCTGGGACAGATCCCATTCTCTCCACTCCTTAATCACATTCATTGAAATCACTGGTCTACCCCACTTAGAGTGAAGGGCAGAAAACTTTAATATTTAGTTTATTGTCACTTCTGGTACACATTCAGTAGTTTATGGCTGGTAAAGAAGATTCTTCATCTATGTTTATATAGGCCTTACAGTAGAGATTTAAATCCTACCAATATTTTATTCCTTTAAAGGGTACAGTGGTTTTATTTCACAATTAATGAGCACTTCATTTTTCCAGGTGATAAAGAGAATGTGAAACAAGGTGGAAAAAGTGTTTGTCAAGAACTGTTTTCATATAAAGTCAAAGTACAAGTACAAAACCAAAAAAAATATGCTTAAATTAAAAGATTTCTGCCCAGATTTCCATGCTACATATAATTAATCCCTCTTTATTTAGCATAGTAGAAGGATCCAAGAAAGGAAAGTTTTACTGACAATGTTAACTTTCTTTTTTTTTATCAATGAAATTCAGCCTGCAATGTTCCCACAGCTAGGGTAGTGAAGCCTTCACCTCCTGGGTATAAATTACTTACCTCTGTTTACATAGTCTTCCATCGTCGCCTTCTTTGATACCTTCTGGGGTTAAATATTGAAAGTGCTATCTCTGGAAAAATTTTTATAATACTCTTGATGCCAAGCCTTTCTTTGATGTTTGGTATTTATTTAGCAGATCACACACAAAAAAAATCATGTCACACAGATAAGACAGAGAAAGCGAAAGCAATAATTTAATTAAAAATGAAGCTTATATCAAGTCATAACCAAAGAGAGATAACTCCTATTTACAGCTTATTAGCTCACTAATGCCGCACAAAAGTGTACATGTATATTACAATTTTTAGTTTCAATTAATTTATTGTATCTTTTTTTGATTTTGTTGATCAGCATGGAATTTTACCCCATTTAGACAGTTATGCAAACATTCACAATTTACTAGAACATTTCACATTTAATTTTTTATTAGATTTGTGCAAGACATTCAAATATGTTTGACATTTAAGGGTACTTAACACAAACAAAAAATTGATGCATGGATTGATATATATTTTTTGACTGATTTTGATTTGAAATGACATGAATAAAAAAAATCCCTGAAATATAAAGAAATCGTAGGTTTTCCTTGGTGCTTAGATATGAGGCTTTGTTTTGTTTTCTATATAATTCTATACAAAATTTTGCACACTTTTTTAACCTTGTGACAAAATCTTATAAATTCATTCCAATATACTTGGTAAACATTAGTCAGGTTCCCATTTTAGATATAAATTTATGAGAAATATAGCTGATTTCTGAAAAAAAAATTTTGTTGGTGTTATTTATCCTTAATTTATAAATTTAACTGAGAAAATATACTAAAAATGATAAAATTGATTATATTACACACCCATGTAAATGAAATTTATTCAAAATGCCTGTCTAAAAAAAAATTTAATAACTTTTTAACAACTTTAATTGATGAAGTTTTGATCATTTAATAATTAGTATTGCTAATGCTTTTCCAACTAAACCAGTTTATAACCTTATTACATTCCAATCCTTAAGGCCATAATAAATAAATTGCTAGATTCTCATCCGAATTTTTTTAAAATTCGAGGCGGGCGGGCGGCTTTTATTTTATATTTTTTATTTTTTCAATTTTGCAGATTTTTTATTGACCTCAGTGTAATTTTATCTACAATACCCAAATAAAAGTCATAATAAAGTTCAATTATTTCTTACTTCACATTCACCAATCTTTTTCAACCAATGACCCTTGTTTAAAATATATACGCATGTATTACAGCAATTAACCATCTTTTATCATGTCGACTTTCGCGGGATTTAAAACTAATATATTAAGACGAAGAAAAACCGAAATAAAAAAAATCGAGGCCTAGGAATATTTTTATTATGGCCTAAAGTAAATTTTTTGGGTGGTTTAAATTATTGCAATATTTACAGTTATGGTGATTTCCCATGTATATATATATATGTATAATTAGAGTTGGAAAGGATTTCCCTTATATTCTTATGTTCCCTAATTTCAGCACACTGGTAACTGGGCTTTGATTTGTTTTCTTTTTGTCCTGTTTTTTTCAGTTGGAAACCTTCTTCACTCTTCCCCCTCAGGAAAGAAAATTTGTCCCCAGAGAGCAGACAAAATTACAAGCCTTACTTGATGTAAACACCAACATTTGCACTATCAATCAGCTTCACATATATATTCATCTATAGGCTAGGGTTAGCTTGTCCAAACCATATATACTTCTATCATCTATATTAAGCATGCTTATTATATTCATAATTTTGCATGGATATTAAAAAAGAAAAATACTGCTAACTGTTCGTGCATGGGGAGGTTTAGAATTGATCCTGAGTGAGAAAGTGAAGCTCCTCAGGAAAGAGGTAATAATTAACCCCAAGAGTCCTGATTTCTTGACACTTAGACAATTCAGTTATATTTTCATACCACCAGGTAATATATTAGTGATGAATACTCAGTTATGTCAGTCAAGTTTAAGAAATATATTTGGCACGTTTTTTTTAAACTCACCTGAGTCAAAGTTTTTTTCAAAAGTGTCCTCTTGTGAACTTCCTTTTCTTTTTTTTTTCTCCAGAACCACTGGGCCAGTTTCAAAACAAAAAATATTTTTGAGTGAAGGGGAAATAAGTTTGTACAAATAAAGGACCATGCTCACTTCCAACAGAAAGAATGAGGTGGAGTCACTAGAAAAATTTTTTCTCAAGCATATCTCATTAAAGTTCAGATAAAGATACATGTTTTCAATTTCCATGAGCTGGGGTTTGAAATTTAAAATTATCTTCTTAGAAAAGGCAGTTACCAGTAACAAAAAAAAAGTAAAAAAAAAAAAAAAAAAAAAAACCAGGGCCAAAGTGACGCAGGTTAGAGATGTGACCCATGGGCCTCTTATGGTCTAACTGGCTGACATATTTATGGTTTATAATAAAGTAAATACTAGACTAACAAATGAATTACACAGTACATTGTATGTTTCATAGAGTTGAGCTGCATAAATAAGGAAAACATTTACATTCATATGAAGTTGTATGACTGAACTGTTTAAGTCAAGAATTCAGGACTAAATTGCAATGGCTTGTGTTATCCTGCAGTAGATAATGCATGAAAAATCCAGAAGACAGCTAATGTACTGTGTGTAATGTTTATGTGTTTAATGCCAGTAATAGTTTTAAAAAATGCAAAAGTACAAGTGATTATGTTTGGAAAGAAATATTGGCATTCTCTTTGTATTATTGATAAGATTATGTAAGATTCTTAGCACATTACTATACATCCATTAATAACACGATACATGAAATTCTGTGAAAGTCTTGACAGACACAAGGATTCTGGCACAGTTAAAACTGAATGTTACAGATTATAGACTTGTTAGCATGTGTGACCACGCAGCACATTGTTTGGCCTAATCCTTTATACCCTTAAATCCCTCAGCATTGTCTGTCTGTTTGTTTGTGTCGTTTGTAGTTCCCATCACTTCAGTGTGTACTGAACGTGGCATAAAAAAACATAATTTTACTCAATGACAAAGTCGGAAAAATACTAAATAGGTCATAAACAATTACATTTATATGTAAATATGATAAAAAGTCATTGTGAAATCAGTTTATTTAGGAGTGAAATCCATTGTTAAAATTCTTTAATTTATTGAAATTTACCAGACAGTTAAACATACTTTACTGAAAGAGTTTGTATTGTAACATAAAGTCCTCTCTTGTGATAAATATTTTTAGAATGAAAAGATATTGAAATTACTGTAACCTCCCATTTGTCTCAATCCTAACCTAAGCATAGATTATCTAGTTTGGCTTTGTTTGAGATTTTCTGTGGGATGTTTTTGCATGTAATATGCTGCTTGTGATTTTTCCTGCTAACATGTTTTAAAAATATGACTTTTCCAGCTTGAAAAAGTTTTCAGTAAGAAAGAAGATGAACCCAAAAGTGACAACCCAGTTAGCAAGGTTTGGAATTTAATTTAATGGAAGAAAAAACAAAGAAATTTAGTGTTGTTTTGTGTTTTATTTTGATCGTTCATTGTTTACAAGTAAACTGATTTGTTTATTTTATGATATGACATATGAAGAACACAATGTTGCCAAGATTTGTTTGTTTTTATTGTTGTTTATTATTTTTAATTGACAAAGATATGTTGAAAGCTTGATAATGGCTAAAAATACTGATCTTGCTAAAAAGCAGCAGTTAACAACTTCGACTTGTTTGATTTGCTTTTTAGGCGATCCCCCAAGTCTCTCAGGGACCCATTGCCAGCATTAGTCTGTTGTTTTTAGCCAGTTAGCCATTTATTTTTTCAAATTTTCAGCTTCTCCTTTGAAACTTCTTGGAAAAATTTACCTAAAATTTAATAAAGGGATTTTAAAAAAGTGAATTCCATGGGTCCCAACTCTTAGGACTTTGTGGGTGGAACCAAAATGGCCAAAAAAGTTTGCAATACTAGTATTAAAATAAAAAATCTCCCCTTCTAGCAAGCATTTAGATAAGTATATCGTGCATATCTCCCTTAACAAAATTTGTAAAATTCCTGACCCCTGCCAAATTTTTATGAATTCCAGGGTAGGGTACTAGTGTATAAATGCAGAACGCTTGCCTTTTTGTTTTATATACAAGTCTGTCCATAACATTCAGACCCTGTAATGCAAATATGGTGCAGTTTCTGGTGCAAAATTTTCTATGCACTGTTGGGGATAAGTTCTGTTATTTCTGGCATTGGTCAATCAACTATCTTTCACTTACTTACTCTACACATATTTTATTGCCAACCTGTATGTTTTAGCAACCTCCTATCCCTTTATAGTCGGCTTTTCAGACCAGTAAACTCTCATTTTGTTTTTTTGTATGGCAGAAAATCAAAACAAGGAAGTTTATTGGTTTCTAGAGATGACTTTAAAGGGTGGATAAAAAATTACAGGTCATGTGTAGAATAAGATAATGAAAGGTAGTTGAATGACCAGTGCTGCAAAGTGAAGAAATGTATCCCCAACTGTGCTCAGAAAGTCTTGCGCCATAAATTACACCACATTTGCATTACAGGATCTGTAGTGTTATGGTCAAGGACATACATGTATATAAAACAATAATGCTACAATTCTGCAGTGAGGTAGGGTAATGAAAATTTGCTCTTTTTCTTCTATAAAATTTCTTTTATGTGAGCAAGCAGTAACAAGCAATTATCAGAGAGGTATTTAAGGAATAATTTATTTTTTGATTTCATGATGTGATTAATCAATTGGCTTGCATGATAATTTCATAAACGCCAATGGCGTTTATGCATAAAATTTTCACTCGAGCCAATTCATTGATCATCGTCATGAACTCGAAAAATCTGACAGTTATTCCTTATATTTACTTGCTCTTGATTCAGCCAATCCATGTGCTACAAGCCCCACTTCTTGTCTCTATTTGTTTACATGAACTAAATAATGTTTGTTTACATGAACTAAATAATAAAACAAGCTAAGGCCTGTTTCTTTTTTTTTTAAGCAAAGAATTTTTGAGAACGTTTGCTTTGTTTTTGTCTTTTAAAAAGTAATTTTTGAATGCTTGATAAAATGCATTTTTTTTCTTTTGGCTTTCGGAAATTTCATTCAAGTAAACTACTTACATTCAGTGTTATTAACCTTAAAGTGTGTTGTTGAATGCAAGTTAATTTTGGTTGCGACTTTGAATTTGATACTAATGTATATCAAAATATTTTTAAAATTTTGTTAATAAATATGAAAATGATTCTATAAAATAATTCAAAACTAATTTTAAGTGTTTGTTTATATTATAAGTAGAGAGGATGATAAGTTATGCTGAAATATATTAACTGTTAGAAAATCTTATTTCAAACAAGAGTTCATCACAGATATCATATAATCTGTTTATCTCTGGTTCTTGGAAAATTGTGTCCGTAAATTAATAGAATAGTAAAGGTGTTGATTGTTAAGACCTGTTTTTGTAATGATTTATGTTGTACCTTTGACAGTCCGTGGAACCAGTTCAGGACACTACACTTATGGTCCACTTTTTCGGTTCCAAAGGAAAGGATGTCCTTAAATACGAAGATTTCCACAGGTAATGTAATCACTGTCGCACATTGCTTGTTCATTTTTAGCTCATGATGTCAAAGTCAAGACAAGCTTATGCTAAAAACCCCGGTCTCAGAATACAAGTTAAAGTTGTATGAGCAAGTCCATTCCCAAGTAACTAGAGAAACCATACCTGGTCCAAACCTGTATAAATGACATCTATGGATACTCACCTTCAGGCTTGGTTGGAAATTCTGATCTATCCTACGTACATTTTCTGGATGATTGACCAGTTTAAAGCTTTTGAAGTACCCATAAGACCTTAATCTGCCAAACTTCCAGGGATGATGGATCTAAAGATGCATATTATCAGACAGTCTTCATATTCTGGATCTGGCCTCTTTTATAACATCAGTGTCCAAATTCAAATCGTTGGAGCAGGTCCATTCCAAAGTAACTGTAAAGCCTGTTTGGACCAAACTTGCATCCAGGGATGCAAAATATACCCGACATCCTTTTGGTGTATCACCTAGCTGACCCAAAAACTATTAATCTTACCATGACTTCACCTGCACGGATGTGCACTTATGATGTACATAACCTATGCATTTAGTGTGAGACGTTGCCTTCATTTATAAATAAAACATTTGTCGAAGTGCGCCCTGTTTTCTTTGATGTTTATGTTTTGATTACTGTAGATCACTTGTAGCTATATTTCATTTTACTTCAATTTTGCAAACATTAGCAGCTATTTGCAAGAAAATATTTCTTGTATTAACTACAGTTAAAGAAATATATGAACATTGCCTATTATTATCCATGGGTTCATAATTCACAAAATTAAAAGCTTTTATAAAATTAATTCATTGTAAACATACTTATCTTATTTGAATTTCACATATTTAAATGGTATAACCCTTATTAAATTTTCACTGAATTGTAGATTTATGGAGAATCTTCAGTCTGAGGTCATAGAATTGGAGTTCCTGGAATTCTCTAAGGGTCTGGCCACAATATCAGAAGAAGACTTCGCTCGGATTCTGTTACGCTACACCATGTTAGACAGATCAGACATAGAGCAGTGTATCACTCGCGTCAAGACGAAGGTCCCAAGTGAAAAGGTCTTACAATCAATTGTCTTTTATTATATTTATGTTATTTTTAAGGATGTGTGCTCCTCAGTTAGAAAGAGTAACTCATAAAAATATTTATAAGCGCTGGTAGGACACCACTTGCTTCTTCATTCTCATCTTATTCATAGTTGTTCATTATAGACAATATAAGTTGATGGAAACTAAAAATTCCAGGACAGTATTTCACAATATTTCTAACACAAATAAAGATTGGATTTAAAAACCAAACATTTCAACATGCAAACAAATTTGTTGATAATATCTCATATTTACTAAAATATCATGCTCTAAGAAAAAACTTTTTTTCCCTTGTTAGTCAAATCTTCCATGGCTCTTGTCCATTGTTTAAAATATTTGATTCAGCAAAAAATACTGATCCTCAGAATCTGAGGAACTGACAGCCTTTTACCTACCGGGTATATTAAATCAGCTTGGTCACAAAAAGTTTTCAATCGAAGAACCCTCTTGTTAAGTTGTAACTCACCAAGTTATTGAAGGGTTGCTGTTGAAACTGATCATCTCCATGCATTTTTTTTTTATTGCAGACAGATTTGCTTATTTTTGATGGTTCTAATCTTTCAGGGCATTACCTTTGAGGATTTTAGGAAATTCTGTGAATTTTTGAACTCCCTAGATGACTTCACAATAGCAATGAAGATGTACACATATGCAGACCAAGCTGTTTCCAAAGGTAACTAAAACAAAAGGCTCAGGAGAAAGAAAGATTCTTCCCAAAAAATAATGTTTGAAACAAATGCAGTATATTTGGGATCATGTGGGGTGAATATGGATATCATATATTTATTTAAATTAAAATTGTTGTTTGAATAGCATTTACCAAGTAGCTCGGGTCAGTCTTTTCACACAACTTGTGTAATCTAGAGAAAATTTGAAGTGGACAGTGAATTGAGTGTGAATTTTAGATGGGCTTGTCTTACATCTTGTTCAATTTTGATGACTAGATTTCAAGGCCTGCAACTTAACAGTTTCAAATTAAGCTTTTAAATAATTCAACAAAATTGGATGATATATGTTTCAAGTATTTTTTGTGATTGTGGAAAAAAGAAGTCGGCTAACTTTTATTTTTACTTGTAATTTGTTTTTTTTTCTGTTAACAGAGGATTTCCAGCGGGCGGTGTTTGTGTGTACGGGTTCTAACCTGAGTCCCCACCTGGTTGACACCGTGTTTAACATCTTTGATGCTGACGGAGATGGACATCTCAGTTACATGGAGTTTATCTCGATCATGAAGGATCGCCTACACAGGGGATCCAGGGTAAATAGTGTTTGTAAACTCAAAATATCAGGACTGTATACACTTAGGGAATAAATATTAAGATATAGAATTATTGCTCTCTAAGTGGTTACATTCAAAATCCATAAGTAAATTCTTAAAAATGAATCATCACTCAAGAGAACTACTCATACAAGTAAGAGTCTTGTTTAACCTCCCTATGCTACTTTTATATACACGGCGCCAAGTCAAAAGTATCTCATCGTGAACCGCTAACATGCTGGAGCATCAAGAGAACAAGATATTTTAGAGTTTGAAAGTAAAATAAAAGACAAAGTTTTTAACATTTTCCTGAATAAACATACATGCCAACTTTCCCGATTTAGGCGGGATCCTCCCGATTTTACCCTTTCATCCCGCCTTCCCGATCGGGAAAGAAAAATTGCCCTAATTTCCCGATTTGAAAAAATCACCAAAATTTCTGATTATAAAAGATTCCCTACCATGCCTACTGCTGAATTTTGACAATCGGGATAACAATGTCAAACTTGTTTATTCAATGCACTTAGATAAGTTTCATTGTTTATTTAACAATGTTAATTAGCCACAGGAAATCACATCACGCTTGAACGCATGCAGTTGTCCAGGTGCAACCGTAGCTTATAGCTTGGGGCAATTAGGGGATTATCTTGTCAGTTTTAAGGGGTATGCAAGGTGAAACACATAGATTAACGTGTTAATTGTTAGTCATTTTATTAAAAACATAAATTAAAGACAATGAAATACTAATCAAACTATAAAATCGGAATCCAAAGAGATCGTTTTTTGAAAATGAAAGTAGAAAATACAAAGCATAGATGCTGATTTTATCTACCTATAATGAAAAATATTGTAAAGTTTGCCAGTTAAAATATTATGAAATTAAGATGAAACAATCAAGTGTATGTCAATTAGAATTTCTTTTCCCTTCCTTCTCCCAAAAGTAATATTTTTTAGGTAAGTGCATGACTTTAGGAAATACCCACATGGCACCATCAAGCCTGACAAATTTCATGACTGTAAAAAAAAATAATTCTCCTTTGGATAGGTGGTATAAATTTCAGTAAATTAAATACCTTAATTATTAGAATTTCTAATTAATTGAAATATAAATAAAAAATCTCAAAAATGTTTCCAGAAACAGGACTTTACAGTATCAAAACCTCGTATATTTTTTAGCCTTTGAAAAAAAATGATTTAAAAGTTGTACAATTTTCAATTTTTCACTAAATTATGTGTCCTGGTAGAAAAAAAAATCATGTTTTTAATGAGAGAGGCACTTATTTTAGCAAAAATATTTCAAATTTGGAAAAAAAACATTTTTTTTTAAAATTTTTTTTAATTATTTTTTTTGTGTTAAATTAATCCTTTAGTTGTATTAATAAGTGGTATCAAATATTATAAATTTAAAAAAAGATAATTTCATTATCATTTAATTTCACGACAAAATGTCGCGAATTTAGAGCTTTGAAAATTGTCGTCACGCGCTAAATCCCCCATGGGAATTTTCAAAAGTTGGCATGTATGAATAAACTATTATTGGATAATGAGCATATTATTATTAATTTTTTTCTTTTTGGAGTATGAAAATCTGGTATTGGAAAAAAAAAACTTGAGTGATGATTATTTTTTGTTTTTATTCATTGTTGCCTTTAGATCTAGTATGAATGATTTCTTTTGTAGTGTATACAGTCTGTTGGGCTTTCTTGTGACAACAGGATAATTCTATTTAGGTTAAATCTATGTAATCATTTTCATGTTAATTATTTAATTTATAGCAATTAGCCGTGAGTAATACCTAAGTTTAATTGAAGTTTAACAAATATCACCTTATCAATAATAACTCTTTTTTGTTTGTTAAACTTATTCATCACATAGTGTGGATTACACCATCAAGGTGTCACCCTAACATCAGATCATTATTAGATGGTGCTGACTAGCACTAAAAATCACTGGCCTATACCCTAACTTTCCCCCACCCTAAGTAAAGTACCTTTGCCAGAGATGCATTGCTGTTACATGTAATGCCCACTGTGTGAATTACTCTCTCACTCCTACACTCTTCCAAACTTTTTAAATTGGATCAATCTTTTAAGAATAATATTACTGCTAAAAGGGTTTTCCGGATATTTATTTTTACATACATCCAAATCCACTGTCGTGATCCCGTGCCGGATTGGACAAAACAAGATGGCGGCGGGAACAAATCGAAAAAGGTAGGTACCTGAAATTTCGGTAAATACCCCCCGTTAACAGTCAGATATGCTTGATTCAAAGATACTGTCGAATTCCTAGTAAATTGCTTATTAGTGTGTTTAATTGCTACTTATCCTATCGTCTCTTAAACTTGGATATTTAACGACTGAAGACTGCAGAATTTCTCCAATTGAGTTTGAAGTGGCGTGGAGTTGTTTTTTTCTTCGATTTTGACAGTATTATGCATCCGGCAGCAGGAGTGTGGCTAACAAACGATACTTTGGAGTAATTCTGACCCGTTGTTATATGTTTATTTGTTATAACCCATTTTATTACAAAAATATTTCGATTTAAAAATGTTGACATGTGCTGGATTGGAATCGGTTAATTTTAATGGAAATTGTGCCGGATTAGACTGCATTTTTGGTGCTGGATTAGATGGTGTTTATTATGGTCATTTATGTAATAACTTTTTTTTTCTCTTTAATTATTAAGATATGGATGCATCGTTTAATGAAATATAAATGAAAAAATGAAATATAACTTATTTTAGAAGGAGAAATTTAAATAATATAGATTAGGCCATATAAAATTAATCTTTAGATTCTCATCCCCGCCCGCCCCTCTCAAAGTGTCCCGCCCCGATGTTTTTTATTTTGATTTTTGGGTGTTAATAAAGGTATTTTCATGTATTTTTATTCAGCAAGAATTTGGGTCAAAGTTTAAGAGTTATCTCCCGTCTGTATTAAAAGTCGCGTGTCGCTATTTATAGCAAAGGAGCCATGTGAAGAATGGAGAAAATCGGCAATAAAAGCAGTTTAAATATGTAAGGAAAAGATAATTTGTCAGTATAGAGAAGACAGAGAAGAAAAAATAGCATAAACACATCTAGATACCATCACTGACAGGAGCAAGTATTTAGAGAGATTGTAACTAAGTAAAAATAGACGAGGAAAATGACACCTAGTCAAGTTATATATAACGATCTCCAGCTGTGTGTGATTTTGCTTTGAAAAAAAAAAAAACAAAAATTTCCTAAACAGACTTTAGAGAAGGCCTAGATTTTTCAGTAGAATAATTATTAGAACATTTATATAGATTTTGCAAAATAAGAATTTTAAGTCACGCACACACAGTTTATCGGTATTCCCACCTCATTTCGTTCAGGGTGTGCCGTATAATGTTGTACTTGATAATTTGTTAATTAACAATAAATATTTAATTTTTAAAGCAAGAATTTTCTTTGAATATTTAAAAGAATATGAAAAGAATTAAATCTAATCATATTTGTATTAACATAATGAAAAAGAATGTGTACGAGGCATCCATGTTTTGTTGATCCTTATAATTTAATAATTGTAAAAAATAAAAAATAAAATCCGCCCACCCGCCCCAATTTTTTAGCAAATTAGGATGAGAATCTAAAGATTAATTTTACCTGGCCTTATTTTACCGAATTCGGTTATGGTCACCCCCCCCCCCCCTCCATTAAAAATCTTTTTTCCCCTGTTTCTTTTTATCTCAAATTTTATTGTACCCATATTTCTTTTACAGAGACCACTGTTTTGGTAAACCTCAAAGAGCTCGTGGGTCAGAAAAAAAAGGAAAGGAGGAGCCGTTAGTAAGCCAGAGGAATCGTCCACAAAACCCTTAAGCATACGAGAATTTCACCATGCACATAAGGCGAAATTCGAAATCGCATCATGTTACTTAGTAGGGCCTTTCCGTCAGAGGTCAGAAAAACAGCCTCGAATGTATTATCATCAACGGGTGTTAAAAATTTATACATTTCCTGTTTATTGAATATAGGATTGAAGGGTTTAGAAGTCCCTTCTCTTGTATATTTTAGGTAATATCATTACAGTCAATAAAGTTAAACTTCAAACTGCACAGATAAGAGGACTTCCAACATTTATTTCAAAGTTTGTGAAAAGGGGGGTTGTCATGGCGTCTATGTAGTACATGTGTATTCGGGGTTTTTTTTAGACTGCTAGTAGGAAAGGCCCGAGAGTTTGTCATTGGCGAAATTAAATTCGGTCCTACTTAACAGAGTACCTAAGTACGCTAGTACAAGAGAGTGCTTTAGAGTACGCTAGTAAAATTTAATGCATATAAACTGCATTTTTGTATGTTTTTCTAAATTGGTTTAACATAATAAACATATCATTTAAATAAAATGTGTATGTGTTCTTTATTTTCGAAGTTAAGCCTACTTAGTATTTTAATTTTTGATTTTGATCCCGATATCGATGTAATTTAAGTTCAAATCTTTCGTAGTTAATGTGTAAAATATTACATTTTAAGTAATGCAATTAATTTAATTTTTGATGAATTAAAATTAAGTTGAAACTAATAAGTCTGAGACAACATTACTTATGCTGTAGTAAATGTTCATTGAAGAGCTGGATGGCCCCTAACTTTTTGTGATATAAGGTAAATGTAGTATAAAAAATTGCTACTGAAAGAAGTTGGCTTTGAAATTTCTCTGGCTGCCCCCACCCTCCCCCTTCAAAAACGATGCTACGTGGATGTACTGTACAAAACCATGAACATGATCGAGTAGAATACTAGAATTTCACATTTGGTTGTATTTCAGAAGACAAAATCAAAATGTTTCTTCTGTTATAAACGGCAAATTAAATGAACAATGAATTTACCGTAAAATTGTTTACAATAGTTTTTGGTAAAATAGTAACTTGCTAGAAAAAAGTGTCAATGGTGACAAAGGCATTCCTTTATCTACTATGGGGAAGAGATATTAAAAAAAAGACGAAGAAAATTTCGGACATTTTTTCGATAAAATTTAATGAAATAACAGTCATGAACATTTTTGTGTCTAACGATATAACAAACAATAAAAGTAAAATGCGTGAAAGAATTTAAAATAATATTAAAAAAAATCTTTGAAACAATATGAATGAGAGAAATCAGTACAATTGTTTTGAATTTCAAATGATCACAGATATACCTATCTAAGACCTTAAAAATATTTTGGTCAGTGTCTGTTCCTCGGACTTTCTGAATTTCTCTATGCCTGTTTTTGATGAATATGTACCGTCGTAGGATGTACTTCCACCTGTAGCAGCTGCTGTAGATAATGCATCGATACCTCTCTGCTGCTTCATGGTCAATTCTTATGTGCTTTTAAAGTGTCATCTTTACAAAACTCCGGAGTGCAGATGCTTATATAAGCTTTATTAAATTCCTCCTGGTATTTCATTGAACTATGCATCCATAGCTTAAAAAATAAAAGAGAAAAAAATTATTACATAAATGACTATCATGAACATCATCCAATCCAGCACCAAAAATGCAGTCTAATCCGGCACAATTTCCATTAAAATTAACCGATTCCAATCCAGCACATGTCAACATTTTTAAATCGAAATATTTTTGTAATAAAATGGGTTATAACAAATAAACATATATCAGCGGGTCAGAATTACTCCAAAGTATCGTTTGTTAGCCACACTCTTGCTGCTGGATGCATAAAACTGTCAAAATCGAAGAAAAAAACAACTCCACGCCGCTTCAAACTCAGTTGGAGAAATTCTGCAGTCTTCAGTCGTTAAATATCCAAGTTTAAGAGACGATAGGATAAGTAGCAATTAAACACACTAATAAGCAATTTACTAGGTATTCGACAGTATCTTTGAATCAAGCATATCTGACGGTTAACGGGGGGTATTTACCGAAATTTCAGGTACCTACCTTTTCGATTTGTTCCCGCCGCCATCTTGTTTTGTCCAATCCGGCACGGGATCACGACAGTGAAATCCATATTTTATAACTTTACTGGTCAAAGACGAGAAATCTTGTGTGACGGTGAAGTTACCATCCAGCTGTTTGTCTTTTCATCATGAAATTTTTTTTTCATAATTCTGCTCGTCTTAAAGTACAAGTTCAATTTCAATCAAACTAAGCATTCAACAAGATTACTCCAGGATGTATGGTTTTCTATAAAATACTTTCCTATAAGTTTGTAGAATCTGATTTGTTTAGAAACATTTGTTTCCCCTCTGATTGATGAAACCATGCCCTCCAGTGTGATTGAACTTTAGCAACAGTCAACATTGCTTGGCAGCGGTTCATATTACAAAAAAGTTTGACAGCACCAAATTCTGCATGCATGGTTCTCTGTTATATGCATTTCTATAAAACATTAAGTATTAATGTTACCCTCAACTACATGCAATATTTATAGAGCAAAATTTTCTTATTGATTTAATTAAAAAATAAATAATGCAAGACAAAATTAAGGTCATTATATTCTGTGTTTTGATTTACATGACAGTTAATTGTCACCATAATAACTAAATGAAGAGGTCCCTGTAAAATTCTGTCAGAATAGTACTTTTCCAACAGTAACTAGTTTACTGATTGCATGATTAAGCAATTTCATAGAAAACTAATTGACATATATTATGTACACCAAGGCTTACATTTCTATACATCTGGGTTGTTTTTTTTATCCTAATGAACTTTGTTGCTGTGGTTGATGATAAGGATAAATAAGTGGATTTTTTTCAATCAATGCTCACCTTACAATTTTGGTGTAAAATGTGAAGATAATGAATTATGACCAATCTCTGAAATCAGTATGCAAAACAAATCATGAAAAGGTAAAAAAAAAAAAAACAAAAAACAAAAAAAAACAAAAAAACACATGGAGATTTGATCAGGTGACTAGGAGGAGAGAGTCCCCCTTGTTGACTGGTCACACTCTCTGTAAGTGCCTTGTTTTGTGTGGGCATATAGAGTACTCTGTAGTCAAATTTAGTTTTTTTTTTTTTTTTAAAAAAAAAAAAAAGAAGGAAAAGGAATTGCCTAACAAATGGAATTAAACATATGATGCAAGGATAGGATGTGTTTACAAACAAGGTCATTATAGGGATTGTAACATTTAACAAGGTTGTTGAAGTCCTTCAAACATCAACTTATTTGTCAATAGCTTACCTTGGTTTAAAAATTGATCATAGTTTAGAATAATTTCTACAAATCTTTGTACACAAATATACTGTGCCATGGCTTGGCTAAATTGTGAACAGTCAAAGAGGAAATGAAGAAGTCCCCATCTGATAAACACAATTGAAACAAAAAAAAAAGATCTTTATTCTAATAAATATGCACATATTCCATGATTTTCTTATTATTATAACTTCATTCTAAGTTATAATATTAGCATTCATTATTATTTTTTTATGATCTAGTTTACTTGCTAAGAGATGTATGGTAGCATTGAAGTGTCAGATTGCAAGGAATTTAGTTATTGCATGGTATTTACTAATGGTATTGCCAGATTCATCATTTTATGTTTTATTTTTCAGTCCCATCTAATGCACACCCAAGACAAGTGGTCAGCATTCAAATCCTGTGTGAAGAATGAAATGAAGACATACAGTTAAGATAGAGAGAAGATAAAAAAAACAAATGTTGGGTATCTGTGAAGTAGAAAAACAGACTATTCTGTGAAATATAAGAACAGACTGTGTATTGCATCACTTTTCCTTCTTGAGCCTGCACCAAATGTGAAGAAATGCCATGTTTATCAAGTTCCTTATTTCATTGTTACATATCAAAATCAGTGCATTATAGGCCTAGTAGATTCCCAAGTCTTTAATAACTTAATTCAGTTTGTTTATCTTTTAATTTATTTTTCTCTTCAGATTTAGGATTAAGTAAAAGACAAATTTTATGATTCAAATCTGTCATAGATTGAAATGGACTTATTAGTGTACATTGTTATACAGTAACACAGTGTCCTGAAACACGGGGATTTTTATTTTTGTTTTCCAAAAGAATCATGAAAAGCTATCAAATGCATAAGAACTTTGTAGATTTCTGTAAAGTGATTCTCGTTAAGTGTGTGGATGCATATCTTTACCACTAGATTTTCAAAATTGTCATTACTGCTACACACTCATTACCGCTACATTTCAAAGTAAACATTACAGCTACATCGACTCTTTCGTTAGCCAGCAGCCTATGCTTGTAGATGATGAAAATTACAACTTATACATGCATAAGACCTATACCCCCTGCTATCCACAGGAGGTGAAAGAAAGACTGAGCAGGATGTTTTTTTTTTCCTCAATTTTTATTTAAAATCATATTTTTCATAAAATCTTTCAAAAGTTTTAAATCTAAACATTGTTCCTAGATAAAACAAACAGTTTCAACATAATTGGTAGAGCTTTGACGGTCATTTGCATGAGGAACTGTTGTCTGGAAATCTCTAATAATGAATCCTTATGAATTGAACTTATATTCAGTGGCATTGCTGACTGATTTGATATGTAGCAGTTATGTCTTGTAATTGGCAATATAGTCTTATTGATAAAATGTAGCAGAAATGATCACCCGAAATTTCGAAGAAATGTAGTGGTAACAGGTTAAAATTTTTCGCAATATAGCAGTAATGTTGACCTCCTAAGTGTGTGTATAGAAAGTCACTGCCCTGTTTCTCTGTGATAATGTTTCTACTTTTTCCTTTCCAGTGAGGGAGACATGTTTTGTTGAGTTTAGAATGATTTATTATCACTGTTTGATTGTGTATAACTTGAGGGCCTGAGATTGTCCCCCTTACCAAATTGTTCACTTTGATGCATATTTCTTTTGTCCTACAAATATTTATTTCTCAAGCGAATAATTTTGCTCTATTTATATATTGTTAATTTATTCAATAAATTCTCCATATTATGAAAAACATATTTTTGGTTGTTGTCCTTACCAATTCAGAAATGTTTTCAAGTTTTGAAAAGTCATTAGAAGAGATCTGAAATTTTTTTTTACACAGGCAATAATTATATGGCTTTGTTAATATCTGAGTTCAAACTGAGATCCATTACATGTATTTATATTTTTATTTCCAGTACATGTAGTCTGTTATGTATTTCATTAAAATACATATGATTTTACCAACTTTCCTGGACTTCTTTTTAAGTAGACACATATTATCATTTGACATGCCTATTTTTACTCATCAAATATTGTTCTAAAAATTCATCGAAAAAAATATTAAGAAAAGAAAAGGGGGATCCAGTGTGCATATTTGGAAGTGTTTTGAAATAATTATGTCAGAATTCTTCATTGTACCATATTTTGTAAATTAATTGGACAGTTAAGATGATTCCTGAAACTTCTATACTTATAATATACTTGTACATGTGTATATTGATACAGGTATTAATAGTTTGCGTATTCTTCAAATTTGTTCAGAAATACATGTCTCTCACTAGTCCATTTCCCTGTGTTGGTACACAACATTTACTTAGTAATGTCATGGATCCAGGAGAGGACCTCCGAGACTTTGGTGTAGATAGAGGGGTGGTACCCACAATCCAGGTCTCCCCAGGAGGACACCCCAGCTATCACGTACTGGGAACGGTCCAGGCAGATCAGGGGGCCACCACTGTCACCCTACAGATAGCAATCAACATATCTGACAAATGTTAACTGTCACCCTACAGATAAATAGAGCAACACATCTGACAAATGTTAACTGTCACCCTACAGATAAATAGAGCAACATATCTGACAAATGTTAACTGTCACCCTACAGATAAATAGAGCAACACATCTGACAAATGTTAACTGTCACCCTACAGATAGATAGAGCAACATATCTGACAAATGTTAACTGTCACCCTACAGATAAATATAGCAATCAACACATCTGACAAATGTTAACTGTCACCCTACAGATAAATATAGCAACATATCTGACAAATGTTAACTGTCACCCTACAGATAAATATAGCAAAATATCTGACAAATGTTAGTGAACACTGCAGGGGAAAAATGGGGGAGGGGGGATAAATAGACAAACACATTCATTTGTTTTACTACTGTCACCTCATAAATATTAGAATTGTTAACCTGACAAAAGTTTGTGAACACTGCAGGGGGAAAGGGAGGGAAGAACAAAGTAGCCAAACATGCTGATTCACTTTAGCTGTATTAACTGGCTGTAAATACTAGTGAAGACTTACAGAGCAGGGTGTGCTGCCATAGCTGATGACACACAGACTGTCGTAGTAAACGTAGCTCCCCCAGGTAGTGCTGCACAGATTGGTTTCAATGACCGTCATGGTGGATTCTTGAAGAAGATTGGAATGATCTGAATCTGTAAAGGGAAACAGCCATGATAAAATTAGAAACAATAGTACCAAGCAGTATGTCCTGCTGCTATCAGTATATGCTATGTCAATGCCATGAAGCTTTTATAAAAATTTTAATTCCTTGTCCTCAGCTTTGCTTCAATTTTTTTTCCAAATAGTATGTTTACCAGGGTTAACCTTTTTTGCAGGTGACCTTGAAACTATGTATGACCTTTGACCAGGGTCATGGCACACCAGTAGTTCCAGTTATTATTATTATCTTTTTTACCAAGATAGATTCATCAAGGGGAAGATTTTGGCCACTTCTAGCAATCAGATTTCACAAGGGAGTATATAGGAAGAACAACAAAGCCATGGTTGGTCATTCATTCAATAGAGAGAATGGAAGCATCCTCAGCCAGTGAAGGTTCAAGTTTGTTCAGATCATCAGGATTTAGGGAAAATCTAAAGATGAGTGAAGCTATGATGTTATGTTTATTTTAAAACATGCTCATCAGATAGTGTAGTCCCAGATGGTAGGATATTTTTTTTTTTAGCTTTTCAATTCTCTTGCCAAAGTGATCAGGCGATGGATGTGGCCCCCAGGCCTCTTTTTTTTCAGTATGGTTACCCTTTCAAGCTCTCCGTTTTCCACTGCTCTTCCTGAACTACCAAGCTGCAAAAATATAATTTAATTAACGCATCATCTTAAAAATTCTTACCCAGCGTCTTCCCCCAGCCTATGACAAAGCAGTCCTGCCCGGTGAAGTCGTCACACTTTGTAGGTAATAGAGCTACTCGAACGTTAGGGTTCTCTACCACAGGCTGACTCAGTTCTAAAAGAGCGGCATCGTTAGGGAGGTAGAAGTTAAAATCGGAATGATGGATGTCGTAGAAGGGATTCTGAAATAGTGTAAATATGTTTCATGTAATGCTTAGATGAATCTTGCGAAAGATAGTAGTCTGATTATACGTGAATGATAAATAAAGACTTCTTGATTCTATGGATGCAACCTTATTATCAGATGGCCGAAATGGCATAAGCCCTTGGAGTTTTTACACCGACTAGTAGGAGGTATAAAAAGCTCACCATGTGTATGGAGCTGAGGTTCCTGAATTGTTCTGTTCCCTCGTTTGTTGAAAGGTCATGCTCCCCCATTACAACACGGAAGGACTGAGCACTATATATATAAAGAGAAGCACATGCAGTCACTATGGTTATGTCCTCAACAGAAATTTGAATTCAAAGTCATTTAATTTGAAATTTTTTGCAGAGAACAGTAGACAGCCCCCACCCAAACCCCCACCCACTTTCAAATAACAAATTTTCTGATCGATATATTTTTTAAATTTAGTGCGAATTTTGTTATCGCTGTTAAAGTTCATAAACCCTCTGCTCACTCATATGCAATTTTTCTTAAACTTTTATGATTTTTCAAAGGAAATGTATATGCTGAATAAAATACAAACAATTATAGTATGGCTTACGGGGCAAAATTTGACAAAAAAGACACTTAAACATGACAAATTTATAAAGGAATAATAGACATTTGTGTCATTAAGAGTTGTCTCTCTTATCAGAGTATCAATGTACCTTAAATTAATTTCATAGGCGTTGGAACCGGGGAGGGGGGGGGGGCTTAGCCCCACCTACTCCCCACTTTATTCCCAAGATAGACATTATATAGACATTAAACATCGGGGCGTAGGATTAGCCCGTCCTCTCAAAAGTTTAGTTCAGGTAAAATAAAAAGGGTAAGTGGTATTGTTTGAAAAAAAAGTTCTTTCACTTAATCCCCCCCTTCAAACTTTCAATCTGCTTCCGAGGCCAATGCATTTATGTGTTATGTATGGTAATCAATTGAAAATTTACGACTGAGATGCAGATCACAGTTGATTCACATAAATTTTCTTTAGCCTCTACCTGTCAGACTCTAGAACCCCCCCCCCCATACACACACACTCACATGGTTACCTCTGTCCGTCCAGACAGTGAGCCGCTGTGAGAATCCATTTGGTCGCCACCAGAACCCCACCACAGAAGTGGAACCCGTCGTGGGTTTGGAGTGAGGCCATGAAAGGCCAGTAATGTGGTATGGAGGTGGATCCACCAATTATGCGTTGTCTCGGGGGTTGAGTCGAAGATCGAGGTGAGAGAACGGGATGTTTCCATGGATGGTTTTTCCCTGATGATCCTTCCAATCAAAGTGAAAGATTTATAAACTACATTGTATTAACATACTGGGGCGGATGGTCAACCCCTCACCTCAAATCCCCCAACTTTTTTCAGTGTTGGTAAATTTACTAAATTATGGTTTTATACCTTAGAGCCGCCTCCCATTTTAACCTTTCCACCTTTAAAAATTGGGAAAGAACTGCATTTTTAATTTCCTATCCCAACTTTAAGAAGTGTCGTGGGAAGTTTTAGCAAATTTATACATTGTCTAATCACAACCATCTACATGATCGATTGGTTAGGTACGAAGTAAATTCAAATCAGACCATTTAGAAATTGATTTTTTTTACATACCATTTAAAATAAAAGACAGAATTAGGAGCGTCTGTAAGATCCCCATGTCGACACTATCAGTTTGTTACCAAGGTATCCTAGTTATTTTTCGTCATTATTTTATACACAATCTTTTACTTCTGTTGTCACTCCACTCATTCCAGAATCTAACAGCAGACATGCGTCTTTAGTCTTTATCAATTTCTTCGCCTAAACTAATGAAATCTTTTTATACCCCAAACAAAGAGTTGCGTGGGATAAATATGTTTTTGACCCGTCCGTCAGTCAGCTGCAAAAGATTTACATCAGAGGTCAAAATAGATGTAATCATGTACCCGCTGCACAGAATTTCGTCAAACTTTGCAGATATTGCCAGGAATTTCCAATTCCATTATTTTTCAGTACTTTTCAACTTAGTAATTTGGCCATATCACGAATATTTATATACAGTGTGTCGGCGCAACTCCTCTCAAACTTTGCAGATACATGTATGTATGCCACATTGTGTACATGTGGTACATATTGCCATTAAATCCACGATTCCATTAGTACGATTCTCAGTTAGGCTTGGACTTTTTATTAGGAATTTCAGCATTTTTCAACAAAGTTTGAATTTCCTGAGAGTTTGTAGGTAATTCAAACATAATGTGTTGATTTTTATATTGCCAAGAAATTTTGATTCCATTATTTATCTGCCCAATTTATAGATTTGTAACAGACAAACATGTTGGATTCAGACAGGAACGTAGCATCACCCCTCCCCCTGTCCTGTGGCAGCCCCCCCCCCAATAAACATATACATTCTATATAAAACTCTGCTTGTCAGTTATGGTCCCACTTCTACATAGAGAGTTTATGGTCCCACTTCTTCAAAGAGAGGTCATGATTTGAACAAAAATTAATCTACACTACCAGAGACCATGAAAATTTAGAATCTACACTTCCTTATGAAGTTTCCACTTAAGTTTTGGCTTTTCAGTTCTTTAAAACAAGCTTTTTAAAAAGTTTATCTATACACATTGCATTTCAATGTAAATTTTGATTCCCTATAGTGACCCCACCTAATCACGAGGGGCCAATTTAACATCTACACTAGCTTGCACATAAGGCTTAGCCCCCCTTTTTTTTGCATATATACGGAAACTTAATAAATGTGGTAAAAATGAAATTCTTCCCAGGTGTGAGAGTCTGTCGTTACTGCACCTCAATTAAGTCCAACTGAGGATGAATTGCATTTTTTTGCTAGAATGTCCACTTTATAATGACTCAAGAGGAGAATTTTTAAATAAAATCTGTAAAACCTTTCCCAATTTAATACTGCTTAACAATGTTGACCTGTTTACATGGATTATGTCAAATGAAGATTCTGAGTTTGTTATTTTATTATGCCAACTTATAAATCCAAATTTTAATAAGAGGAAACAACATAGTTCAATATAGGCATATATTGCAGATATTATACAAAGGCCATTTTTAATGTACATTTTATGCATCCTAAAAGAAGATAGCCAACTCTCTGTTCATTATACATTGTTATACCTTTAGAAAGAACAAGCAAATTCAAAGAATTGTGGTCCCCCGCTTTCGGTATCTTTGTGGGCAAGATATCATTTTTAGGGTCAAGGTCAATAGGTCAAAGTTTTTGGTATCCCATGAAAGGTCTTGCCATAAAGAATACATATATTTAAAATATGAAAGTCCTAGTTTCTACCGTTCAAAAGTTGTGACCAAGGTTAACGTTTTTAAAAAGTAGTTAAAACTCCAAGGTCAAGATCAAAGGGTCAAAGTTCTTGGCATGCAATGAAAGGTCTTCTCACAAGGATTACATACGTGAAGTACGAAAGCCCTAGCCCTTACCGTTTAAAAGTTATGGTCAAGGTTAAAGTTTTTTTCAGAAGTACGTAAATCTCCAAGGTCAAGGTCCTTAGGTCAAAGTTGTTGGTATCCAATGAAAGGTGTTGCCTCAAAGAATACATGTGTGAAATATAAAAGTTCTTGTATCTACCGTTCAAAAGTTGTGACCAAGGTTATAATTTTTTAAAAGTAGTTAAAACTCCAAGGTCAAGGTCAAAAGGTCAAAGTTCTTGGTATTTAATGAAAGGTCTTTTTACAAGAATAAAATATGTGAAGTATAAAAGCCGTAGCCCTTACCGTTCAAAAATTATGGTCAAGGATATAGTTTTTTCATAAGTACGTAAATTTCCAAGGTCAAGGTCAAAAGGTCAAAGTTGTTGGTATTCATTGAAAGGTCTTGTCACAAAGAATAAATATGTGAAATATGAAAGTCCTAGTACCTACCATTCAAAAGTTATGGCCAAAGTAAAAGTTTGGAATTTTTTAATAAAAGTAGTTGAAACTCCAAGGTCAAGGTCAAAAGGTCAAATTTGGTGGTACCCAAAGAAAGGTCTTATCACAAGGAATACACATATGAAATATGAAAATTATAGCTCCACTAAATCAAAAGTCATGGGCAAGGTTAAAGTTTTTGTGACGGACAGACTGACGGACCGACGGACAGACAGACGGACCGACGGACAGACGAATGAGATTTAATGTCCCCTCGCTTTCGCAAAAGCGGGGGACAACTATATGCGGTATATTGCATATATTAGCCCCCACAAAAGTCAAATTTTGAAAACTTTCTGAAATGTGCTGAATTCAATAAATTGTATGAGAAATATAAATTAACAGAAAAAGCAGTGTATTCACAATTTTTGTTTTTATGACGTCACAAACTAGTCAGATTTTATATCCTTTTTCAGAAAGAGGACAAAATTTCAACAATTTTAGCTTTAAAATTTATAGAGCGCAAGTTTGTTCAGGAACTGTATTGACATATTTCATTGATATTATCATTCTACACATCATATCAAAATATTGATCCTGAACACACATGCGCTCGGTGACTTTTACTCAAAATATCGACGAAATATGTACATTTTTCTGTAAAATTCATAAAAAACTGAAATTTACGTCATGTTTGTGACGTCATTACGAACATATGGCGTCATTATTAATGAAAATATTCACTGCTTTGAAGTCAGCATATACTCCCCTGTTTAAGAACTTAATTAAATATATCTCAATCAAAGTTTGATTTTGGGGGCAAATATTGGTTATTACCGAATTAAGTTCTTTGTTCCTATACAAATCTATACGGAACAAGCAAATTCAAAGAATTGTGGTCCCCCGCTTTCGGTATCTTTGTGGGCAAGATATCATTTTTAGGGTCAAGGTCAATAGGTCAAAGTTTTTGGTATCCCATGAAAGGTCTTGCCATAAAGAATACATATATTTAAAATATGAAAGTCCTAGTTTCTACCGTTCAAAAGTTGTGACCAAGGTTAACGTTTTTAAAAAGTAGTTAAAACTCCAAGGTCAAGATCAAAGGGTCAAAGTTCTTGGCATGCAATGAAAGGTCTTCTCACAAGGATTACATACGTGAAGTACGAAAGCCCTAGCCCTTACCGTTTAAAAGTTATGGTCAAGGTTAAAGTTTTTTTCAGAAGTACGTAAATCTCCAAGGTCAAGGTCCTTAGGTCAAAGTTGTTGGTATCCAATGAAAGGTGTTGCCTCAAAGAATACATGTGTGAAATATAAAAGTTCTTGTATCTACCGTTCAAAAGTTGTGACCAAGGTTATAATTTTTTAAAAGTAGTTAAAACTCCAAGGTCAAGGTCAAAAGGTCAAAGTTCTTGGTATTTAATGAAAGGTCTTTTTACAAGAATAAAATATGTGAAGTATAAAAGCCGTAGCCCTTACCGTTCAAAAATTATGGTCAAGGATATAGCAATCTAATTAAAATTAGATGTTAGTTCCGCTCGCATACTCACTACACTAACATCTAACAACATCCCATAGAGGGTCACACAAATTCAGAACCACTCTAGACTTCAACAATATTCGATGATTTTGCAGGTGACGATTTGATTGGTTGATACAATTTGACCTCTGACGTGACCCTCAATGGGATGTTGTTAGATGTTAGTGTAGTGAGTATGCGAGCGGATCTAACATCTAATTTTAATTAGATTGAGGATATAGTTTTTTCATAAGTACGTAAATTTCCAAGGTCAAGGTCAAAAGGTCAAAGTTGTTGGTATTCATTGAAAGGTCTTGTCACAAAGAATAAATATGTGAAATATGAAAGTCCTAGTACCTACCATTCAAAAGTTATGGCCAAAGTAAAAGTTTGGAATTTTTTAATAAAAGTAGTTGAAACTCCAAGGTCAAGGTCAAAAGGTCAAATTTGGTGGTACCCAAAGAAAGGTCTTATCACAAGGAATACACATATGAAATATGAAAATTATAGCTCCACTAAATCAAAAGTTATGGGCAAGGTTAAAGTTTTTGTGACGGACAGACTGACGGACCGACGGACAGACAGACGGACCGACGGACAGACGAATGAGATTTAATGTCCCCTCGCTTTCGCGAAAGCGGGGGACAAAAAAGTATAACATTTTTAATGTTTTGCTGAGCGGGCATAAAAAAAAAATCGATGTTTGACCTCTGAGTGAGATGTTGGACCGCTTACGTCACGGAATAGGCGGAGCTTAATCTCATTTTCATTCGTTGGCGTTCAAAAGTAAATTTTCAACATCAATAGATGCTAATACACTGAAGGCAACTTTTTAAAGTGGGGCCATTTTAGCCAGTCAATCAGGAGATGGTAAACTAACATTTTTTAAAGATAGCATGAGAGATCTTTTTAATACCAGCACCTACTGCAAAATGGGTTTATAAGGTCTCATCTGACCAGTCTCCACGTCTAACAATTCAATGACGCAAGGACCAACTCGCTTACTTAGCGACTCTTGAGCAAGTGCTCTAATATAACCAAGGGAGCAATGTTTTGTTTGGTCTGCATGTTGACAAATGATAGTGCATTAGTACAAATGGAAGTGTATTAGTACTTGCCATATAGTAACATCATTGTACCCTATCCATAGCCACACACAGCAGATTAATGTGGCACCAGTCAGGGGATAATGCCATTCACAACTGGTTAATGTGGCACCAGCCATGTAGGGGATAATGCCCATATAACTGGTTAATGATAATGTGGCACCAGTCAGGGGAATATACCACAAACAACTGGTTAATGGGGCACCAGTCAGGGGATAATGCCACACACAACTGGTTAATGTGGCACCACTCAGGTGATAATGACATACACAACAGGTTAATGTGGCACCAGTCAGGGGATAATTACACAACAACTGGTTAATGTGGCTCCAGTCAGGGGATAATGCCTCACACAACAGGTTAATGTGGCACCAGTCAGGGGATAATGACACACACAACTGGTTAATGTGGCTCCAGTCATTTGATAATGCCTCACACAACAGGTTAATGTGGCACCAGTCAGGTGAAATGCCGCACAGAACTTGTTAATGTGGCACAACATGCCCCACACAACTGGTTAATGTGGCACCAGTCATTGGATGATGCTCATACAACAGGTTAATGTGGCACCAGTCAGGGGATAATGACACACACAACAGGTTAATGTGGCACCAGTCAGGTGAAATGCCACACACAACAGGTTAATGTGGCACCAGTCATTTGATAATGCCTCACACAACAGGTTAATGTGGCACCAGTCAGGTGAAATGCCGCACAGAACTTGTTAATGTGGCACAAGTCAGGGAATAATGCCCCACACAACTGGTTAATGTGGCACCAGTCATTGGATGATGCCCATACAACAGGTTAATGTGGCACCAGTCAGGGGATAATGACACACACAACAGGTTAATGTGGCACCAGTCAGGTGAAATGCCACACACAACTGGTTAATGTGGCACCAGTCATTTGATAATGCACCACACAACTGGTTAATGTGGCACCAGTCAGGTTAAATGCCACACACCACAGGTTCATGAAGCACCAGTCAGGGGATAATGCCACACACAACTGGTTAATGTGGCACAAGTCAGGGGATAATGCCACACACAACTGGTTAATGTGGCTCTAGTCAGGGGATAATGCCATACACTACAGGTTAATGAGGCACCAGTCAGTGGATAATGACACACACAACAGGTTAATGTGGCACCAGTCAGGGGATAATGACACACACAACAGGTTCACGAGGCACCAGTCAGTGGATAATGACACACACAACAGGTTCACGAGGCATCAGTCATTGGATAATGACACACACAACAGGTTCATGAGGCACCAGTCAGGGGATAATGACACACACAACAAGTTCATGAGGCACCAGTCAGGGGATAATGACACACACAACAGGTTAATGTGGCACCAGTCAGGGAATAATGCCCCACACAACTGATAATGTGGCACCAGTCATTGGATGATGCCCATACAACAGGTTAATGTGGCACCAGTCAGGGGATAATGACACACACAACAAGTTCATGAGGCACCAGTCAGGAGATAATGACACACACAACAGGTTCATGAGGCACCAGTCAATGGATAATGACACACACAACAGGTTAATGTGGCACCAGTCAGGGGATAATGACAAACACAACAGGTTCATGAGGCACCAGTCAGGTGAAATGCCACATACAACTGGTTAATGTGGCACCAGTCATTTGATAATGCACCACACAACTGGTTAATGTGGCACCAGTCAGGTGAAATGCCACACACCACAGGTTCATGAAGCACCAGTCAGGGGATAATGACACACACAACAAGTTCATGAGGCACCAGTCAGGGGATAATGCCATACACTACAGGTTAATGTGGCACCAGTCAGTGGATAATGACACACACAACAGGTTCATGAGGCACCAGTCAGTGGATAATGACACACACAACAGGTTAATGTGGCACCAGTCAGGGGATAATGACACACATAACAAGTTCATGAGGCACCAGTCAGGAGATAATGACACACACAACAGGTTCATGAGGCACCAGTCAATGGATAATGACACACACAACAGGTTAATGTGGCACCAGTCAGGGGATAATGACACACACACAGGTTAATGTGGCACCAGTCAGGAGATAATGACACACACAACAGGTTCATGAGGCACCAGTCAGGGGATAATGACACACACAACAGGTTCATGAGGCACCAGTCAATGGATAATGACACACACAACAGGTTCATGAGGCACCAGTCAATGGATAATGACACACACAACAGGTTAATGTGGCACCAGTCAGGGGATAATGACAAACACAACAGGTTCATGAGGCACCAGTCAGGTGAAATGCCACATACAACTGGTTAATGTGGCACCAGTCATTTGATAATGCACACACAACTGGTTAATGTGGCACCAGTCAGGTGAAATGCCACACACCACAGGTTCATGAAGCACCAGTCAGGGGATAATGACACACACAACAAGTTCATGAGGCACCAGTCAGGAGATAATGACACACACAACAGGTTCATGAGGCACCAGTCAATGGATAATGACACACACAACAGGTTAATGTGGCACCAGTCAGGGGATAATGACACACACAACAGGTTAATGTGGCACCAGTCAGGAGATAATGACACACACAACAGGTTCATGAGGCACCAGTCAGGGGATAATGACACACACAACAGGTTCATGAGGCACCAGTCAATGGATAATGACACACACAACAGGTTCATGAGGCACCAGTCAATGGATAATGACACACACAACAGGTTAATGTGGCACATGACAAACACAACAGGTTCATGAGGCACCAGTCAGGTGAAATGCCACATACAACTGGTTAATGTGGCACCAGTCATTTGATAATGCACCACACAACTGGTTAATGTGGCACCAGTCAGGTGAAATGCCACACACCACAGGTTCATGAAGCACCAGTCAGGGGATAATGACACACACAACAGGTTCATGAGGCACCAGTCAGGGGATAATGACACACACAACAGGTTCATGAGGCACCAGTCAGTGGATAATGCCATACACTACAGGTTAATGTGGCACCAGTCAGGAGATAATGACAAACACAACAGGTTAATGTGGCACCAGTCAGGGGATAATGACACACACAACAGGTTAATGTGGCACCAGTCAGGGGATAATGACACACACAACAGGTTAATGTGGCACCAGTCAGGGGATAATGCCACACACAACAGGTTAATGTGGCACCAGTCATGGGATAATGACACACACTACAGGTTAATGTGGCACCAGTCAGGGGATAATGACACACACAACAGGTTCACAAGGCACCAGTCAGTGGATAATGACACACACAACAGGTTAATGTGGCACCAGTCACGGGATAATGACAAACACAACTGGTTAATGTGGCACCAGTCAGTGGATAATGACACACACAACAGGTTAATGTGGCACCAGTCAGGGGATAATGACACACACAACAGGTTCATGAGGCACCAGTCAGTGGATAATGACACACACAACAGGTTAATGTGGCACCAGTCAGGGGATAATGACAAACACAACAGGTTCATGAGGCACCAGTCAGGTGAAATGCCACATACAACTGGTTAATGTGGCACCAGTCATTTGATAATGCACCACACAACTGGTTAATGTGGCACCAGTCAGGTGAAATGCCACACACCACAGGTTCATGAAGCACTAGTCAGGGGATAATGACACACACACACACACCACAGGGGATAATTACATACAGGTTAATGTGGCACCAGTCAGCCATACACTACACACACCAGTCAATGGATAATGCCATACACTACAGGTTAATGTGGCACCAGTCAGGAGATAATGACACACATAACAGGTTCATGAGGCACCAGTCAATGGATAATGACACACACAACAGGTTAATGTGGCACCAGTCAGGGGATAATGACACACACAACAGGTTAATGTGGCACCAGTCAGGGGATGAAGACACACACAACAGGTTAATATGGCAACAAAAAGGGGATAATGACAGATTGTCAAAATGTAAAAAAATAAAAAAAATAAAAAAAAAAGCATAAAATCAGAGGACATTGATTTATTTAAAGAACAGTACAAATCACAAAGTGTACAATGTGTAGATGAAAATGACAACTCTTAAACTGTTCATTTCAGAGAGAAAGCACACCAGGCCTCCTGTGGTAAGTCAGATAATTTACAGATGAAGGTCTTCAACACTAGCTACAGTATCCCAGATTTCCTCTCCACCAGTAGATGTACGTCCCCTACTGCCTCACAGTCAGCTGGATCTGAAAGTAAGAATCAGTCAAGTGAGTACAGGCATCAATCAAGTTAATCCTTTATCCTTATCTACTTGTGTATTTAAAATGGATAAATCACTAAACGTACTTACTTACTTACTTAGGCCTCTTTGTGCCAGGTGGCACATAAGGCAGCAAACATACAGTCATTGTAAAATTTTCCTTTTTTTTAAACTGCATAAACTGCATAATTATGCCCCAAAAGGTGATTCTGCAGTCTCCCTTGCTAGGATGTCATTCACTGTTTCTCAGAGAGACTGAGAACAGTATTACTTCTGCTCAACACTGTCAGTAAGTCTGTCTCTTTGTCAGTAAAGTCAAGATCTAGTAAATCATCCTCTGTCATCATATATCCCCTATCATCCCCTATATCTAAATACTGTATAAGCAGAATTTTTAGCGAGGATTTCATTTTGGCATTATTAGCGAGGGTGCTGAGATTGCTAAAATTGAATATCGCTAAAAATTAATTGTGTTTTATTTGTAATGTCCTCTTAAGTGAGATTTTTAATGTCACTAAAATTACTTTTCGCTAAAAATTAAATACCCATTTTCATGGACAAATCGCTAAATTTGCGTCTCGCTAAAATTTCCACTTATACGGTAATGAAATTAAATGAGTTTAGACTGACTTTTTAGTGCCATCACCATTATGACATCATAATTGAATTTAAACTTAATTTTTCCTGTACTTTACAGCAGTAACAGAGTTATGTAGAAAATAAGACATTTCTACAGCATTCAATTCAAAATATACATGTGTAACCCAGCTACCTATGTTCATGTTAAAATAATCTTAAAGAAGAGGTAAACAATATTTAAAAAAAAATGTTTTCTGAAAGACTGTAGGCAATACTGATACATTTCCTTCGTATATGATTGAAAAAAAAAATTCCCATATTTATACAAGACCTTCTTCTTTTTTAATTGAAAATGGCAGTTTAAATCATAGAGACAGAATTTTCATGATCCATGCGACTTCTTAAGAACAAAATATTTTGTCACTGAAAAGTTCGGGTCATTTAGAAAAATAAAATATCCCATAAAATACTCAGTAACTATCTCATTAATCAGTCAGATATCTGTTTTTCAAATAAATGTTCAAATTTGCCATAAAATTTATGTGCCTTTTTAAAATGCCTTTTGAAACTTGTCCATACTGGTTTCAGAAGATGCGCACAATTGATTGTCCATAATGGTGTAGGGAGGGACACGTATGATACATTCTTTCAAGTTGGTTTTGGGAGATACAATTGTTCAAAATGGTTTCGGGCAGACATACATGAAAAAAAATTGGTCATTATGGTTTTGGGAGATATACACAATACTTTATCTCTAATGGTTTTGGAAGGGACACACATAATACAATTGTTCATAAGTATTGTGGCAATAGACTTACTGTTAAGAATATCCTCAAAGTCAATAATTTCATCTCGTCCAGATAAAATGTCGCTCATTAAATGAGAACTGTGCATCCCTGGTAGTCTGTTTACCTGAAAAAAAAAAAGGTTCATCTTCTTAGTCATTCTGTAAATAAAAACAACATTAATCCCTCTGAATTAAGTAGTAAAAATTACCCCGTTTAATACTACATACCGGTAGTACACCTATACTGTAATAATATTCATCATATGTTTACTCTTTTTTAAAATGAATATAGCTCATAGGATATCAATTTCCTATCCATAGCTGTAATGTTAAAATATTTTTGTGTGAATTCAATTAGGCCTAAATAAATAAATTGTGTGTTTCTGGTTCCCCGACTGACCATAAAATATAGGAGCTGACCCTGGACAACTTTTTTGCCAATATCTTTCCAGGAGTAAACTATTCCAGTTTTACTATCATTAATCCCAATTTTGATCACTTCTGTGTTTGAGAAAATGCATATCATATGCAAATCAATCGGAAAAAGATTTCTAACCTAGCATTATGACAGCGATTTCCCAGGGGAGGGGATGGCAGCATGGTTGCCAATAAAATGTTTTCCCAACCTACCCTATTTTATCACACGTTGGAATAGGAAACATACTATTTATTTATCTTGGCCTCATGTCAAATATTTATAGATTTACGAAAGTATCTATTTGAAAAGAATTTCCCATGGTTTTTGGTTATATGTGACATTTTATCCAACTTGTTGTATATTTCTATTCCCTATCCAAGGCTTGGGATAATAAAGTACATCATCAAGGCACATGATATGTCTATTGAATATTTTTTAATGGATATTATAATATTTTATTGCACTGGATCATTGCATTAATACATACATGTTAACCTATTGTGATGAAAAATAGGGAGATTTCGACCTCGAAAGCGGTAGCATTGCGCGCGTTGTTTTATGCTTGGATTTATGAAGATATATTGCATGTAATATACATGTATGGTTTTACATGAAAATACAATTATTAATCTTAAATATCTATTGCAAAGAAATAGACAGAAACACATTAAATTTGACATAAATTATACATATTCAATATTTTTTATGTTCATCATTTTGCTATGATTGGCTACTTAACAGCCTTTTGAAGAGTATATAGCCAAGAAGCAATAATTCTGAATGTTCATTCAGTTTTCAAACACAACAAATGATGACAAAGTTTAATCTAGATCTAAAACTAATCCCTATCTTTCGTTAAATAAATTGGATTTCCCGCAATGATCGAAAACGAAAGTAGAGATGTGCCTCATGGCTTGGTCAATCAAGTGATTTCTATTGACTTTATTGATTAAATTGTGAGCTCCTGTAGTTTTATAGACGATGTCAAAGGTTTTCATCCAATTCTAAAATGCTGTATCTCCTTTTTTCATGGCAGTAATGTCAACGAAATTTATCGTAACCAATGTAATCACTGATTTTGTGCTGTTGTCGTTGTCAAATACGTGCTTGAAATCTATGTACACATCGGTACCAAAAAAAGCGTTTGTACGATTTCGGGTCAAATCACGCGATATCTAACGAGATTTCATTATGAGTGGCTTCAAAAATGGATACCCAAGCGAACCAAAAGTACTTTAGATGAAATTTTTGTAGAAAAGCGGTAGATTTACACATAAAATCGGTAGGCGGGAGATGGAGTAAAAAAGCGGTAGACTCCTGCCTAAATCGGTAGAGTTAACATGTATGATTAATAAATATTAAAATAAATAAATACTTTTTGGGCTACGTTCCTTTCCATCTGTAATCTTAGTGGCATATGGATTCCTTGTGTATTTCTCAACATTGCAAAGTCCATTTTAACTTTGTTTTCCTGCCACTGAAATAAAAGAAGCACAGATTACAATAATTTAAAACCTGAACTAAAAAACTTTAAAAATTCAAATTTGGTCTCATTTCAGAAAAGTTACTTAAAAAGACATTGATATTATAAATGACCATTTTTTTTAAAATATAAATTTTATACATGTAATTTATATATGAATATTAATTTATAGATATAAATAGCTGAGTAATTTATTCTGCTCATATGTGTTAATATTTTATATATAATTTTTAGATATAAATAGCTGAGTTACTTATTCTACTCACATGTTTTTCTGAATATTCCAAAGGGTGAACTGTCCCAAGTTTAGATCTGCTGGACTGTATTCTGGAAGCAAGAAAAAATTGAATTAAAAAAAGAAAAAGGATTTTTTGTGAATTGTCCATTCAAGGAACAAATGACTTTAGACTTATTAAAATAATTTGAAATAGGTTAAAGTGACTGAAAAAAAATCTTTTCGGCATAAGATCATTAACTCTATGTCCAATAGAGTAAGAAATAGAAATATAAAACAATGCATTTTATTTTTTCTCCACAAATTGTTTTCTTGACATGCAAATGCATGCTAAATGAAAATTGTTATGATTCTACTGATGGAAAGGTTTCCACATCCCACAGCGGGATTCAAACCCATGACGGAAGGATCAACTCCTTTCTCTGTGACTCTAGGGCAGATGCCCTTACCACTGCGCCACACAGGTGACACCAGTGGTTCTTGAGAAGATTTCTGAAAAATGCCAGTAGATTTTTATGAATTCTTAATTTTCTACCTTTAAGAGAGAAACTGGTATTTCATTCAAACAAACTTGGATCTTTTCTCCATAGAATGCTTTGTGGCAAGTTGTAGAAATTGGCCAAGTAGTAGTTCAGGAGGAGAAGAAGATAATGTGAAAAGATTACAAATAAATTTACACAGATAATGGTAAAGAATCATGCAGAATTAAACACCAAGGAAAATATAGGATTTCACTTATAGTTTAGCTAACAGGCTTGTTATAATATTTATTGGGAAGAGTAGTTTGCAATGAATTGATTAAAATCTGATGGAACAAGGAAAAAACAAGGAAAATCATCCTGTACATGACATGGTGGTGATTTGTACTGCTACAGAGCCACTTTAATATGATATATTTACCCATTCAGCATCATGTCTGGTACTCCATAGGGTCCCTCTGGTAACTTGATCTCATGGGAGCCATCAGGCTGAGGTCTTACTGAGGGGTAGGGAATACTCTGTAAAATAAAACATTATGAGAGTTGCTGTACCCTAATTATAAAGCACCAACAGTCCAACTAAGAACAATTCAGGGGTCTCACTTGCCCACAATTCTCTGACAGCCATGATGCTGTCATCATCAAATGAACTATTGATCTGGATTTTATTGATTGTGATATCTTCACCAACACTTTATCTTTCCTGGTATAAACCTATCTTATGTAATTTCCAGTGATTTTGCATCTAACTACTCCAGACTAATGTATCCTAGTCAGCTGTGTGCATTCAGGCGAGATGTGATTTCCTTTAATGTACATGGTTTGTACATTTTGCACGCTGAATTCACATCTATGTTATCATTAAATATATATTACAAAGAAGCTAATCTGTATGCATTGATAAACAAAGGAGCTAGCCAGAGCACACACTTTTGTGTTGTAGCCTATAACTGAAAAAAAAAAACAAACATTTTGCCACTTCTGGTTTTCTTTTCATGCAACTTTTCAGAAAAATTGCCTCAAGAATGTGCTTCAATGTTCTTTAACTTCATGAAAAGGTCTAATTAAAAGTAGAAATTTTTATCCCGTAAAAGCATTTTTAGATACCAATGTTTAATATGTTTTACGGTGTGACCAAAAGTGAATATCCAGTAATACATCAAAACACTTATTAATAAAAAAGATCAGCCACTTCAAACATCAAGTCGCATAGCTGCAGATCTGTAGTGCTACGGTTTTATATATTTGTCTTTGACATAACGCTACGGAAACGCGTAATGCAAAAAAAAGGTCTGGTTTAAACTGTAGACCTAGCACAATTTTGGGGAAAAACATTGCAGAGTTATTTTTTGTTTCTTTGAAAGACTCTACAATTCTGAAAGCTTTTTATGCTTTAAGTTATTGTTTATTTATTTATCTATTTCACCAACCCTTCATGACTTAATTAGCATATCGGTTGATTAAAATTACATGTTAGATTGCTGAAAATTCACTTCAAGCGAGTTTATTGCCTGTTGATATAAATATAAATATAATATATAACTATAAATGGTTGGTAGGTGGATAAAATATACATATTTTTTTTGGCTATTTTTGATTTATTCGCGCAAAGGACATTGGGTAGTGAAAGGAATTCTGGGAATGTTGCACAGAGAAATTTGCCTGACAAAATGCGCAAAAAATATCATTCCGAATTTCCTCTGTTTTTACACGCATTATTGATCTGTAGCATTATGGTCTATAAACATTTTCAAAAATATGGTTAAATGTTAATTCATCAAAAGACCTAGAAGGCTACAGAATAATATGTATGACAATGGGTTAAGGCGAGCGCAAAACTTAAAATTTTTATTTGGGCTGTCAAACCGCACATGACATTAAGCGCATTAGGACACTTAAAAAGGAATAACTTTTGTTGACAATTTCAGGCCTGTAAGGCCATTGATTTTAAATGATGATCCGTTGGAATTCCTTAACTTCTGCAACAATTTTATCAAACTGTAGGGTTGCAGAAAAACTTTTTTGTTCTTATTCTCGCAAAAGAACGTTTTTAGCGTTGTGTGCTAAGCGTTGCATTGTGGATATTTATTGCCAAACTCAAAAAATTTCAATTTATGCAGTGTAAATTTATAGCCCAGGCGTTGTATTATATCGCAGTTACGACTATTATATCCCACGCTCGCTGCGCTCGCTATTAACATGATATGAAATATGAAATAGAGCTTTGCAAAGAACCTTGATGGATCGAATATTAATTTTCACTATAATCATGATCCCTGCTTTAATCTGAAATTTTGATTTAATGCTCAAATTTTTTACATTTTTGATGTAATGTTTAAATTACTGTATCTTTTATATCTCATCATTTGGAGTTTCTTAAAACAGATAGCACAGTGAGTAACTCAAAGCAGTCTCTATAGACTCATATTAGATTGATGTGTGACAATGATAATTAAGCGATATGGCTAAAATAGAGAGCATAGTGCAAGAACTCAAAGCTAAATCAAATGATTATGACACATATTAGACTGATGTGTGATATTGATAATTAAGCGATATGGCTAAACCAAGAAATGGTGCGTAAATCTATAAAGATTGGCTAATCAAATGATTGTGAGCCATTTCTTTTACACAGTTTGCCATTCTGGGTTTGTATCTACATTTCGAATCTATAAAAACGTAAAACTGGTTAGTTTTAATGACTTGCTGAAGTAATTAAAACATATTATTTGCTTAAAACTAAAACTGCTCAGTCACGAAAACTTACTGTGGACGCCATGTTGTTTCTTTATTCTTATAACAGTCGTTCTTCAATTGATTCGTATAATTTTTTTCTTCTATCCTTGCATTTGGTATAATTCATTTTTGCGAGAAGATTGAGGGGAATCAAATATTTTTTTTAATTAAAGAGCATGTTTTATTTCGTATCATCTGTTTTAGTGACCCCCCACCAAAAAGAAAGCAAAAAAAAAAAAAAAAAAAAAATCAAGGGCAGAGAACTCCAGACAATTTCGGAACTCCCTCAGTACATTTCCTTTCCTGTGCTACTTCATCGTTCATGTATTTTGAGAGGGCTTGACTCATTTAAGTGTATACTAGGCTAGTGATTAGTTTTGGATGCAAATATTGGAGATGGTTGATACTGAGAATTTCTAGGATATAATTTATTGATGGGGAGTTTTGTGACAGTCTGTGTGACTGCAGTGGTACTAGGGGCAGTGTGGGGTCAGTCAGGTGAGAATTTACGTTTTACCTGTCAGGTAAATAATATATAAAACAAATAAAAATCAAAACATCCGAGGTATTATTGACATACTTTGTCATGAAACTGAAACATCAATGACATTTTTCTTATGAATTCGAATAATCAAGAGGTAGGCTAAGTTGTAAAAATCTTATCTAAGTTTCTCTTCTCTTGTTTAGCATGTGTAGGAAATGTTGACATGTGGAAAAGAAATTTTATTCCATAAAAGACTGTAATAGAAACATGGTCTTATGATCAGATGACTGTTTGTGATTTGAAAAAGTAAAAAAAAAAATCTTTACAAAAGATAATTAATCCAACTTAATCAGATATTGTTTCTTTGATACATTTATTGAATGAATTAATTTGTTAATTTAAACTTTTATAATCTGTGTATGGTGTGATCACTTTTAGCTAAGCACTTATGCTATAATTCTGTTTTCATTCTATATTCTAAGAGTGCACTGTGCTATAAGATGTACATATCTGTAACATTTCTATAAGAAGATTTTATTTACTGATCAGTTCAAAAGTCATCTTTCATGTTCCACACACTGTATTGTACACAGGTAAACAAGCCGAGAGGAAATGGTCATGGATGACCAATTCCAGCATATTTTATTGTGGTGGGGTTTGTTCCTGGCCATCATTTCATGTGTATGTGCCTCCCAGTGGTGTGCATTTTTGACCTGATGTACTGGATTAAACTTTAAGTGGGTCTGCCATTTCCTGTCTTTACAAGTTGTCTGTGGGTTTTGTAACATTAAGATGAGGGAAGAGGAAATGTGATTTAGGGGCCTGGCTGGGGATAGAAATCTCTTGAAAACTACACTAAAGTATACGTCCTAAGAAATACCATCAATTTAAAACTACTATCATATTTCATATTCAACATGATCATAGATAATTGGAAATCAAAATGAATCAGTAATTAAGGCAAAACGAAGTATACTTGCATGTCTTCACGATTAATATTTTAGATTCTCAAAATATTACAGTGTACTATTACTAATCTTTTTACAGTACTATAATATTAGTAGTCTTTTGTTCTGCTGTTTGACAGTGACACAATATTTCATTGTTTGTATCTTGCAATTTATTTATTTACAATGTACTGTCAATTAAGTATAAAAAAAATCTTTATGTTGGTAAAAGACATATTTTTACACAGCTATACAGGCCGAGGTACTCCATACATTCCTGTTAATAACCAGCTGATTAACCTTGTTAACCCAAAGCTTTTCCCATCTTGTGCCACTTGATTCTTATTTCCTACAACTCCCCTCTTCTTTCAGAAAAGATTTTTATCTACCCAAAAAAATTTCTGGTTTAAAACTAATGTTTTGCTGAAGAGATCGCAGCATACCAGACTCCGCGTTCACTGTATCCTCTTATCTGTGTGTGTTACGCACAAGATCAGTTTGTGCAACATTTAAAATAACAATCAATCACACTGCTCGAGCTAGATCTATTAACAGATGCTGGGATTCCTAATCCTTACCTATGTTTACATTTAAAGTTTGAAATCCCTCAGTTTGAATTTTAGGAGGATATAGTATTAGTTTTCCATATATTTGCGGCACATCCTCATGGGATTTCAATTAGATATTGATGTATGTTTAGACTGTAATCTTTTAAGCTTTTGATGTTCTCACCTTGGGACTTGTGAAAACATTTTGGGTCTGGCAAATGAAATGGAATGCTGGTTTTAACATCATATTTACCAAAATACAAAATAGCTTCATATGAAAATGATATCTCCTTCATGCATGTGCAGGCTTTATTAAACTATTTACTTGAATGAAATAATTGTCTTAGAAGCACTGATGTTCTTCTCAAAGATATGACATTAATTTGTATCTATCATTAGCACAGTGTGTACCATCTGCATCAAATTTTCTATTTCTTCAAAAACAAACAGATTCTGTTTCCATTATATTTTTGCCATTCCATTAGAGATGGCAGATAAACTCAGTGTCAATATTTTTAAGTGCAAGTGTAAAAAATAATTATTGTGTACAGTTAGTATCTGAGAAGAATCTTTAATGAAATATGGAGATACTGAAAAAGTCCATTCAAACAATACATATTAGGAACAGAGCAAACAATGACTCCCAAAACATCAGAGGTGGGATCAGGAGCCATGGAGGAGTGTACATCCCTTGCACTTTGCTCCTTATCTTGATTAGGAAGTAAATTTCCCCTTTTCATGCATCCACATTTCATTAGAAATCTGTATTACTATTTGTATATTTTCTTTTCAGTTTCAGTGGAAGATACTGATTGCTCAAAAAGACCTTGTCACAAAGATGGCGTATGTACAGATACCAATGGTAACTTTACTTGTGTTTGCCTTCCTCAGTGGAGTGGTGATTTCTGTGAATTAGGTTAGTACTCCTCTCATTTATCTGTACAAACTGATTAATTTATATGATAATTATGATGTATAAATATTTAGCATATTACTATTACTACTTAGAGTTAGTCACCAATTAAACCTTTTTTTGATGTAAAAGCTGAACATCTAATTTTAATTAGATTGTTAATTTATATGATAATTACAGTTGCTTATTACCTAGATTTGAGCTCTCATAGATTTCTGGTGAAAAACTTTACAATTGTTATGGATTAGGAAGTCATGTAGTTTTTGCTCTGTCCATCTGTCTGTCTGTGTGCTTTAACTCTGCCTATAACTTTTGATCAGTTAGAGCTATAGGGCTATCATATTTTACCTGTATATTCTATGTCACTGGTTACCACATGTACCATGTTAATGGCTTCACAAAGACTTCAATAAAGGGCTACAGTGTTACTGATTATTGTAATCTCACTACAGAGCTCTAGACCTAATCCCTCATCAGAGATTAGAATCAATTCAGTCCAACAGCAAACTAATCATATCATCCAATGTGGGGAAAATGATTAATAAAATAAAAATGGCAATTACTGAACATTTATTGTAATCTACATAATTATGACATTAAATGCCTGTGTCATATTGAACATATTCTAAATATTAATATAACCACCACTTATTTCTGATATCTAGGTCAGTCATATTTTTTATCACATTTTTATTACAGTCTAAGTTCAATACTGTGTGATAAATTTACATTTTAACTCACTTATAGTTCATTGGAAATAGAGACTGGCCAACGTGCATGCATGCATTTAATTGAATTTGGGAGGTAAAAATCATCTATATTCATGACATAATTGTCCAAGTGACTCATTGTAAATGTTACTTGTCTCTATAAATTTTCCCATTTGTGACGTCTAGGGTAGAATTGGACTATTGCTTAAATTTACTTTGATTTCAAGGTGTTTAATTAAATGACCAATTTGAAATAGATATCGATGTTTGGAATAAAGTAACTGTAATTAAGGACAGAAATAGGGACAGTCTAAAACCCAGTAAACACTTTGAAAGAATGTTCTTCTTTATATGTTTTCTAATAACTGGGTGTGCACTTCAGTCATTTCTTCAAAGGCAGTTAAACAAATTCAGATGAACATTGCTGGGTGCACATTTTTAGTACATGTATATGGTACTCTTTTTTGTCTTGTTGCTCTTTAACATGATATCAACATTCTCCTAATAATTCATAATGAGAAAGGTTTTCAGATTTATTGCCTTTACATTCTGTATCCCTTGGCTTAAGTGACCTTGACCTTGAGACAAGATGATAGCACACCAGTGCATCATGAGCAAATAATTCAAATTGTGCCAGTTTATACCTCATTTTACCATCTTATTCCTCAGTGACCTTGATTTTTGTTACATAACCTTGACACAATATTTCATGGTCATAAGAAATAATGCAATTCAATATATGATTCTTTTGAGAAATGATCACAAACCCATAAACAGACAGATGGTCAAATATATGCCAAAATTTATATGTCTCTTCTATTGAGAGAAAGTCTCTTTCTAAACCAGTTTAATTTACATTGTAACTCTGATGCAATTAGAATGTTTTTTTTTTATTTGGATAGACACAAATGAATGCTTGAATTTTCCTTGTGAACATGGCGGCACTTGTACTAACACACATGGAGATTACCATTGTACCTGTACCTCAATCTGGGTGGGGAAGAACTGTACAGGTGAGTCCTAATGTATGTCCCATGAAATGACAGTGTGATCTGGGTGATGAAAAACTGTACAGGTGAGTCCAAATGTGTGGCCTCTGGAATTGCAGTGTAACAAATACATGAGCTTTCTGTTTTGTAATGGATTGCATACATTTTGGAAATGAAGTTTATCCAAGATTCAGAACACCCTGACTTGGTCACTCAGGACTAAAGCTCCAGGGTTGGTTTACTGAAGCTCAGTAGAATTTTTGTACTCTTTGCCAATGAATGACTGACATATCAAGGGCCTACAGTGTTTTAGAATTGCAGGATTGATAAAAGAATATTTGGAAAAAGGTAAAGGTTGTTGATAGAAAATATATAAATTTTAATTTATGATAAATTTTGTTTGAGTTGTAATATTGCGTTAGGCAAGAGCAATATGAGATGTCCAGATGGCTTATGTCTTTTAGGGTGTGTGAAAATTATCTTGATAATTTAAGAAAGACCCTATTGCTTTTAATGCTGTATTTTAGATAATTGTAAAAAGCTCTCATCAAATTACATACTATTGCTTTTAATGCTGTATTTTAGATAATTGTAAAAAAGTTAAAACTGTGATAATATGTAAACAACATCATTGTTTTTATGATATTAACAAGAAGTTGTAGTTTAAATGACATTTTACACATTCTTTTTTTAAGTTGTAGACACAGACAATTTCATATGAATGCATGACAAAGAATAAATGTCTAAAAATGAGTCTTTAAATGATTGTTTCAACAAGAAAAAGTGATAGCATTTATTTTCTTTATTCAATACAAACCAATGAAAGTGTACTACACAATTATTTTCACAAGTTTTTTGTGAAATTCAAAATTTAAGAAAATTAGTTGACCTTGGAATGAGCTCGACAAGCATTCAATGTCAATGAGATATGCTTTAATTTAATTAACATTACAAGTAGATCTGCTACACAAACTCTTAGTCACATAGTGTAGTAAGTATAAAAACAAATCTAACAGTCTGTTTTTTTTAAATTATGTTAGATTGAGATACCATTTTCTCCCCCCCCCCCCCCCCAAAAAAACCCTGGAGTATTTTCTGACTGTCTGAGAATAAGCTCCTCCCCCCCTTCACTGCCTGACTACTGCCCCATTTTTGCACTGTTCTAAGAATATGGTATGCTTGTTTTACCACTATTATGAGAGCATTTCCCCTGTGTCAACCATTTTAACGTTTTAAAAATACCATTTTTAGGTAATATTAACTTTAAAAAAATATGCTATTTAGACAGATTGTGAATAAATTTTCTGCATTATAAAGAGAATGAACAGGAACAAAAAAAATATAGCATTTAAGGGGATGAAGGACCTTTAGCTGAAAAAATACCTGTCATTTAATTTTGTTCATATTTTGTATATATCTTATTTAGTATGTCCTACATACTATAAAGCAGACATATCAATAGGTTTCTAGACTTATTTCTGAGATATTGAGTGACAAATACCATACCCCACAGTGTCTGAGCGGAGTTTTTATTCTCCGTGTTTCTGGGTCCATTACTCGGTCGATAATTGAAATTTTTCACCATAGATAAAAAATATACCAGCGGAAATGTGTCTTTTAAAATATTTTAGAGTATGAATAGGGTTAAAAATTCGAAAAAGCAAGAATCTTTTGTAACACCACATCTGGAGACGGAAATTTACGACTTTTTTAGGACAACTTAAACCATAAAAAAATTAATTTGCAAAAAATCCTATCATTCAATATTTGAAAATTTACGTCGAAGTTCAAGGTCGTCATTGTATTGATTAACTGTAAAAATATCGATTGGTGAAGCTGAGCTCAATATTGCACGGGGCAAAGTTAAACGAGTCATGATCATGAGAAAAACGTGTCATGTTTACATTTCTCGAGTACGGGAAAACCCAACTATGACGTCACACATTCCGGAAATAAGCGAAATAAGACAAACCCACAGAACTTTTCCGTCAACAACCATGTAAAAATATTTTTTGCGTTCTGAAATTTACAAAATACCCTACTATGTACATATTATGGCCCGTTTTTATGATTTTATACTACCCGTTTTTACCGTGTATGATCTTACTGAACGTTTTAAAGAGATCCACTATGACGTCAAAGACGCATTGGACGCGCAGAGTAAAAAAAACGTCAGAGTGGATTAATCTATTCCGTAATTTGATTATATTTGCAAGAAATTTTGAATGTTTTCAGATATTTTTATACTAGATGGTGAACGCAAACAAACAGTAAAAAAATTATACAAGTACTGTGGTTTCAATCTCGTTTTGTACATATTTTATCAGAGATTATGACGTAAATCAACTGAGTCACGTGACCATACATCCTTCATCCCCTTAATCACATGCTTGGAAAGAATGAATCAACACTATGTACATGTACTCGTACATATGTATCTAACGTGCCACATTATTTTTTCACGGTATTTTATTGCTTAAGACCTAAAGAAATAATGTTTATTTGTTTTGATAATACCGGGGTAGCTAGGAATATGAATGTATCATTTTACAAGTGGGCATTTGTATTCTATGGTTACATTATTTCTAGTGTTTTCAGTGAATCAAAAACACTCATTTACTAATATCAACTGAATAAATTGTATTCATTATTAGTATTAAAATATTTATATAGATTAGGACTAATTACTTGTAAATTACAAAATCAGCTCAAGAAAATATTTTATTCAGAGAGCTGAAAAAAATTTCTCAAAACAAAGTAAGCATTATACGGTTTATACCATCTGATACATTTTCAGTATAGTCTGGGCAAAATAATAACAAACTTCAGTAGACTGGGCATAATGTAGCTAAGAGATGCATATGGAGTTATAATTAACACCACTCCACTCTAGAGCTCTTGAGATTTAGCCAAACTTGTTTCTTCATTAGGTGACGTTTTTTGTTTATGAGTTGTTATAAGAGGTAGATTTACGCACCTCACAGACAGAATCTCACCTTCGCGTGGAGACTCCACAGCTGCAGGTGTGGAATACAATGCAGACATGCATCTGTAAGAAGTACATCAAAAGGAATTGCCCTTGAACACTAATTGAAACATTCTTTGTTGTTTTCCTTAATTTTTTTTCTTGTGTATCACAATCCAGATTTTCCTGTTTAAATTTTTAAATGTATTACCAATACTTATTAGCTTTGGCAATGAAAGAACCCAGGTAAAATTGAAAACTTCTGTAGATTTTTGAAAATTTTATATTAAATTTATCTTAATTGTCACCATGCATAGTATACTTTAATAAACCAGTTATTATTCGTGACAACTTTTATTAATGATTTGCCAGTTTGAAATATGTGTTTGCATGACTATCAATTTTAGTAACTGAAGAATCAGTCTTCATGAGTACACCATTAAAAAAAATGTTTTGCATAGAAAAATGTCATATGAGAGTTGTAGAAGGTCCTAAAACTGACAGGGATATTTCTCACAAACTAATAAAAGTTAGTTAACAATGTCATTCTAAGGGCTTCTTAAATGATACATGTACTTGATCTTTAATGTGCCTTTATAATTTGAATACTGTAGAAGTACTTTTTTCCGCAGGGTATTAATTTACGCTATGTAAGCGGTCACAAATTTTCCGCGAAAATTTGTCCAAGCATACTTAATATAAATGTAAGGCATATAGTGACAATCTTGAAAATCCGCGTAATTTTCTACCCGCGGATTAAACAGAAATTAAGATTCCGTGGAATTATGACCCCGTGGAAAAAAGTACGTCTACAGTACTCTAGTCAATCATAGTGATCAAGAATCACAGACAATTTATAAAAAAATGTCTTAATAGTTAAAAAGATTAACTTGTTAATATTGATGTTTTACAGAGTTTAAACGTGTCATATCATCTAACCCAAGACCAGACATGGAGATTTTTCCTGCTAAGGAGAGCAGTCCGGGATCAGAAAATGACACGATCCACACAAGTACGGGAGACCTGATCTTGAACAGTGGGGAAAACTTCACCATAGAATGTTTCGGAGACTACCCTGTCACACTAATCATACAGAGGGGCAAACTAAGGGCTGTAAGTATTTATAGGTACACTAACTCTTATAAGGTTTGTTACTGTCTACATGGTCTATAAAACTATAGCAGGTAGATCAATCTCATAGATTGAAAGGCAGAGTTGAGATTGATCAACCTGATACATAATTCATTTCTTTAGACAGTAACATGCATAGTAAATATTTTCTTGGAGATAATAGTGTTAGAGACAAAAACTCAAAACAGACCCATAGCAATGTTTATCAATTAGTTTGGTACCAAAAAAAAAAACGACCATTGAAAAAAAAACAGTGATGCGATTAATTGGAACACTTTCAAGGGGATGCAGAGCATTGGAATGATACAGAATCTACAGCTGCAACATTTTAATTTTTATAAAAAGTGGAATTCCTCCCCTGGCTGATCATCAACAGCCTAAGACCTTAGAGCCTGCAAATGATGATCAAATACATGTACATCATATTTCAATTCAGTTAATTTGTCCTATTACCCAAACTATTAAGTTCCATCCAATTTCACAAAGTCATACTCTTGAAAATTATTAACCTCACCTTTTAACCATCAAGTAATTTTTAGCTCTACTGGTCAGAGACCAGAAGAGCTTATGCAATAATAATGCGTCCGGCGTCCGTCTGTCTGTCTGTCTAGCTGTACGTCTGTAAACAATTTTTCAAAATGCTACTCCTCCTACAGTTTTGGTCTGATTTCAATATAACTTGGCACACAAGTAGACTTTACTAAAATACATAATTCTGTGTATCGGTTTTTGATTTTGACGAACGGTGTTGCCGTGGTTACTGAAAATAGAAATTTTTTTGAAATTGTTTCAAAATGCTACTCCTCCTACAGTTTTGGTCTGATTTTTTATATAACTTGGCACACAAGTAGACTTTACTAAGATACATAATTCTGTGTATATTGGTTTTTGATTTGATGAACGGTGTTGCCGTGGTTACTAAAAAAAGAAATTTCTGTTTCAAAATACTACTCCTCCTACAGTTTTGGTCTGATTTCAATATAACTTGGCACGCAAGAAGACTACACTAAGTTACATATTCTGTATATCGGTTTTTGATTTCGACGAACAATGTTGCTGTGGTTACTAAAAATAGAAATTTCTGTGAAATTGTTTCAAAATGCTATTCCTCCTATAGTTTTGTTCTGATTTCAATATATTTTTGCACAGAAGTAGACTACACTCAGATGCACAGTTCTATTTATCATTTTTTTGATTTTGATGAACATTAGTCCCAACTGCTACTTTTCTCCTCCTTCGTAATAAGTACAAACTAGTAGAGCTTCAGTCTCGACAGAGACTTCTGGTTTGTTTCTTCAATTATCTTTATATTTAAGTAAGTAAATTGTGTATTGCTAAACACTGGCATAAGTTCCTGGAATTGCTTTTGTTTTTAGAGGTAAACAAATTTACCAGAGGTGGTTAGTTTTTTCAGCTTCTGAGATTATATATCAGCTGCAGTCAATCAAAGTCTTTGTAATAATTCAATTTATGTTGAATCGCATCATGTAGAAATCATTAACGTTTATTACATGATAAAGCTTTTAGTTCCAGGAGAAATAGTTTCTTGTTCTCCATAGTTTAATAAAAACAGTGTTAGTTATAGGTTGATAATCGTCATAAATCAGAAGTCTATATTCATGACCATTATGGTAGTAGTGGCATCTGTAATCTAGTGGTTAAGGTGCCAGACTCCAAACCGAAAGGTTGTGAGTTCGAATCCTGGCCACGGCAAGTCGACGTTGTGTCCTAGGGAAAGGCACTTTACATGAATTTCCTCACTCCACCCAAGTGTAAAAGGGGTACCTGGCTATAGACAGTGAAAGATATTGTCAGAATGTTAGTGTTCTAGCGCCTTAACGGCAGCTTACACTGAGAAAGATTCTGGATTATTTAGGTCTGCTTGGGTAATAATGTATTGTAAAGCGCCTTGAGTAGCATTTATGCTAAAAAGGCGCTATATGAAAACCAAAAACCTGGCTATAGACAGTGAAAGATATTGTTAGAATGTTAGTGTTCTAAGGCCTAAAATAAAATATTGTTTGTTTGCGGTTGCCTACCAACCCACTGAAAATGCATCCGACCCAAACTTTTTTTTTTAGCCATTTTGTAATATTATTTTTTTCCCCCCAATATTTCAGGATATTAAAACTGTTTCATTTTCAATTTTTGTCTTCATCAATCATTAGTTTATACCAAGAGTGGAGCTTATTCATGTATAAAAACTTTATTTTATGTTATATAACAAAAATCTGAAGGAAAAAAAAAAAAGAAAAGAAAACCTACCTACCTACCCAGTCTAAAAATTAAAGGTCGGCAACTGCAAACAAAGAATTTTTTAAGCTTGGCCTAGTGCCTTAACGGCAGCTTACACTGAGAAAGATTCTGGATTGTTATGGTCTGCTGGAGTGGAGTAATAATGTATTGTAAAGCGCTTTGAGTAGCATTTATGCTAAAAAGGCGCTATATGAAAACCAAAAACCTGGCTATAGACAGTGAAAGATATTGTCAGAATGTTAGTGTTCTAGCGCCTTAACAGCAGCTTGCACTGAGAAAGATTCTGGATTGTTATGGTCTGCTGGGGTAATAATGTATTGTAAAGCGCTTTGAGTAGCATTTATGCTAAAAAGGCGCTATATAAAAACAATCATTATTATTATTATAATAATGATGAATTTCTTCATGTATCATACTCTCATCAACCAGGTGAAATTTGAACAGTAGATTTGAGAACACTCTGTTTTCATTCTCCAGAAAAGAAGAAGATTTGACCAAGGAATTCTAAGGACTTTGTGTCACAACTAAAGCATTCATGTTATTGTACAATAATTAGGACAACTTTACTTGAAATCATCGTATACTTTCCGTCATTTGATAGTTTTTCAGTCAGCGTGTTTATCTGACTCAAGTACTTACTTAACACTTCCTGTCTGTAAGTATATGTTAAGGTGTTGACGAGAAATCCTTCGACATTGAACCAAATTAGTAGTCAAGATTCCTTAGAATTAACTCTTACTTTTTCCCTGTTTGAAAGTAAGAGTTGTTCACATGAAAAATGCATTTTTTAAGAATGTTCTGTTTTTGTGAAAATCAATTTTGTGTTGTTTTTTCCCAATTAACCTAAATTTGAATGGAGAAAAACAAACAGCAAGTAGTTTAAGTGAGCATATTAAAATGGCTAAAATTACTTCTCACTAAAAATAGAATACCAATTTTCAAAGACAAATTGCTAAATTTGCATCTCACTAAAATGTCCACTTATAATTTCAATCAGTAGTATATATTTCCTTGATAATGTAAATTTGTATTTCTCACATATCTTTAATTGTTATGAAAGCCATTCTTATATTGAGCTCTCAGGTACAAATATAATGAAGAATGCACTCATTTTGAAATGAATTTTAACAACTCAATGACATATATTTATATCTCTAATTATGATGAAAAATTATTATATATTTGCCGCACTTTATTTTCGCAGTTTTACACTTGCAAACAATTTTACCCCATCTTAAATTCATCCAGTAACAGTTTGGAGAAATCTTAATGTATTCAGTAACCCTGACTACCTGTACACGGGGGAATACTTCTGTCAGTACCAAGACAACAGCATTTACACCAGCAAGTACATCTATGTCAGAGGTGAGTCAGCTACATGGGTGAAGGACAAACTGATGTAGTTTATCAATTTACCAAATTGATCAAGCTCTGTCCTAAGTCTTTTATATCCTTTACAACAGATGGAAAAAAAACTTTGATTGAAAATTAATAGTCCATGACATATATTTAAACATGCAAATTGTAAGAAAGTATCTGTATTAAATCTGGTTTACATTATATTTTCCAGGAAGTCCAATTTTTGTGGTTTGCCCCGCCCAATAGGAAAAAGATTTGATCTTTGATAGGAATTTAATTTGTACACATGGATGAACCAAGACAACAGCATTTACACCAGGACATAAATTCATGTGTCTTTTCTTACCTTGAAAACCACAAAATTACCACACACACCCCACACACAAATTAGCGATTTCACAGTACATGTAATTGAATTGGTCAAATCCTACCAAAAATTTAAAGGTTTTGTGTTTAATGATGATAAGTTAATTGTACAGATTTAACTTTTAATGATGTTGTATAATAATCAGGAAATAATGGAAGTCTGATTAGAAATTTGTACAATACTTCCTTTAATGTTTTGCAGTGCCCTTTCATTATAAAGAAACATTAGAAGCTCATATAATAACCACAAAATCTGAAAAATAGAAACTACTGTAAACCAACTTTTATTCGTGTGAGAAACCAACTTCTCAGAAATGTGCTCATTTTCAAGGAATGTTTTGTAGTGCCCTTTCATTATATAAAGAGACATTAGGAGTTCATAACAACAAAATATTAAGTTTATAAACTAAACTCAAACATTAATTATCATGTTCACAAAGTTGGGGTTAGCAGAGACCATGGAAGAGCGTATGCCTTTGGTAACAAGTCTCTTAAAAATTGAAATTAAACTGTATATATCTGTGTATGTTATTGCCAATTTTGAGTTTTAGCTTTAGACATACATATTCTGATTTCTTTTTTTTTAATTGTTTTCTACAGATGAGGACAATTTATTCCTGCTTCAAAACAGATCCTACCCGTATTTTGTTAATGCCTATCAGTTTGTTACCTTGATACTTGCCTGTAATGTGTCTGACCCTGAAGCCAAGGTCGAACTGTGGCGAGGTGGAGGGGTACAAGTGTCTCTGGAGGAAAACGGCATTGTATATGACCCCAAAATTGGATTTATAATTGAGTTTCCAAATTTGCGGTTGGCAGGGATGTTTAAGTGTAATGCCACCAAGAACCAAAAGACAGATGTTCGCAATTTTTACATAAATTACAGAGGTAACATACCCACCATCTACAAGAAAATAAAGATTCTTATCTCATTTTTTGTATACATGTATAAATAACAAATAAAAAATCCAGTTAAGAATAAAAAACACTTTTTAAAGAGGTAGGTTCACTAATTCCATAAAATGGCCCTGTCATCATACCAATTTAAAGAGGTAGGTTCACTAATTCCATAAAATGGCCCTGTCATCATACCAATTAACTGACCAAGTCCTTACATCCCATTTCAAACATTAACATAATGTGGAGACTTAGTGCTTTCATTTCCTATAAAAAGAATTCTCTAAGAGTCCAAGTTTTGATACTCAGGCTATGTGAAACTTCAATGTTCTTGAATTTTGAAGAAAATGAGTGAATTTGAGCACCAACTGTTGATTAAAATATGATCCCTCCCCACAATCTAAAAGTTGTTTCATGGATTGGATATTTTCTGAAACAGGTCTTTCATTATATACTGGTAGTTAAACAATTCAAATTAGAAGTTGGGGTTATGCAAAATATTCAAAAAGGGCTTAAAATTTTTGCCTTTTTTAAAGAAATTTTCATGATTTGAGGAAAATGATGCAATTCATGACGTCATAATACATGGACAAGAGAAAAAATTACGTCAATTTTATTAGCTCTTCTGAGCCAAAGGTTCAAAGAGCTAATGCTATGGCCATTTGTGCGGTGTGCGTAAACTTTTTAGAAAATGGGCCATAACTCAAGAACCCTTTGGCCAATCACTGTCAAATTTGTCACAGGGTATCTTTGGCCCAAGGGCTACTATTATACTAAAACTAGGGTTGGGACCCTTAAAGAAGGGGAGATAACCAGGAAAATAAAACAAAAATTACTGGTTGCTAAAAATTCTTCTCCAGAACCACGAGGCAGATTTTCACCAAACTTACATACAAGGATCAGGATAGGTTGAAGATTAAAATTTGCATGGGGAATTACCCTGGGGCAAAGGGCGTGGTCTCAAGGTCACCTCAAAGTTGACCAAAATTTTTACTTTATAAAAACATTGATAATTTGCTTACTATAAAGACTATAATCATCAAATTTTGTAAGTTGATGCATCATAGGACTTCACATCATATTAACTCAAAAGTAGGTCATGGTGACCTATTTTTTATACCCCCCGCAAACGAAGTTTGGGGGGGTATATAGGAATCACCTTGTCTGTCTAGCTGTCCGTCTGTCCATCTGTCTGTGCAATCGTGTCCGGTCCATATCTTTCTTACAGAGGGACATTAGAATCTACTACTCCACACTAAGATTGCTCATGACCTAAGGGTGTGTCATGACCTTGACCCAAGGTCATTTGGGCAAGTTCAAGGTCACTGGAAGAAAAATTTCATAATTCGTGTCCGGTCCATATCTTTCTTATGGATAAACTTGGTTGGTTCTCATTTCACACAAAGATTGCCCATGACCCAAGGGTGTGTCATGACCTTGACCCAAGATCATTTGGGGAAGTTCAAGGTCACTGGAAGAAAAATTTCAAAATTCATGTTTGATACATATCTTTAATGGATAAACTTGGTAGGTTCTCATTTCACACAAAGATTGCCCATGACCCAAGGGTGTGTCATGACCTAGACCCAAGGTCATTTGGGGAAGTTTAAGGTCACTGGAAGAAAAATTTCATAATTCGTGTTTGATACATATCTTTATTATGGAAAAACTTAATTCTGAAAAACCCAGCGGAGGGTATTTTGTCCCGTTTGGACAGTTCTAGTTTAATTTTGCAGGTATTTGTTTTGAAATTGATTTTGAGACATATTTTGGACACTTTTAAAAGCCTATGATCATCAAAATTTGTCAGTTGATGTATCTTGGGTTGTTGAACAATGTCAACTTAAAATTAGGTCACTGTGACCTACTTTTTGAATTTTATGGCTTATCTTTTCTAAAACATTTAATCCCATCAATTCAGAAACTGAGAGGTTTAGAATCACGAATTCTTGTAATTTGATGCAACTTGAGGCCTTAAAACATATTTATGAAAAAGTAGGTCACTGTGACCTACTTTTTACATTTTGCAGGCATTGGTTTTCAAATTGTTTTAAAGGCGTATTCTGAATACTTTAAGATGTATGATCATCAAACTTTGTCAGCTAATGCATTTTGGGTCTTCAGAAAACGGTCACAGTGATCTACTTTTGATATTTTATTGCTTTATTTTAATTATCTTAAGTACTTATAGGCTTAGAATCATCGAACTTTGTCAGTTGATGCATCTTGGGTTTTCGAAGAATGTTGACCAAAAAGTAGGTCATGGTGAATTACTTTTGAATACTTGGGTACTTAGAATCATTAATCCTTGTCAATTAATGCATCTTAAGTCCTCAGAAAATTTCAATTTAAAAGTAGGTCAGCATGACCTACTTGTGGTATTTTATAGTTATATTGAAATATCTTCAGTCTTAACTGGGTAAGAATCATTAAACTTTGTCAGTTGATGCATCTTGAGTCTTAGGATATTTAGAGGCTTCAATATTAATACAGTAAAATTTGTCTAATCCGGACTCTGAGTACTCCGGATTTTTGTCCATTCCGTCTATAAATTTTAGTCCCATGAACTTCTTAAACAAATTCATTAGAAAAAATTCTGTGTAGTCCGGATACTGTCTATTCTGTATTCCGAACGGCCATACTGGTCCCAGCTGCTCATAATTAACGGTAATTATTTCCTCTAATCCGGCCACACCTGAGTTACTTCAAAGCAATTAACACCTTTCGTGATGGATTTGATAATATGTGTTTACATTAGCAGTGCCATGAAACGAACTCATTGAAATGCGGCGGTGACACAGTTCAGTTGAAAAAAAAATTACTAGTATATGATTGAATTACAATTAAAAAAAATAATTTTGTTTTAACTCGATCCTTTTACCACATTATAACAAAAATACAAAAAATAAATATGTACGCGATTTACAAATCAATATGTAAATCGGGATCGAAAATCGAACGCATTTCAAAATGGCGCCAAACCACTGTGGGGGAAGACGTAATTTTTTACATAAAAATTAAAAGTTCAATCTAATAATTAGCACATCTTAAATAATTGTGCATTACTGTTTTTACACTGAATGAGCTCTTTGACAAGCAAAACATGATTCGCTTGATATATAGTAGGCCTATATTATGCGTGCCTGTAGATTTTGATTTAGGTTTTTACTAACATTTCACCCGACTTTTAAACTTCGTGAAAAAACAAGAAAATACAGTAAGTCATAAGGGACTATTTTATAATTTCTAGACTCCAAAATATTGATTGATTTCATCATTTAATTATATTTTATATTATGTATAATAATGAACTTGTAAATAAACAACAAAATTTTCAAAACTAACATTTTCCTGCATTTTTCCTGCACTCCGGATTCTGTCTAAACCGGCCAAATTTTATGGAACTGGCGGTAGCCGGTTTGGACAAATTATACTGTATAAGTAATAGATTGTACAATTTATCAGAAGAGCAATTCAAGGCCCTTGGGACTCTTGTTTGATATGAAGTCACCAAGGGTCCAAGTAAAATTTAACATATTTTCAACTAAAATGAGCAGTTTTGATTTTTCAGAAATTCACAGGGCCAAAAGAGGCCCAAGGGGAACCTTGTTCTTTGGATACATGTATCTTTGTTACTCCTTTTGTAGGTGGTAGTGCTCCACCAAGTCCCTATATACTACCTCCTGGGGATAAGGAGATTGTATTAGGGGAAGACTTTGAGCTCACATGTACAGTGAAGGTTAAGACTGGCACAACTGTTAGCATGGACTGGAACTATAAGTCAAATGAGGTAAAGTTAACTGTTTCAACAGTATATCTTGGGTATATGAATTGCACCTGCGGTAGAGCGCTCACTCCATGATCAGGAGGTCATGAGTTCGCATCTTAATTGCGGCCAACCTAAGTCAATAAACAAAACGTAGCAACTGTTCCTTTACCATGTGCTCAGCTTTTGAAATGAAAGTTGCAGTTCCTTTGGGTGAGACTTTAGAAACAGTGGTCCCATGTCACAACAATCGTTGGCACATTAAAGAAGCCTCACTGTTCAGTGGCCTTGAGTGTCGCGTAAAGGTCAAAAGTTGAAGCCCTTCACCAAAATGGTGGCGTCTCCATATGAGTGAAAAATTCTTGAATGGGACGTAAAACAACATACAATTAAAGATTTGCATCTGGTGACCAAATTTGCATTGAAATGTGTGAGATGTTCCATCTGACCTACCTGAATGATCCAACCAACATTTTCCAGAACATCAAGAGCAGGTCCATGTTCTAAATCTTTAAATCTTAAACAAAACAAACCAAACTTACATGGATTTACCTTTAGATTTACACACTACCAGAACATTTTTGATATGAAGATTTTTTTCTCACTTAAATATGTAACATTTAACAGAGTTTATAATCTTTGATTTACTGGTATGAGTATTTTTCAAATTTAAAAGCCTTTTCTTGTTTCAACCTGAATCTGATTAAAGGGGTTGAACTGTAATGAATGGAAAATAATCATAGTACATCCTTTGGAATTCTAAGTTTTTTTTCAGCTCTGTGCTTGTACATTAGAAAAGTTCGCGGACACATTGAATTACGGAAAATCTATTGTGTACTGTGAAGTATGACCTATGTCTGAATAAATTCCTATATTTTGTTTATTGGATGGTAAAAAAGCAGCATATAATAAAATCTGAAAATGTAATTCTCATTTATGGTGAAATGTAGGCTCGCTAGATGTTTGTGTATATATATTTTAACAGGTAAATCTTTTTAAAAAAGAAATGCGAAAACCTTTAGTTTAGCTTAACCGCTTTCATTTCTAAACTAAACTAAACTAATCTAAACTAAAAGTTTTCACGTTTCTTTTTATGCCCCCCTTTGAAGAAGGGAGGGCATATTTTAATCTCTTTTTAGACATTTTACTGCATACATAATTTTTGGTCAGGTATGTCGTTCCGATTTTTGGCTGTGTTTTCAGGCGTTGATTTTCTATCACAACCAATGCACATACTGAAATGGAATTTGGTATACAGACATGTCAGATGAATATCTAGACCAACTTCTGTTTTGGATATGATCGCCCCTTTTTTGACAGAGTTATGCCCCTTGGACTTAGAAAAATTCCATTATTTGCAGTTTCCCTTACATTATTCTTTGCAGAATATTATTATTTTAGAAATGAAATTTAGTATACAGATTTATCAGGTAAAATCTAGGCCAAATTGTGTTTGTGTATATATATTTTAACAGTTTTGCCCCTTTGGCTTAACTGCTTTAGAAAAATTCCAATTATCTGCAGTTTCTGTTCATTTTCTTTGCAACCGTTGCTACATACTGAAATGAAATTTAGTATACAGATTCATCAGATGAATATCTAGGTCAAGTTCTGCTTTGGGTACGATTGTGCTATTTTTGACAGAGTAATGCCCTTTTGAACTTAGAAAAATTCCAATTTGGGGGAGGGGGGCAAAAGTGTTTTACAAACATCTCTTGTTTTAAAAGATTTACCTGTAAACTACCGAGCACTGTTGATTTTTTTCTGTTTCAATATATTTTAACATATACTGATTTTGGTGGTTTTAACAATCTTTTTTTTTCAATTAATTTTATGTAGAAATCAATCATTTTTCCTATTACATTATAGAATTTAACATAACCCAGTCCTGTAATTCTTCATTCCATTTACATAGATAAGAGTGGTAGCATGTTTATATATTTTGTTTTAAGAATTGGTCTGAATGTACTAGTCTAGATTAAATTTTGTAGTTGTTGAAAAAATAACCTTGTTCACAATCATAATCAGAAGGTATATATTTTTCCACTCTCTTCCCCAGAAATCTGTAGCTGCATGCACCAGACAGAATTTTTTTTTATCAATACTCTCAGTGAATATTGAAACAACAATTTTTAGCCAAATAAATGTTGATTTCATGTACTATGGGAAATCTGAAATGGCAGCTCAATTTCTAAAACTATGTCTAATATGGGAATAAGTATCTTACAGGTTAAAATAATTGTTTAATGGGAATGATATTTATGGACTATGAAAGCAAGTAAGGAATATATGCAATATATACATGTTTATACATGTGAATTTGTCAGTACGTTGTATAAGTTGAGACTGTCAGGTTAAACAATTTTTCATGAGAGATATTCGCAGTTGAAGTTCAATTTCTCAAATAAACCAATAATTCAAATACAGTACCATGGATATTTCAGAGCAAGCTAGAATTCCAGCTATATTTTTGTTAGTTATTTTAACCATTATTTTTTATTTACACATTTACTTTAATATCTCAGTCTTTTTTTCTTAGAGATAATGAGGTTTGACTATATATCATTGAAAAGTTAACAAGATTTTTGGACCCCAAAGTCAATATTATTTTCAATATTAGGCAAAGCTAAAGGAACTCTTACTATCAAAGAAATCCAGATACTTTTTTCACTCAGGAAATGATATAATATAATAAGAAATAAAATGATAATTGTACTATAATTACTAAAATCCTGAGCTTTGTTCACATCACTGATGCTATAGTATACTCGGTAATGCTTCAGCATTGATGGCAGGCTATGGTAAAGGGTGTGCTTACATTTGCTTAGCCTTTTATTTTGATGATTGGTTCATGTTTAGTTAGCAAACCAACATTTTCAGTCATCGCTGGAATAAGCAGAATCTATTTTAATTGAGGATTCTGTTTACCCTGATGTTGTCTTAATACGTTTTGCTTTTGTGTGAGAGAGTACTTGCATATTTCAATTATAATATTATCTTTAAATAAGAGGACATGCTTTTACATCTGTGGATATGCATTGTTTTTTTTTATATTTACCCTAGATTTAGTAAATTTATAAATACAAAACATATTAAAGTTTGAATTATATTTATTTTCTATAGCTCTTTAAGCCAAGTTCACAATCCTAATAAAAGAGGTATGTTTTGAATTAGGACTCCTTCTCACCTGTGAGTCGAAGGCTCAAGTGATCTTTGTCTGTTGTCTGTCATCGTCGTTGTTGTCGTTATTGGTGTCATTGTAAACTTTTCACATTTTCATCTTCTTCTCAAGAACCACTGGGCCCATTTCAACCAAACTTGCTACAAAGTATCCTTGGATGGAGGAAATTCAAGTTTGTTCAAATGAAGGGCCATGCCCTTTTCCAAGGAGAGATAAGTATGAATTAGTGAAAAATTAATGGCATGTTTTAAAAATCTTCTTCTCAAGAACCACTGGGCCAGGAAAGATGAAACTCATGTGGAATCATCCTCAGGTAGTGCAGATTCAAGTTTGCTCAAATCATGACCTCCAGGGGTAGGATGGGGCCACAATGGGGGGTTAAAATTTAAGATAAGAATATATAGGGGAATTAGTCTTTAAAAAATCTTCTTCACAGAGACCACTGGGCCAGGAAAGTTGAAACTCATGTGGAAGCATCCTCATGTAGAGTAGATTGAAATTTTTTCAAATCATGACCCCCGGGGTAGGGCAGGGCCAAAATAGCCAATCAAAGTTTTACATAGAAATATATTGGAAAATTCTTTTAAAATCTTCTTCTCAAGAATAGCAAAGCCATGATTAATCATATTTATATGGAAGCATCCTCAGGTAGTGTAAATTCAAGTTTTAATCAAATAATGACCCCCGGGGGTAGGGCCGAGCCAAAATGGCCGACCAAAGTTTTACATAGAAATATGTAGGAAAATTCTTTAAAAATCTTCTTCTCAAGAATAGCAAAGGCATGAATGATCATATTTATATGGAAGCATTGTCAGGTAGTGTAGATTCAATGTTCAAATCATGACCCCCGGGGTAGGGCGGGGCCACAATGCCCGACCAAAGTTTTACATAGAAATTTATCGGAATATTCTTTTAAAATCTTCTTCTCAAGAACCACTGTGCCAGGAAAGATGAAACTTATATGGAAGCATCCTCAGATAGTGTAAATTCAAGTTTGTTCAAGTCATGACCTCTGGGTGTAGGGCGGGGCCACAATGGCCAATCAAAGTTTTACATAGAAATATATAGGAAAATTCTTTAAAATATTCTTCTCAAGAATAGCAAAGGCATGAATTATCATATTCATCTGGAAGCATCCTCAGGAAGCGTAGATTCAGGTTTGTTCAAATCATGACCCTTGGGGGTAGGGCGGGACCACAATGGCCGATCAAAGTTTTACATAGAAATTTATAGGGAAATTCTTGAAAATCTTCTTTTCAAGAATGGCAAAGCCATGTTTAGTCATATTCATATGGAAGTATTCTCAGGTGGTGTATATTCAAATTTGTTTAAATCATGACCCCTGGGGGTAGGGCGGGGCCACAATGTAAGTTCAAATGTAAAGGGCAATAAAGCCACAGGTAGTCAAAGAAATATGCAAGCATCCTTAGTTAGTGTAGATTCAAGATTGTTCAGATCATACCCTCTCCCCTTTAAGGATTTGTTTGGATCACTTTTGGGTTTAAACTTTTCAAAAATAAACTGATTTCTGCTTTTTTCCAAGCTACAGTGCTCAGGTGAGCAATGTGGCCCAGGGGAGCGTCTTGTTTTCTTTGTGACAGTTATGAAATTTTTTAAACACTTTGTTTGACAGCGGTCTGACAGGGTTCGAGCGACAGCAGCACAACTGAAAGAAACAAAGAAAGGAATTTCTATTCAGACATATGACTTCTTCGTCTCCATTTTGACTGTAATGAATGCCAAAAAAATGGACCAGGGCACATACACATGTAACGTTACCACTGGTGCAGGGTTGCACAATACAGCGTCTAAGCGGGTCATATTAATAGGTAAGTTTATCCCAGTTATTACACTGAAACCCCTATTTTAATTTGTAGACAATATTAATCTGCACATTCACTCGAAAACAGGAAGAAACCAATTGGATGAGTTTGGTATGCGAGCTCTTTAACATGGTAACATACCTTTCATGTGGGCATGGGATCATAAAACTTAGATGAGATAACATGATCTCAGGATCGATATCTCACTATTTACTCTCATTGTAAAAGTGAGACTGAGATCAAAAGTTAGCTGTCCAAGTTTTATGGCCCTGAGGAGCCTGGTCTCTTTAAACCAGAGTTGACCTAACTTTCTTGCAAATACTATAGAAGTACTTTTTTCCATGTGGTATTAATTTACGCTATGTACGCAGTCACAATTTCTCCGCGGAAATTTGTCCCATCATTCTCAAAATACGTGTAAGGAATATAGTGAGAGTTCAAGAAATCCGCCTAATTTTCTACCCGCGGACTAAGGAGAAATAGAGATTCCGCGGAATTATGACCCAGTGGAAAAAAGTACGTCTACAGTAATCATATTAACCCTCTCATCTAGCCTCTGTATTGTTCACATTCCCCCAATAAATGTGTCTGGGACTAACTAGAACAGTAAAGTCAGAAGAATGCCCCTGCTATTCTCGACCTTCAAAGGGGTACCTTATTGGCAGAGAAGAATAATATTCCCTTTAAAGGAATAAATGTTCTGATGGACTACAAACAGAGGTGTGACAGGTGCACTAAGGAAGCATACAAGATATCAAAGCAACTTTTTTTTTATTGGGGATACTAGCGGTTAAATGTACTTTGATTATTTAATGAATTATATGTCTGAATTTAAAGGTTTTTAGGTCACCTGAGTAAACTCAGGTGACCTATTGCTATCCGTTTTCGTCCGTCGTCGTCCGTCGTTCGTCGTGCGTTAACATTTGAACATTTTCAGCTTCTTCTCTGCAACCACTGGACCAATTTCAACCAAATTTGGCACAAAGCATCTATGGGTGAAGAGGAACAAAAATTGTGAATTTCATGATCCCTGCCCTAGGGCTGTGTATTGAGCAAAAAATTTTGATACGATACGATACAATATTTTTTAAAGCGATATGCGATATATTGGATTCTGAAACAAGTCCATTAAAAAAGGCTTATTAATCATTAAATGCATGGATTTCATAAAATTCTAGTGTTTTATCACCCATTTCAAAGTTCTTATCCCATATAGTCAGTAAATAAAACACTTCCAGTCGAAACTTTTGATGACTGTAAAATCAACATGTTAAAATAAAATTGTTACGTATTTTATAATAACTATAAAAACTGTGTTATTTCTTTTATAAATCTATAATTATTGACCAGTTTTAATTAAAAAAAGAGAAATATAATCTTTGCTGATTAAAATTCCCATATTTTTAGCAGAATTAGGAAAAAAACTACTTGTCCGGTACGTATTGGAAGTAATTTTTCGATACAATATTTTTCTTGAATATCGATACGTATCGATATATTGATATATTGATACAGCCCTACCCTGCCCCCCTGGGGCCTGAGGGGTGGGGCCAAAACCACTAAAATTAATGCAATCTTTAAAAATCTTCTTCTTTACTCCTGGACATCAGGCAGTCAAACTGTTTGCATGATTGTAATCAGCAATGAGTCCTCTACCAAAATTGTGAAATTCATGGCCCTGGGGTCAGGGGTTCTAGTGCTAGGGCGGGGCTAAATAAGTAGGTAGTGAAAATGCATTATTTCTTTGAAAATCTTCTTCTCTGCTCCTGGGTATTAAATAAACCAACTAAGTACACAGTTATGATGAGCAAGAGTGCCTCTACTAAAATTGTGAATTTTATGACCCCAGGGTCAGGGGTTCTGGTGTTAGGGTGGGGCTCTATTGGTTATATAGTGAAAATACATGAATTCTTTGAAAATCTTCTTCTCTGCTCCTGGGTATTAAATAAACTAACTAAGTACATAGTTATGATAAGCAAGAGTGCCTCTACCAAAATTGTGAATTTTATGGCCCCAGGGTCAGGGGTTCTTGTTTTAGGGTGGGGCTCTAATGATTATATAGTGAAATGCATGAATTCTTTGAACATCTTATCCTTTGCTCCTGGTTAATATGCTAATGAACTAATTACATATTGAAGGCCAGGATTTATTCTATTTTCAGTTTTACAAACCCTCCGCTCAAGGTTTTGAATTTTCAGAAAAAAATAAAACATTTTTTTTCTTTTCAATGTCAAATTTGAGTCGGGATCGAGATATCAAATTTACGAACTCGCACTTCCGGTTTTATAGAAAATAAAGCCAGATGGCAGATCATGGTCTGAGAAGATAGCTTGGTTTAGTGTAAAATTCGTCGATAAGAGTGCCATTCAAAACGTTTCACCCGTTCAAAGGACAAATAAAATGCTGACGACTTTGTTGCACAATGACATGCTGGTGAGATAATTATGTATTCGTTTCAAAAGTAACTGTAAACTTTTTTCCTCCCCCAGGTTTTAAACTGCCCGTGGTAGCTATTGCATATTGCCAGGGACATTGTTTAGGTCTCTGTTATAGCTTACAGTCTAAGCATCATTCTTCAGAAAAGGGTTGCTTATGCATCAGATGTAATGAATAAAACTATGGGAGAAGTGAAGTCCATTTGAGGAAGAAATAAACAATAACCTGAAGAAATAAAAAAAATTCAACTATTAAAAGGCAAGAATATACAAATATATACAGGCATGTAGTATCATTTGTATCAGCCAGAAAAATTATTTTACACTTAATTGAAAAAATGTTGACTCTACTCCCCAATACTCCCTGTCTGTTTTATGATAGGAATTATAATTTTAGGCATCAAGTAAATTTTAGAACAATGTCTACACATTCACCTAACACATATTAAAAAAATGAAGATATATTGAAAGACTTTTAAAGAATTGATTTTTTAAAATATACTTTGATCAACATCACAAAATTTATATAACTGACCCAAACTGGCAGATGATGAAATAAGCAATTAAATGTTCTACTTTCCTATTTGTAAGCATTATGTGTCCAGTGGTAAGGAGCCTATTAGGAAAGCATAAAAAAGAATGTACAAATGTTAATAATTGATTTATCAAAAAAAATTTTTTATTTCCTTCTCCTTCGGAACATTTTTATTCTCATGTTAATAACTAAACCTAAACATAAAAACAAATGCTGGCTTTATAATGAAGAAAGGGGCCTCTTTCAAAATAGATAATTTCAAGGCTGCTGGGTCAGGGATACCAGGGGGGTACTTTGACTAAAAATAAATTAATGCTTTGAAATCTGCCCTTTGATAAGCAATGGTGCCTCTTTCAAAATTTGTGAATTTCATGGCTTTTGGCTTAAAACACGAACGAAATACAATCGCTGGAAAGTTGTTACATGATACTCAGGTGACCTATAAGGCCCGTGGGCCTCTTGTTAGCTCTACTGGTCAGAGACCAGAAGAGCTTATGCGATAGTAATGCGTCCGGCGTCCGTCCGTCTGTCCGTCTGTCTGTCCGTCTGTCTGTCCGTCTGTCTGTAAACAATTTTTCAAAATGCTACTCCTCCTACAGTTTTGGTCTAATTTCAATATAACTTGGCACACAATTAGACTACACTAAGATACATAATTCTGTATATCGGTTTTTGATTTCGATGAACGGTGTTGCCGTGGTTACTAAAAATAGAAATTTCTGTGAAATTCTTTCAAAATGCTACTCCTCCTACAGTTTTGGTCTGATTTCAGTATAACTTGGCACACAAGTAGAATACACTAAGATACATAATTCTGTGTATCGGTTTTTGATTTCGATGAACGGTGTTGCCGTGGTTACTAAAAATAGAAATTTTTGTGAAATTCTTTCAAAATGCTACTCCTCCTACAGTTTTGGTCTGATTTCAGTATAACTTGGCACACAAGTAGAATACACTAAGATACATAAATCTGTGTATCGGTTTTTGATTTTGATGAATGGTGTTGCCGTGGTTACTAAAAATAGAAATATCTGTAAAATTGTTTCAAAATGCTACTCCTTCTACAGTTTTGGTCTGATTTCAGTATAACTTGGCACACAAGTAGACTACACTAAGATACATAATTCTCTGTATTGGTTTTTGATTTCGATGAATGGTGTTGCCGTGGTTACTAAAAATAGAAATTTCTGTGAAATTCTTTCAAAATGCTACTCCTCCTACAGTTTTGGTCTGATTTCAGTATAACTTGGCACACAAGTAGAATACACTAAGATACATAATTCTGTGTATTGGTTTTTGATTTCGGTGAACGGTGTTGCCGTGGTTACTAAAAATAAAAATTTCTGTGAAATTCTTTCAAAATGCTACTCCTCCTACAGTTTTGGTCTGATTTCAGTATAACTTGGCACACAAGTAGAATACACTAAGATACATAATTCTCTATATTGGTTTTTGATTTTGATGAACGGTGTTGCCGTGGTTACTAAAAATAGAAATTTCTGTGAAATTCTTTCAAAATGCTACTCCTCCTACAGTTTTGGTCTGATTTCAGTATAACTTGGCACACAAGTAGAATACACTAAGATACATAATTCTGTGTATCGAATTTTTATTTTAATTTTGATGAACGGTGTTGCCGTGGTTACTAAAAATAGAAATGACTGTAAAATTGTTTCAAAATGCTACTCCTCCTACAGTTTTGGTCTGATTTCAATATAACTTGGCACACAAGTAGACTACACTAAGGAGTAAGAACATAAAGAGACTTTATCAACGATCATTATTCTATTTATTGCTGTTGTAAAATTTCAAATCCCAGCTGCTTAAGTACTTTTCTTTTCCTTTGCTATAAGTTCAAACCAGTAGAGCTTCAGTCTCGACAGAGACTTCTGGTTTTTTAGCTCTACTGGTCAGAGACCAGAAGAGCTTATGCGATAGTAATGCGACCGTCGTCCGTCCGTCTGTCCGTCTGTCTGTCTGTCCGTCTGTCTGTCTGTCTGTAAACAATCTTTCAAAATGCTACTCCTCCTACAGTTTTGGTCTGATTTCAATATAACTTGGCACACAAGTAGATTACACTAAGATACATAATTCTGTGTATCGGTTTTTAATTTCGATTAACGGTGTTGCCGTTGTTACTAAAAATAGAAATTTCTGTGAAATTCTTTCAAAATGCTACTTCTCCTACAGTTTTGGTCTGATTTCAATATAACTTGGCACATAAGTAGACTACACTAAGATACATAATTCTGTATATCAGTTTTTGATTTTGATTAACGGTGTTGCCGTTGTTACTAAAAATAGAAATTTCCGTGAAATTCTTTCAAAATGCTACTTCTCCTTCAGTGTTGGTCTGATTTCAATATAACTTGGCACATAAGTAGACTACACTAAGATACATAATTCTGTGTATCGATTTTTTATTTCGATGAACGATGTTGCCGTTGTTGCTAAAAATAGAAATTTCTGTGAAATTCTTTCAAAATGCTACTCCTCCTACAGTTTTGGTCTGATTTCAATATAACTTGGCACACAAGTAGACTACACTAAGATACATAATTCTGTATATCGGTTTTTGATTTTGATTAACGGTGTTGCCATTGTTACTAAAAATAGAAATTTCTGTGAAATTCTTTCAAAATGCTACTTCTCCTTCAGTGTTGGTCTGATTTCAATATAACTTAGCACACAAGTAGACTACACTAAGATACATAATTCTGTGTATCGATTTTTTATTTCGATGAACGATGTTGCCGTTGTTGCTAAAAATAGAAATTTCTGTGAAATTCTTTCAAAATGCTACTCCTCCTACAGTTTTGGTCTGATTTCAATATAACTTGGCACACAAGTAGACTACACTAAGAATTCTGTATATTGGTTTTTGATTTCAATGAACGGTGTTGCCATGGTAACTAAAAATAGAAATTTCTGTTAAAAAATCTCAAAATGCTACTCCTCCTGCAGTTTAAGTCTGATTATAATATAATGTGGCATGCAAGTAGACTATACTAAGAACATAAAGACACTTAATCAAGGATCATTATTCTTTTTATTGCTGTGGTAAAGTTTCAATTCCCAACTTCTTAAGAACTTTTCTCTTCCTTTGCTATAAGTACAAACCAGTAGAGCTTCAGTCTTGACAGAGACTTCTGGTTTTAAAAAACGTTCATTAAAGACATCCTTGAATATTACATGTATATAACTATCTTGAAATAAAAAAAGCATTCGGATTCGAGTAAAGCAATGTGGACATTACACAAGTGTGCTCTCTTTAAAGTTGGAGTTGTCGTTCTTGATTTTATTGAAGTTGATTTAAAAAAGGCATTTTAAACCTCAATAATAAGTATGTTATATTAATTTCAGAGACAGGCCAGTTAGGAATTCAGGAATGTAAGAATGGCATGACCAGGGTGGATTTAAGTCAAGATTGGAAAGTTTATGCCAGGCCAGGACAGATTGGGGTTCAGGTGTCGTGCCTGATTAAAGCAGATCCACGCCCCAACATCACCTGGTACTTTAACGGGAAGGATATAAGAACTCTGGACATCTATCAGCGGACCCACTTTCCAACGTTAGTATTTTATGCAAAAATATATCTCCTAATATTTCCATTTCTATCTGTTTTCTATGTGATAACTCTTTAAAACTTAGGTGAGTTGATTTCTTGATAATTCCACCAGCAAAGCAAAGCAAAAGGTCATGAGCTAAGCAGGCTTAATATACAAATCCTAATATGCCTCACCCTATATGCAAATTATCTCATGTTTACAACCATCATGGTTACCCTAGCTGGCATACCCAACAAACTAGACATCCTTTATAATAATATAAATCCTTTACTCCTTAAACTAAGTAAATATATGTACATCCCTACTGACATGAAAAATACAGGGATTTGTAATGTTGACATA